ATGTTATTGCGAAGTTATTATTATTATATTGGGATCATCAAACGATGAGACCACGCTGGCCAGGCATCCGCTGTATGGTATGACCGCTTTCATTATTATTAATTATTGTTGTCTATTCTCTATAGTTACTTTTATTATTACTCTCTACCAGCCAATTGGTCCGCCTATTTTTATCCGATTCGCTGGCTCTTGATGTAAGTTACCCTACCCTACCCTACCCTACCGCAGATATGCCAGAAAGTTTTTTTTTTTTTTTTTTTTTTTTTTTTTTTTTGTTATTTTTCCTTCTCCTCTCTTGATCGTTGTTGTTGTTGTTGTTGTTGTTTACTTTTACTGATAAGGATTGTTGATACAGACAGACCTGCCCCTCCTCCGCATTTCTCAAGAGTTAATTAACGTTAACTAATAACTATCCACGTCTTCCATCGGCGGAGCGACGGGACATCGTGGGCAGCTAGCTTTGGAAATTTTTTTTTTTTCTCCCTTATCTGTGGTCCCTTTTTGGTGTCCGACAAGTAAAATGATCTGTGGATGTGGCGGTGTCCCAGGCTGTACTTAACGGAATATTAATGCTAATAAGTCGGTTAGCAACTAATAATAAGGCTGTCGTCCCTTGGCTCACAAGGTTTTTGTTTTTTTCCTTGCTTGCTTATGCTGAAATTTTTCTGACGGATCTGCACAAGTTTCTGCCAAGGTTCAAGGTTTAAAAAATTTTTGAATTTCAAAGCTGTGCTTGGTACGGGAGTTTACATACGCAGTAAGTAGGCTTCAGAGTTGAGTTCTTTTCTTTCTCTTTTTTTTTTTTTTTTTTCCCTGCTGATTAGACTCTCAACAGGGCTGATTACACCGCCTTTCAGGTCTACTAATTGGTGGTTTTGCTTTCTGTCTCTTACTGGCTGGTTGGCTGCTGTTTTTGATAAAGGGAAAAAGTCCACATCGAAAAAAAAAAGTGGATATCGATTGGCAGGGTTCTCCCTTTTTCTGTTTCTTATTTTTTTTTTTTTTTTTTTTTTTTTTTTTTTTTTTTTTTTTTTTTTTTTCGCCTTGAGGGAGGCTGGGAAGCGGGATGCAGCTGCCAACAAACGAAGAAACAGACTGTTCTGTTCTTCTTGTTCTCGTTGCTTCCAGTATCTACTTGCTTTTCTGGTGTACATATCTATTTCCTATCCATCCTACGTACATGTACTCCGTCCATATATATATATACTTACTCCTACGGTACCATCAGTATTTTCCTCAGCGGCAAACAATCCATCACGGGATTTTTGCCGCGGGAAGACTCGAAACATGATGACAACCCCATACAATAATAATAATACATAACAAACTTCACAAGGCTGATGATGGCCGAAAGAGGCAAGGAAAAAAAGAAGAAATGGAAGAAATGGAAGAAATGGAAAGAAAATATCGATCGAAGCGCCTAACGATATTTCGTTATCTGGGGACAAGCAGTTTCAGAGTCCTATATCAATTATTTACCAAAACCAATCATCATCATAATATTATTAATTATTAAACCAGTCCAATAAACAATGCAACGTGTAAATAATACAGTTTTTGAAATGTAGCCTCAAATTCCAAGTTCTCTCCTGAGTTACTCCGTAGATTTATTATTACAGGATTAGATTATTATTACATTATCTCATCTCATAACAACGGATTTCGCCACTAGAATGATTGTTATTATTGTAAAAAAGTTCTGGACTGTTTTTAACTGTGCGTACGGAAGCGATAAATCAAATTTCCGTTCCGTCGTCCGTTGATCTGTATTATTTATTTTTATAGATTAGTTATATAGTATAGTTACATCAATGTCAAGCCTCTCTCCATTGAAGCTGCAATTAAATTACCTATGTCAAAATGGAAAAGAGCTTGCTGATTTGTATGGCTTAGTTAGTTATGCCCAAAGGTGTTGGTGGTTTCAGAACTGAGTGAGGCCTAACCTAACATATTATTATTATTAGGTTTTCAACGTGGAAAGCAATGGCTAAATTAAATAATAATAATAGACTCAAGGCTTGTGACAATTCTGAAGTTAATAAATTATTTAAACTTATTTTATTCTCATTGCCAAACCTTTGCGTCACTTCTTTAGCCTTTAGTTCTGGGCGTTGGAAAACCTTCCCTCACCTCACGCCGGTATGAAACTTTCTTTTTTATTCCGACAACCTCTAACTACAGAATAATAATAATGATGATGAGGGTTTGTTGGGTTTGTTGGGGAGCGTTCTTGAGGTTTGAGGTGAATTAAATTCGCCTTCGCCGACGCCAACGGGAAACAGTTTGCGCGGCGGCGACTCGGATTCTCGGAAACTATACTCTGTACTCTGTACTCTGTACTCTGTATATACTCCGTACGATGGATGGACACTCGCCTCATTGGTCTCAGAAATTTATTCATTATTATTATTCATGCCTAGGAACACGTTGTAGTGGCGGCGGCTATGGCGATAATTCTGAGGGACCGACCTGGGTTAGGATAGGATAGGGCTGTATGTATGCAGTGTGGGACGAGAAAGAATGCAAGGTCCGTTAAGTAGTTATACAACACGCAAGACGTTCCGCAATTGGTGGTCATTGAATCTTTCCCCGTTCGAGTTTTCTGGTTTGTCTATATATATATATAGTTATATATATATATCTCATCCCAACGAGCAGAAAGGCCGGACAGATGCCAGCGAAGTGTCAACGGGCCCGGCCAGCGAAAGCTGGCTTACAACAAGGTGATGTGGTGCTGATTACCTGCTATATATGTGTGTTAAAAGTACGTCAAGGCTGGTAGAAGCAAAGGAAGTCCTGAAAGGACAAAGGGAGTCAGTCTAATACATCTCATGAGGCGACTCGCCTGAAGCACTCGCTGACATTGTCAGAATTGCCCTTTCTTCCCCTCCTGATGATCGATCATATTGGATATAACTCGAATGAATAGCCGCCCCACGCCATTATTTTCTTTTCATTTTTCCCCTCTTGTTCCTAGTTTCTCTCAAGTTGCCCTCACTCTGAAATGCGAGTCTTCATTTCTGTCTGCGTTTCGCCATCCAACATCCAAACACCTAACACCCGGGCGAATGAGTTGAATGCCTTTGTTGGTTTTGTTCCGCCAACAAGGAACACTCCCCGTGGCCAACATCGCCCGGGATAAGGTCTCTTGGTGGCTGTTTGTCCACATCTGCTTCTCCCGGAAAGTAAACAACAAAAGTTGCTCAATTCAAGAATATACGTCTTTCTTTTAATTCCGTGTGTTGGTAAATTCTGAAACCAACATACGCGTGGTGGCTCAATCACCTTCACCATTTCACTATTTCAAAAGAAGACTTGTGCCTCTGATATCCACACGTATATACATTTGGTATATACGCTACCTGTGAATTTCCTGTAACGCCGCTTCAAGTGCCACTGGTTCATTGTCTAGTTTCAGACTTGTTCTGTGGGTTGCCCTTCTGTTCCGTGTGGAGAGTACCTTTTCCATCACCAACAAGTAGGAGGAGGCTTCAGACGTTCTCATACTCACATACATCGATAAATGCTCATCGACATCTATCATATATAATATTGCCCATGACATCTACAACTTTCTCTCTGTTAACCTCTCCAACAAAACTAAAGCAAGCCGCCCTGCGAACTCTCTCCAAACAACCTTCAACAGCTCAATAACGAATTAAGCATTCAGCATGCCCGCTTCGGGGTCCCCTATCACGCCCGCTACATCCTCACCGCGTTGGTACGGGAGGACAGACCACACGCAGAAGCACACTGCCCTTGACTATGCTGAAGAAGTAGGAAACCCCTTTGCGGGGACCCTAACACCTACGGGGAACTTAACACCAACCGAGAGCCGAACTCCAAGGACTGATCGTCGTTTTCCAAGCACATACTTGACAGCCACCGAACGAGCACCCCCGGACGCCTCGCAGGCAATTTCTAACATCAACTTTTCAGACAGCCAGATGTGGTCCCGGGGGGACGCCGATCTGGAGGATTCCGAACAGGCAACCCGACTTCCTACACTGATCTTACCCCCCGCGGATGCTCCAAAGCTACACCCGGATCACCCCCTAAGCGCGGACTTCACCACCGCTGAAATGAAGACTGCGATAGCATCACAGGCGACGCACGACGCCGCAGCAGCCATGTTTGAAGGCCCAAGCTTCTGCCCAACCAGAGAATTACAGATGCCCCGGACCGGATTCTGTGCCCAGCTCGGCCTCCTCTTCGTAGCCCTTTGCCCCATCCTCATCGTCCCTCTCTTCTGCACTCTTGCCTTGATTGGACTTTGGATCCCCGAGGGACATGGCCATAATAATACTATTAATTCTACGCATGGACTAACGGTGCCGCCGTCTGTTACGGTAACGCAGACGCAGGTGTTCACCCAGGGAGAAACGAGAGGGACTATGCTACCTACTAGCGGGGTTGTGGAGAGTACGAAAGCTGTGGAGGATTCGGCGATATTTCTATTTCCGAGTGCTGTTCATCCTAATGGAGGCCTTGGGCGATAATTAGCGGGGAGGTGGGGGCAGTTAAGGGTTGCTTGTTGTTCAAGAGTCAAGACTGATGGTGAATATTTGGTTCTTACTTTTTACCCCTTGGCAGTTTCGCGAAAAGAAATCTGATTGTCTGAATGGATGGAGCATTTGGTGGTTCTCACAATTTCGCTTCTGCCTTTCATTTCTTTTTCATGAATTTCCCGGAATACGATATCTATCTTTTCAAAGCACATCTTCATCATGCTTGAGAATGCCACTGTTGATACTTGGTTAGATGGGTAAATGACTCTAGACATGCACATTCACTATATCAAACTGGCCGTGTCATACTGGTGCTTATCTTGCACTTATACCTCACTCGTGCTCCTCCCTTTCGTATGGAGATCGGAAACTCACCAGCTACTCCAACATGCTTCCTTCACTGGATTGCGTGCAATTTAATTAACGCTCCCAGGGCAGATCATGCTTTACCCACTTCTTGTTGCTCTGTTTTCCCCAAATTACTTTCTCCACTGTTTTATATTTCGATATTCCCGCTACTGTTTGATGTGCCAGGAAGAACTGGCTTTATTGACGATCACGATTCCCTCATATCCTGCTACGCATAAAGGAAATATCACACCGCACGATATTTGCAACATGCTTCTGCTTTGCGCCGACGCATAGTAGGACTGTCGATTCCCGTTCTCAAGATCATCGCCTGGCAAAGTATCACACCGGAATCTTTGTGACTAGACACGGACAGCTTGACGCCCAAACAGCGCGGTAAAAGGTGTTATAAGACCCTGATCCCCTTGTGCTAGGACGCTTATTCATACTTCCGGCCACCTCTTTAAACTGAACCACGACTACCTTTACTACCCTTGACCCGAAGAGATGGATCCAGGACAACTACATCCACCATACCCACCGCCTCCGTACACTAGTCGACCAACCACCCCCGGTCTCGAGGTTGATGACTTCCACGATAATACCCCCGGCCCTTCCTCCTCTGCAGCTCCAAACAACACACGTAGCGGTGCGGCATTCCACCCGCAAAGGCAATATATACCTCTGCAAAACCTCCCTTCGCATTCCCACAATGCGCCCAATAACATCGCTGAGAACGAAGATTCAATCCCCGCCCATATCCTTGCTGAGTCCAGAGAGTTGGCAGAGCTCCATCGGATGGCTTTGGATTTAACGATTGGAAATGGCGGTGCCGACAATGGCTATGGATCGCCGTATCCTGATTTCGAGGACCCAGATGGTCAAGCCACCCACGGCGATGCATCATCGGGATATGAAGATTTTGTCGAGCCGGATGGACAGCCCCTCCCCTCAGCCCAAACAAGTATCCACGGTGGAGGAAACACACAAGATAATGTTTCTGTAGTCAGTGTCGGAGCTAGCCATGGACCGGCTGCCGGGGTTGTAAATGCTTCCGCCGCTGCGCAAGCTACACAACCAGTGATACAGCCACAGCCATTTGTACATTCATTTATACCGTCAGCTATACGACCAGCACCAGTTCAAAATCCGAACTATGTCCCCCCGTACGGTCCGTATCCATTTCCTACTGTCCATCAGATATACGTGGGCAGCCCGGCGCCGGTACTCCCCAATGCAGGTGGAGGAGGTGCTAATCAAGGTGCGAATAATGTCGTTCCGGCACAGGCAAATGTCGCACAGCCTACGAATAATCCGCCAGCTACCGTCCCACCGTCTAACACCACTTACAGACGCTTCAACCGCCCCAAACGCTCCAAATCTCGCCGATAACGCAAGTGCTTCAACAGGCAATCCACACGCGGGTGAAGAGTATGAGGACTGGGCTGACCCCGCCGGACCACCGCCAAGTACCAACAACAACAATACTGTCAATGCCGGAACCACGGCTCCCAGAGTTCTACAAACGTACGCCTGTGCCATTAAACTCAAGCACATCATCTGGATACTCGTTGGGCTAACAATGTTCGTCATGGTTGTTGTCATTATAGTTTTAATCAGCCGGCGGACTCCTGCGGAGAAACTCGCCAATGGTAGTGGTACTGCTAATAGACCAGACCAACCTGTTCTGCCATATGTGTCCTCACCTACTGGTAGTGGTGTCTCGTTGATATCCCCGTAGCGGCGGCTGTGGTGGACGGGACGGTGACGATGAGAAGGAAAATGTGAGATTGTGATTAGGAGCAGTGGCGTTGATAGTATTTTGTGTTGGCACTCCTCTTCTTGGGTTCATATAATTGTAGACTAGGTAGTAGACGGTTTCTACATAGCAGCACTAAATAAGTTAATCTCATTAGTTTTTGGTAGATGTTTTCAATTCTCTTGTTCTTCAATAATATTTCTCCCATCATTTTTATACTTCCCCGAGCGATATGATCGATAAGATAAGGTAAAGTTAACTAAGGTTTCCCGGCTCCACTTACATAATTTGTGTTCAAACACTGCGCAGACGTTGGACTTTTTTTTAACAACTACGGTGGTGCCTGATATATATATTATTATAACGGCCTCTACTGCATGCTACTTGCCATGGTCGTCGCTGAATAAAGCTCGACTAGGCAACTGGACTTTTGCGGTGAGACAACCAGGCAAGGCGGGGGGGATTGGCTGAAAAAATTATTAAAGAAAAAAACCGCCACAAAAAAGGAAAAAAAATATAGAAACTGGCGCCAAATAAAAATCTACATATGGCGGACTCAGAACATCTCCCAGCGTCCTTGGACCTTTTATACACCAGTCCATCATCTTCCTCATTCTCCAGATATGACGCTCTCCGGCTGTCGGACGAAGAATGCCAGGCCATCCTCCGCCTCCCGCTAACTCAGCGGGTTTGCGGCCGAGCTGAGAAACCAGCCTCCGCAGATGCTCAAGAGGATATCAAAACTGGCCGTCTATCTTATATCGATTTCCTCGTCAAAAATGTTGACGCGATATTCAGCGTTGATGATGCTACCGATGCGCCATTTACGCGCTCGCAGCTCCTCCACATTGGTGTTGCAGCCTTGTTTGCGTTTCTGCAGGCAAACGTCACTGGCCCTCCGTTGCCGTTTCGGTCATCAGATCTACTGATTCCCAAATTCTTGATGGACACGAGCGATGCGGGGTCCAATGCGCCGCAAATTTTGCAATCATTACGCGAGACGATGGTGCGCAGCTTGACCGTTGACGGTGAGGCGGCGTATAAGCTCACCCCCAATGTCGAGCTGTTCTGTCTTGCCAAAGCGATCCTGAATCATACGGCCCTCACCCCCGCTTCCACGGGTGATACCGACAAGACGTTGACTGCTCCATTGGTGGCCTGGACTTCTCGGATGAGGGTTAATTTCTTACACCAGAAGATGCTATCGGAAAATACGACGACCCTGCAGTCTCTCGTTTATGCCGACTTGGACTTGATAGCGGAGAGGATTTTCGCCGCTGATTCTGCATCGTCGCGCTCTGCGGAGGAACGCGCAAGGTTTCTCCTAGAGAGAGCAACGATTCATACCCACCATGGATTCGATGCCAAGGCACGAGCAGATCTTGAGCGTGCAGCGGGCGAAACGGGATTCCAGTACGCGCTTACAGGAAGGTTGGGGAAGCGGACGAAGTTTCAGGACCGGGACATTAGTCAACTGGTCGTTTTGGCGAAGAGCGCAGATGGAGAGCATGTGTCGTCGGCCCCTGAGGCTAAAGAAGACCAGCCAACGCCGGAGTCGAAGATGGAGACAGCGGCAACACACAGCGCCGCACCCAAGAACTTGGATCTCAATGACGACACACTTTTGGAGGCAATATCATTTAAGAAAGATGAGCCTATGGAAGAACAAGAGAAATCAATGACGGTGCAGGACCCCTCATCCTTGCCACCAGCTCTTGCGGCTCTTGACCCCTCAGATCAGCCAAAACTGAACGCGCTGGATTCCATCATCCTTCTCTCCATCGCATCGGCCATCACAAATACCTCGCCACAACACGGCCTCACGAGAGAAGAAACGCTGCCATATGCGACACGGGTTCTCGACGGCGGAAGCTCGAACTGGCAAGTCTATTCCCAGGCTCTGCTCGTTCGAAGTAAAATCGAAGGGTACAGATCGCGAACGGTAGAGCGAGGTTTGCTACAGCTGCAAGCACTGGTCGACCAGGTTATCGCTGACACCGCATCTGATCCTATTTCCGACACAGACAAAGCCGCTGAGCAGGCCACTACCTTCCTCCCTCGCCCAGAAGCATCAGAGTCAGCGCCAGCAAGCGACCGGCTACAGTATATTTGGCTTTTAAATTTCTCTACGAGATGGGACCTCGAAGCCGAGCTTGCTTCGCGATGGGTCAGCCTAGGCGGGCTCCGTAGTGCCCTTGACATCTACGAACGATTGCAAATGTGGGCAGAAGCCGCCCTGTGCTATGCCGCTACGGAAAGGGAAGAAATGGCTAGACTCTTGGTGCGGAAACAGCTGTTCAACCGTACGAATCCTGACTCTACAGATGACAATGACACCTTTGAAGGTGCCGAGCTTCCACAGCTCCCAGCAGATGCTCCACGCCTGTTTTGTATTTTGGGTGATATTGACAGTGACCCTGCAATGTACGAACGTGCTTGGACAGTTTCAAATCAGCGATATGCCCGTGCCCAACGCTCCCTTGCGCGCCATTACCTCGCCGCCAAACCACCTTCATTCGAGAAAGCAGAGGAAGCATATCGCAAGAGTTTAGCTATCAATCGGCTCAACCACGGCGCCTGGTTTGCAGTTGGCTGTGTGCAACTGGAACTGGAGAAATATGAAGATGCGGTGGAGTCTTTCACGCGAAGCGTCCAGCTGGAGGAAACAGATGCTGAGGCTTGGAGCAATCTCGCTGCAGCATTGATCAATCTTCCACCGCCGACCACCGTTGAAAGCTCCGAACAAAATACCACCGTAGTAGCTGCAGCCGCAGACGAAGATGAATCAATGCCTACCCAACAAAAGCCGGACCCCCACAAACACAATCGAGATGCCCTGGCCGCTCTCAAACGTGCAGCCAGATACAAACACACAGACCACCGCATCTGGGACAACCTCCTAACCGTCAGCGCCTCAATCCCACCCCCCGACACCCCCTTCCGCGACATCGTCTACGCACAGAAACGCCTCATCGAGCTCCGCGGCCCCAAAGAGGGCGAACAGGCAATCGACATCAACATCCTCACCGCCCTCATCAACACCCTTACAGCAGAGAACGCGTTTGACAGCGATAGCGTTGATGAGGCAAAGTCAACCGCAGCAGCCCCTGTCTTCCGCCGCGGCTCCCTCCCAGCAATAATCCTCGCCCTCCTCGACGAAGACGTCATCCCGCTCATCACGCACTCGGCACCGCTCTGGCTCCTCGTCGGGAAGGTAGAGGCATGGCGAAAGCGGCCATCCCGCGCGCTCGCGGCGCATGAGAAGGCGTGGCGTGCCACGGTCGCGTCGTGCACGCAGGGCGCGTTCCAGATGGGCGACGAAGGGAAGTGGATGGAGGTTGTAGAGGCGACGGAGAGGGTGGTTCGTGAGGGATATGCGGCTTTTGGGCCGATGGATAAGGAGCGGGAGGGAGATGTGATTCCGGAGGAGGGTGCGGGGGGAGGCGGGGCGGAACTTGTTGCGAAGGATTGGAGGTTTAAATCGCGTAGTGCGGTGAGGAGTGTGCAGGGGAAGGGGAAGGAGTTGTGGGAGGGAACTGAGGGTTGGCGGCGATTGAAGGAGTTGAGTGGTGAGGTTAGCGGGGGTAATTAAGTTAGATGATTGCGATAGGAATGTATCCTCTGCTGAATGATTTGTGTCAATCGTTAGTACGGTAAACATATAGACAATAGACAGAGTTGGAGCTTTTACTGATATTGCAATTTGACGTTGTTTAAAAAGTGACTGTTATTATCAGCTATTTAGTTGGTAATTTAATGTTTAAAAATTATAATTATTCTAAAAACGTCCAGGTAGAAAGGTACGATGAAAATATTGTAGAATATTTTTTTTTTAAAAAAAAAACAAACAAAGAGGAAAAACCAGAAAGGGAAAAAAAAGGAAATAAAGAACACAAACATATAACAACATTATTCCCAGTGAAGTATCATATCAGAAGATATGGCGTTGCATTTCTTCCATTGTATGGAGTTGTGATAAGTTGCCAGGATCAATCCAATGAAGCCCTACCATCATCTATGTGTTGCCAGGAAATATGCCCAAAACAACGTCACCTCTGGGGGGCAGCGTGCTGGAACGCAGTGCGCAAGGCGTCGAAAGATCAAATGTCACTCTGAGTAAAATGGATGCCAGAGCAAGGGCAGATTTGGTTTCTCGGGGCGTCGTGGACTGTTGACACTGTCAGCCGATAGGCGAAGAAGGTCAAGATGTGTGTTCAAAGACTCTCGTGGACCGCTGGAACCGGGGGAGGGGAAAGGGAAGCTGTCTTGCGCGCAGTAGACGACTTCTCCCCGGTATTCATGGCGAATTCAATATGCTAGCTCCGGGTCCCGCAATCCGTCCCTTAAATATTGCACAGAAAATGCCCATTCCAATACCTAACCGAACAACTTGCTCATTGGTTATATGGGGTATAATATCCAACTCGTATCCTTCGTTCTGTAAGACTGTTTGGCCGCTAGAAGGGCCTCGCTTCTTCGAGGTCTTTGTGTGTTATTAACCAGGCGAAAAACTCGTTGATGAACAGCTCTGCGTGCGCGCCGAATTTAGGGATTGGAGTGCTTAGGATGGAGGTGGGAGTAGGATTTGAAGAAGAAGCATTGGGCGGGCTCGCAGGATTGTACAGATTTGAAGATGAGAAGTTCGAATGCTGGTCGTCGTTTGTGCTTAATTCTCCAATTGCTTCCATGTAACTATTTATTTAGTCATCGTCACGTTGAATATGTCACCGGATGTCACCGTATTTGAACCAGTAGATCCTGTAGCTGCAGCCGCAGCGGCAGTGAGAAGAGCTATATCTGCTGGTGTAGTTATGAGGCGCCTGCAATGCGGGGGGTAGAAAGGGTTGCGGCAGGTTTGGCTTTTCCCTCCTCTCCCTCTCCACTCCTCAGCAATCTGTTCGCCAGCTCTCTCGACGGGGTCATGGTAGTTGCATCCCCACGTTCAATGTCATCTATCCAGCTATCAATCTCAGTAATCCGTAGTCGAATATGAGAGTTGTCAAGAGATACCAACAACAGTCTTTAAAAGTTATGGCACTTCCTGTTCTGACAACGCATCGTGTAATTATCTCGCGCTCAATCCGCGAGAAATCCGGCTCGATTGGCCTTTGATTTTGAGCAGTTGTTGCGGATCGTTCACCATCTGAGGCCCCAAGGATTCGGAGGCATTTAGCAGGGCGTTAGGAAGAAGGTTCTGGTCCATTTTTAACCCTCCAGTCGTCTTTTCAGTCTCAGCGTCTGAGGAAATCTGCCAGTCGTATCAAAGCCGCAGGATCTCAGGTATTCAGCTGATTGATGTATTTGAGGATTGAGCAGATAGATCAATAAGATTAGAGTAGTAACTTCAATTTTGAAACCACCCATTGTCTCCTTGTGATATTCCTTCAACAGGCGCATAATTTCCTTCCAATCCATCTGCTCTTCAAGGGTTACTGCGGCCTGGGGCCTGCGATCAAGGTTTTTTTTGTTGATATTGCCACGCATCCGGCTGGCTTAATCAATTCTGGTTCATAAGATACGCTTCCATCTGGATGTGAGAGAACAGAATACATTTCCCAGCATGAAAATCCCGCTTTTTGATCTCCTCCATGCCACGGATAATCACACGTTGATATAGCCGAAATGGTAGTATAGGGTTGGTTTTAGAGGTAAGGGTTCGGGGAGGTGGGCGATTGGAGTACTCGGCCTTTGAGCTGTGCCTCCTCCTCCCCCTCCTGTTCATCATCATCGCTTCTAGAAGCTCATCTCTATCTCGCGGAACAGGTGGTGGTTTGGGAGGGTTTTCGTGCCGTGTAGCAGGTATCTCTTTGCGGGCTGTAGCAGTCTTCGAAACGCGAGAACAACAGCGGGACGTTAGCAGTCATATTGAATATAGGCAATGGATGCGATAAAATTTCAGGATAAAAGATGCTGCTTTTCAAGGAGTATGAAGGGTTAGACCAACGTCCTGGCGCACAAATCTACTGCGTATACGGGGTAGACTCAAAGAAGCTCTGGGGGCGAAAAATCCCTGTAATCAGACCCCTGAAACTTAAGCCCAAGCGTCAGGGGTAACAAAAGATAGCGACGTAGGAGTGTTTTCTCTATCTACGACTCAAAGTTCTGCACCTCCTCCATACTTCAGCTGAATGATATTAAAGATCCTGCGAATACGTGAATATTCTAGCTATTATTTGTGTTTTCGCAGACAATCTCCCTGGTGCCAACAACCTGACAGAAGTTTGCATCCAGTGAATGAGAATTAACCACGCCCCAAAATAAACCTCTCAGAAAACGGCATATTGCCATTTACACTGCTGGGTAGGATTTGGAAGCGAATTCGATATTTCTATCTCTCTATCAATACAAGCAACGGAGTATGAAAAACAATTGTAAAGCAAAAAAAGTGAGGAACATGGTTATCGCATATCCAATCCAAACAGCACAGGGAACAACAGGAGCAGAACGAATGTTGAAACATAAGAGATAACATTCCATGTTTTTGTGGAAACCATCACCAAAATAGCCTCAGAAAATACCGCACAGTCCTGTTCCTGACCCCACAGCACCTGGTCGGGCCATACCAGGGGCAATTAGGAGATTACCTACCTGGTAGCATACAGTGTGGCATGGGCGCAGTAAATACCAATGGGTCGGAAGTGCAACACTGCTAAAAGAACCGTCGCAGGGAGAATTGGCAAGGGAGGAATTGCGACCTAACGAATCATCATTTTCGCTCGCCCCCGTTGTCGTCATACCCATCTAAAAGTATATCTCAGCGCCGTGGGAAAGGACTGTATAGTCGTCACGATCCAAATAGTAAACCCTACAAATGGTAGGCGGCATAAAAAATTAGACTGATTCCATATTCTCCATGACCTTTGACTCCTTCATCAAATTGGTCTTGCCGTTGCCCCATACTGATTCTTACTATCAGTTTCAACCTGCGGTGAGCCATCGCTAACAGCACATTCATTTTCTGGTGTTAACACATCTGCACCGGGGAAGCGCATATCTGGTTTGCAACGGTTCAAGGGAGAGTCGTTCCTTATTCTGCGTTTTCTGACCCTATGCTCGTTGGTTAATTTCGTCAGGTTAGGTGCCGGCCTATGCCTAGGCGCATTCGGCCGGGATACTGCAGCTCGTTTCAATGAGGCAATGGCACCAGCGGGTTCAACTCTAGTCGTTACGGGTTTCACGAGCAGTTTTACTGGAGTGGGTTCGTCCATTATCCGGCCACCGTAAGTTGCCGCAGAGCGTCCCTCCAACTTCGGAACACCGGATCCGTAGTGCATATTATTAGTGACTGGTTGGTGGACCGGATAGCCTCCGCTACATTGAAGGTCGGAGGATTGGGCAGTCAACTGCGGTTGCGCGTTTGAGAAATAATTACCGTAGGTGTTCCATTCATGATTGTCCATAGTCACCAAGGAGTGTACATGTCCCCGTTTAGCAGCACTGATGGGAGTCGGTTGCATCATGGGTTGAGGATATAAACTGGGTTGCATCGCCCTGTTTATTGGCATGTTCGCCTGCGCGTGGCCCAAAAACGGCTGCGATGTAATATGGGTGGCTTGTGCAGCTTGAGTAGCTTGGAGAATATGGGTAGCTTGCAGAACTCGAGGAACTTGGGCAGATTGGGCAGCTTGGGTAGCTTGGGTAGCTAGCGGAACTAGAGGAACTTGGGCAGTCTGGGGAGCTTGGGTGGCCTGGGTAGCCTGGAGATATTGGTAATGTTGTGGCATAGCAGAATTTGGTAGGTTGCCTAGCTCCTTAGGTCCCGCGTCGCAGGGTACGGGACCGTATCTGTGGGCAGGATTTATTATCGGTTGAGGGTATGCCGCGCCTTGGTTGCTGTCGCATAGGCCGTGGTTGATTCCCAGCTGATAAATACGTTGCGCATATTGATCCCATTCAGGCATCTCTTGGAATGAGTTAGTCGTTGAGCTTGAACAACGCCAGTCCGCCCCAGTATTGGCCGGGTCGCACATAGTGGCTGGCAAATATAAGAAAGAGAGGGGGAAGGAACAAATGCCTATCCCGAGAATGACAGTGGGATTTTAAGTATACTCATTCAATAGAAACGAATGTGATGGACTAGCATAGAAAGAATATGAAAATGCTATGCTAGCGATGAACTGATACAGAATAAGATAGAAGAAAAGCCCGGAGAGTGATTTATGTACGTTGGAGTACGAGCCAACACACATTTGAGAAGGAGACGCCCAGTATAATAGAGAAATGGAAGCGGCTGCGTCCTCCGTCATATAAGGGAAGGAATTCCCCAGAACAATCGTGACTGCAAAAGTAAGAATAATTACGCTCCAAAGGAGTAGAAAGAGTATCTGATGAAAAGGGGGAAATGTTTGAAAGTGGTAAGCATACCCAGCGTCCAAAATATTCGACTGAACTCATTGGTGCAGCAGGATTGTCTCAATCATTTGCTTTCCTGGTGAAAATTTAAAATTCAAAATTCAAAATTCAAAATTCAAAATTCAAAAAAAAAAACTTCAACCCAGGATTTCAACCGCATCAACGCATATTCTTTGATTCCGTCCAAAAAAGGCATCATCATATAGCACACGCCGTCTAGAAAGAATCGTGAATCAATAACGTAACCCTTCTGGCCTCTTCCAATCTGCCGTAGCAAACTTCGCCATGATCGAAGCTCTCACAGTAATCTCCTGCGGCTCTAGGTCCAATGAGTGTCCACTTGAACCTGGATCATCAACTCTGGCCGTCATAGCTCTAGCCATGTGGAGCGGCCCAGATACAGACGTAGATCCACCCTGGTCGTTAATTTCCACCGGGAAAACCTCACGATGAACCGTCTCCGCGAAGTCGTTGGCCTTCTCAATTGCGTCCATGAGTGGCTTCTTCCGCGCCTCCTTGGCTAACTTCTCCGCCGTCACGTCCATCAGCCGCCAGTTGACCGCCCGCACTTCTACAAACGGCATCATGAACAACTGGGACGCGATCTCGCCGAGTTTGGCAAAGTCGCGGAAAGTCGCGGAGAGGTTGGCGAAGACTGAGAATTGGCGCAGGCTGGTGGGGTTGTCGTCTCTGTCCGTGGGGACCCTCGACGAGGTGGTGATTGATGCGATATCAAACGCCGTTCTGGGCGGCTTCCTCCTGGCTTGAACTTTCCGCTGATACGAGCACACTGAGATGGGCCCTCTCAGCAATACGGTTCAGTTGAAATTCAACAAAAACGTCAATTTCGAGGGAAGGCCTGGTGGTCATGTTTGAGGTTTGCGCTCACGGAAGTTGGAGAGGGCAGTTGAGGTGGTATGTATGTATGTATGTACAGTACATTAGATGAAAGGCGAGAGTAGTCAAATGAAACATGTTGGGGGTCCCGGGTTGATCGGCCCTTCTACCAGCAGTGCGCTGGTGGTGAACTGAGCTCTTTTGCCCCAGTAGCCTACATGTACCCCTATCCTCTGTAGAATGGTGAATGAAGTAAGAAGAAGGGAAGAAAATGATATTTAGTTGATGTGAGTGACGGGCACCAGCAAGCAACACGTGATGGCAGTTAGACTCGAATGTTTTTTTACAGGCTGAGCAGCAATGTATGATAGAGGAGTGAAATTTCATCAATTTATTAAAAAAAAATAACAATGGATAAATCACAATAGCATGAGGCTAGAATGTACATGCACTTTCATCAATCATTCATGCAATGTATCCACACTCATTCATACAAAGCATCACTATATATATAAAGTGTGGAACCTGAAGTTATGCGTCATAGAAAATTACCAATGAAAAGAGAAAGAAGAAGAAAAGAGGGAACAGGCACGTTTCGCGTACATGTACTCCGTACGTGTATAGTGCTGCATATTTTAGAAGAGGAAAACCGGGCAAATAGGGAGAAACTGAAAGAAGCAACGATCGATTCCCCCCCCCCCCCCCAAAAAGAAGAAAAGAAAAAAGAAAAAAGCCCTTCTATTTATCACCCCTTTAGGAGCTTGCGCATCTGAATGCAAAAAAAGTGAGATATGATCGAGGAAAAGCCATGTATATGGATTTTGTATAGAAAAAGGAGGCCCGTACTAACGCCGGAAAGATGGGAAGCGGAGGAAAGAAAAAGAAGAAAGAGGAGCTATTATGAGACATGATGCAAGTGGAAATGGACATTGAAATAGAAATGAACGAAACTTTTTCTTTTCTTTTCCCCCCACAGCCCAGATACATACGTGCAAAACATCGCTGTTATTATGGATGGTTCGCTTGTTTGGTTTTTTTTCTTTTTCTTTTTCTTTTTTTTTTTTTCCCTCTCGCAGGAGCATGTATGGAGTAGCAAACTTGTCTGTTATGCGGCCCGCGGGGTTTAGAAATTGTGTCGGTGTGAGGGAAAGGAGGGGGGTAAAGGGGGAGAAACAGAAAGAATAATGCCGGTTTTATGTATCTGGGAGAAAGAAAAGAATGTGCATGAACATGAGTATGAGCATGGGCAAATGGTAAAAAAAAGAAAAAGAATAAATAAATAAATGGAGGTCCCAAAAGCCGTAATTCTAGTTTACTTGGTTTGAAGCCTGGCCGCTTGATCTTTGTCGCATCTGTTCTCCCAATAAATCAACAGAGCGCAGCGGACGGGGTTTAGATAGTTAGAAAGGAAGGAAGAAAAAGAGACGAAAGGAAAAGTAAGGGACAACAAAATATGAAATGATAAGTTACACCAACCCACGACAAACCCCCCTTCGATACGAAGAGAAACTTTTCCAGCCCAAAGAATACCCTCTTCTCCCTAATATCATTTCATTTCAGGCCAGTAGGTAAGGAAAATTGAGTTCATTCATTGTAACCATTGAAGAAAAACGACTCCCGTTTGCCCCGGTCCGGCCGCCGCCAACCAAGCCATCCATCCATACATGTCAAATAAAAGCGAGAATGTGTATCCGACATAGTGCCTAGTTCTGTTACGACGCCGTGACCGGCCCGTCTTCATCGGGCACCCGCAGCTCGACAACAGGCATGGAATCATCGTCATCATCTAGATCCGGCGGCTGCGTGATATTCTGCACGGCCGCCGTGGACGATGACATGTCTGCATCGTCAAATATCATGCCGTCCTGATCCTCAGAATCTTTCAGCATCGCTAGGCGGGATTCAGAGTCGCTGATGTCGCCACCACCGACGGCCTTGTTGCTCGCGTCATCGTCGAGGTCGTCATCGCCATCGCCGTCGGAGAAGGAGTTGGCGGGCGCGGGTATGAAACTTGGCCCCCTGCCATATGGCGGTGCGGCTCGGTCAAACGACCAGATGGGGTGGCTGGAGAAATTCAAATCGGAGCCAAAGCTGGGGTCAAATCCTTCGTCCTCTAGATCCATGCCTTCCAAGTGGTTATGGTGGTTGAACTCAGAGTACTCTGGTGGGCTGTCGTCATCCCTCGCCTGGATTCCGCCCCGCAAACCACCATCTCCCGACTGGTGAATTGCTCCGGCTCCGGTTAATGCGCTCGACGACCCATTGCGGGAGGAGCCGCCGAGGCGCAGGCCTTCCCCCGAAGGGGAAAGTACGCAGGAGTCGGTCTGTGAATCAGAGTCGGCAAACTCCCGATTTTTCGCTGTTTCGGTGACGGTTGCTAGGTAATCTCCGCCTAAAGGGACATCGGATCGACGACGATAGAATAGAAGATATGCGGCTGAGGTAACTACGGAGGCAGGGTTGTTCTTCTTTGTAACGTGAGAGTCTACGACAGCGTTAGCAGGTTCCACAAAAGCAATAATAATTTGAAAAAAAAAAAAAAAAAAAAAAAAAAAAAAAAAAAAAAAAAAAAAGGCCGAAGTATTCCTTACCATTGTATTCGTACCAAGTATCGTTAATAAAGTTCTTCGCATATGCCGTGTAATGCCCCCCACCAAGGCCACCGTAATGGTTATCAACTGCAATCAAATCATATATCAGGCTTTTCCCTTCTTCAGGCATCTGAACCCGGCCAGTCATGTCGAGCTCGAGCGGGAAATCGACAAGCGCGTCAATCTTATCTCGGAACCCTCTATTGGCGCTGAAGCGTTTAAGATGCATCACAAGAATATCTGGGCATTTCCACAACTCGAATTTCTTCGACGCGCGCCTGTGCTCCTTGCAGCGAGGACAATACCAAGCGTCGTTTTCGGAGAGGATCTCCTCTTTACCAAACTCATCCAGGCACTCGTCAAGACTGATTCCGCACTTTTTCCGCGTCTGGCGCAGTTTACGTCTCTGTTCAAGCTCAGGATCTGGCAGAGCATCGATACTCAGCCACGTCGCTGAGCCTCGTAGTGCGTCATCCTCAAGCGGATCGCCGGCAAAGAGGCCATCATATGCGTTTTCATTCCAATCAAGAACAATGCCCTCTCCAGCACGAATCAGCGGGATAGCGCCGGGAGGCCCATTTTTGGACGGCGCAGACTTGAGTTTTCGGCGTCCAGCGCCGTGAAGAATCGTGGAGGGACTTGAATATGAATCTGAGCTACTTTCCGTACCACTGTCATCCTTGGTTTTCTGAGAGCTAGAGTCATCAGAATCATTATCATTGGCGCCCCTTGAACGAGCGATATCTACTCTACGAGCGGGGGCGTTAAGTTCGTCTTCGCTGCTAACAGGACTAGTTCCACGGCATGCAGGGAACTTTTTCTTCGCAGAGGTTCGCTTGGCTTGTTTTCTCGGCAGTCTAGAGGCCATTGAGGTAAACTCTTTTATCTCATCTACAGTAGACCAGCCAGTAGGCACGGCGTCGGTTGATCGCATAATCTTCATTTCGAATAGGTTGCGAAGCATGGGCGGTATGAAACTCCTAGGTCGAAGAACTTTTGGAATCGAGGTAGTATCACCTCTGACACTCGATTTGGCTTGGGTGGATGAATCGGAGCTGTCTCGCATGGATACATCAACGAGACCATCCTCACCGTCGATTGAGGAAACCTTGATCTTGGGGTCGGAGAAGTCAAAGTCGTCGTCATTGGTCACAACGGTATCAGAATCCTCAGCAGCACTGGAGTTCATTACAACATCCCCTTCATCCTCGCGAAGGATGTCTCGCGTCGTCAAGTTGGCCACATTCCGCAGAACCTTGCGAAGAATGCTATCATAATCATATGCCTCTTCACGCGTAACGATAGTATATGAAGGAGCACCGAAGAGTTGCCGTGTGACCCTAGCGCCCTGCTGTTTGACGACGCGGTTGAAGATTGGGATGATCATTCGATCGCACCCGGGCGACTCGAACGCCGGAATTTCCTGGTCGGATGTATTGCTGTGGGAGAAAGCGAGGCTCGAGTAGGCGGAGCGTCGGGGGGGCTTATCTGGGTCGTAGCTGGTAGGCACGGATTCTACCTCGAAGATGCCGATGTCATCTGAGGCAGTGATTTGGCATTCGGCAAGGCTCGAAGTATTCTCGAACATTTTGTAGAACTTGTGCTTGTATATTTCAGCCATCACAAGCCTATTGGTATCGACACCTACTCTTCTCCCCACATATTCCTTCAACGCCTTGACGCTGGCATTTTTGTCGATGTCAACATCCACCCGGACGGGGCGAGAATGAAGCGGGAAGAAAAATATCTCTTTGCTCCAAAGGTTCTCAATCGGGAGTTGCAGGGTGAGGTTACTGAATGGATCGAAAATGATGCTAACTTTGTCGCACACAGGACAGACCACAGTAGACTTGTACATTCCAGCGAAAAGATCAGTAATTACTGAATCATTCCGTGCTTTGTAAATTTCCCAGCATTTGTTAGCAAACTCCTGTAGAGCAGCGCTGTTGCTAACCATGTCGTCCGTAGAGTCTGGCTTCTCAATATATGGTTTCTTTTGGATCCTGTTTAAATCCTCCTGTAAACCATCCAGCAGGAAGAGCACAAACTCCTGAGAATCTTGTTGCCCATAGCCGGAGAACGAAGGGCCATATCGGCCAATCGTCTGTTTAAATTGGCGAGGAGCAAAGGACGAAGTGCCATTCTCATCAAACAGTTGATGAAGCAGGTTTGCATAGGCTTTGGCCACATTCCCATCGTGAGAAAGTGGATTGCCCGGGTTGAGATCTTTCCTGTACTCATCGTCTGTAATATTGAAAACGAGAATTGTCAGAACACAAGATCAGCCACGACAGGGCTTTTTGGAAAGTAATCAATACTTACCAAGGAAATAGTGTGTTAGCTCCTCTACACTCCGAACGCACTGCAACGCAGAGTTCATATAGCAACTATTTCCAAGGTTACTCAAGCCGGTAACGCCACGGGGCCGACCGTCTTTCTGCTGTCGTCCCCTGGCAACAGCTCCAATCGCCGGCGATGCTCGGCCGCTGGCAGTGGGGATTTTGCCCTTGGCCTTGTTCTGTGGCCCGACCCTAACTGCAGTAACCGCAAGTCGATTTGAATATTTACCGGCGCAATCGGAAATCCACTCTCCGCCTCCGGGCCCACCGATTTGTTCCTCGAGCACAATGACGTCGTCCCCCCCCAATCCCGCAAGGTGCAAGGTGAGGCTGCCGTTATACTTCGGATTGGACGTTTGGTCTTTCATTTCTAGCAATTCTCGCTGGGATCCCTCTACAAGAGCAACAAACTTATTCACGTCCAACACAAGACTGTTGCCCGCACTCGCCGTCAGTGTAGCGCCAGGGGCCGGAGACGCGCTTCTCGAGGCCGCTGGGGTAATGATACCGGAGGTTGCAGTGCTAGTCAGGCCCTCGAGGATTCTCCAAACGCGAACCTTCGTGGACATATCAATAGTTGCCAGGGTCTTCACATTCCGCAGCCACTGCTGGAATGGTGTATGTCTGCTAGCCAAGGCCTTTATAGGAGCGCGAGCCTTTTCTTGGGCAAGCTGCGTAGATGTCTGTGAAGGGTTGGGCAGCTTCAGGATGGTAAAAACTGGGGGGTTAAGTTCATATTGGACATGTTCCACGGAGCCGGCGGTTGTGTTGTGGGCGTATCGAACAATCGCAGGGGACTCTCGCGAAAGACCGTACCATTTCATGATTAATTCCCATGCATCTTCGGGAAGCACTTCAAAGTCTTCTCCCATCTGCAAGCCAGGTCGTAAGGGGACAAACTGCTCACCAGCCTCGTCCGTGTACGTAATTGACGGGTCTGTGACCAGAACCAGGTCTGAGTTGTCAACAGGGCCAATCTCACCCTCCGACGCGGTCTTATCAACTTTCTCTCGCTGCAGGTCACCTCCATTTGAGCTTCTCGAAAGGACACGTCCAAGCCAGTTCGCAGAAACCACATATCCCTTCTGCTGATCCTTTAGCGGCTGCATCAACATTCTGGTGACAGCGGCGACTTGCTCGTCAATTGGGGGGCGATCGTGGTTGGCATGAGGGGAAGCCTGGGATTTAGCGTCCTCCCGAGTGGATGAAGTATACGTCGACATGCTCGATGGCGTGGGATAGACACTGTCCGAAGCTAAGCTATTGGTGTCCTCTGCGGGGGAACATTTAGCGCTTCCATGCTTCGCGTCTGCCGCCGAATTATTATTATTATTATTGCTAGTTGTTGTTGTAGGAGTAGTATCTTCCTGGCCAACCATATCCACAGAGACAGCTCTACGTTGTCTCGTTGGTCGCTCTGCTTGTTTTTTGGCGTTCGACGACGCATCCTTATTCTGATCCTCACTGCCACCGAATGAATCGGAGCCCATCTCGACATCCTGAGGTTGGCGGTCATCCTCGCCCATTTCTGCCGCTGGCCGCTTCACGGCAGGCGTGGAGTGAAATTCCTGTCTGTCATTTTCAGAGCCATCATCTGGTAAAGGAGCAGACGAGCCCTGCACGCCTTCCGACGCCGACATACCTACAGGGGCTTGGCCGTGGCGATTCGAGATAGATTCAGCGTAAGGAGTGCTCCGGGAACTCGCAGCGGTATCTGAGGAACCTGGAGTAGCGGATCGAAGGTTCTGTTTGCGGGAAGACGGCTTCTTTCGACGACGGGCTGGGGGTTGTTTAGGGTTGGCGGAACTATGTCCAGGACCAGATGAAGATGGGGCGGGGTCGTTCTTGTTGCTAACTGAGTGTGGAGGAGTGGGCCCAGGACCAGTTTTCTGAGAATTTCTCCAGACGGGTGTAGGAGCGTGAATAGGAGACGCAGCAGTGGCACTAGCAGTTGAAGTGCTGGTCGTGGGCAGGGCAGAATCACGAAGACGACTGCTGGCACGTCTCCTCCGCCTCGAGGCGGATCTTGAGGCAGATGACGGATTATCCTTTTGGAGAGAAGGAGAGGCAGGGCGCCCACGGGCTCCAACTTTTCGCTCTGTAACCTTACGTCTCTTTGAAGAAGACGTGGTGAAAGTGAGCTGACCACGGGCTGTGGCAGCTCTGGATTAGTATAGAGGGGAGAGGACAGGGAGAAAAAAGAAGAAAGAGGAAAACAAAGAAGAAGAAGAAGAGTAGGATGGAGGGAGATGGAGAGGGAATAATAATAGCGGACACGAGGGAGGAGGATAAAGGGCGAGACTGGTAAGCAGGCGGCGTGTAATGTACTGTATGAGGTATTGTACGTATATGTATATGTATTATAACTGCCAAAACAGACGAGAGACGGCTGTGGCCGGGCTTGGTTTTAGCTGCCGCTCTACTCCGTACCAAGCATAGTAAAAGTAGCTTTTTCTCTCAGCCTTGAGTCCTCATGATATACGCTGCGTTGACTGCTTGTTTGCAGGCAGCCTTGTTTCAATATGGTAACCTAATTTGTTCAAATACCGTACCGTACCTTACCTTACCTGACCTGACCTGCAAGGCTGCGATGTATTTGTCTGTCTTCCGCGGGCGGCTAAATAATCCCCCCATACCAATAGCTGAGTTGGTCGCCACAACTTGTTCATGTTTATGGCAAAGATTGACCCAACGCCAATAAAATTAATAGAGACAATTAAGTTATTGTTATAATATATAGTTTTATTGCTTTTGTTTAATCTCTCTTATATATATCTCTATACAGAGTCTACTCCCTGTTCTATGTTCTACCTGCTTGTTAGGTTACTCTCTATGTATTGTTGATTAGAAGACAAGAACCATGACATGGTTGTAGATGCCACTGAAAGAAGGAAGGGATAATAAAGTTACCTAGTCCCGTTCACAAATATAAAATAAATTGAATACTAGATGATGCGCAAAGGAAGCAAAAACACGACATGGAAAAAAATTACGACAGCGTTCATATGAAAATTAGATATATTTTAGGTTCATGGGAAAATAATAATAGTAGACGTTGTTCTCCTTAGAATGGAAATTAAAAATGGCAACAGCGAAATTAAACTATAGCCCTGTGTTAAATAACCATGGCATGCACGTATTGCTTTAAAAACGGGGGGCGGGCGGGATGATCAACTGTGATAGAAGGTAACTGCAATTCGACAAGCTACGTAACTCAGTGGATAACAATCTTGTCCACTTCTTCCTTGGCCTCGGTCCATGTCTCGAGGTTCTTCCGCGCCCAGTCCAGATGGCAGCGGGCGTAGGATACCTATAGAGTGAAGAATTGGAAGTTAGACCGAGAGCCGAGAGTAAGGACATTTTCCCGTGGTGAATAAAAGCAATGGGAATGGGAGAAGAAACATACCATATACCGTCGCAGATCATCTTCTTTTTCTTTCTGGAACCGTTTGAGATCTTGCAGGACGCCAGCACTGGCATCCTTGACATCCTTCTCGGATACTTCAAGAGCTTGCTCCAACTATGAATAACAATAAGAGAGCTGGATTAGCATACTAATTTTCGTCTCGAAGTGATTATAGGGTTTGGAGATGTTAAAACAAAACTAACCTGCAACAAGCTCTCTTTTGTTTTCCCGATCTGGTCTCGCCGGGTTCTCTCAGGATCAACATCGACAAATCCATGAACCGCATGGCTAATTCGCCCGAATATCTTATTCGTCACGAAGTTACCACTGGGGCTCTTACGGTGACCTGGTGAAGGTGATGGGGGTTGCTCGAGTGTCCGCTGAGGCAGACCCTGAGATGCAGATGGCTGCGGAGAATCACCACTCCCTGGTGGGAAATCGGAGTCTATCGACGCGGTATCTTCGGCATTCGACCTCGTTGCTTCTGGTGTTCCCGTCTCCGGTATACTGGGTGCAGATGAATCTGACAATGTCCTTCTTGGCTTTGGGGATCTGGCGTTGCTGCCTGTGCGGTTCAGATACTGCTCAATCCTTTTGGCTTCTAGCTCGCTCCGTTCCAAGGAGTCTAGTAATGCCTTTTTCTTGCTGAGCTCGTCCCGAGTTATCTCCTGCTGGATGCGCTTGAGGACGCGGTAGCGGAGAACATTCCGGACGACGCCAGCAAATTGCGCGCTCTCCCTCATTGGTTCTGCGAATGTTGCACCTAGCGTCGAAGAGAGCTCCTCAGTCTCAATATATGAAGTATCAGCTGCCTGTCCAATTCGCTCTATCGCTGCGGCAACTGTGACGGAAGGTTCAGAGAGCGAAAATCCATTGTACCGGGCGCCAAGCTCCATCAGATCCGCGGCAAGCGATGATAGATGCGTCAGTGTTCGCCTGTTTACTTTTTCGATATTTCCTTGCAATAGTAGTTCGAGCTCACGGGTTGATGCCTCGAAGTTTACAAAGTATGGGTCTAGCTCTTGTTCACTTAGATTGCGAGATGTTGGCGGGAAACGGCTAAGGAAAGGGGCATTTCCCGGCGCTGATGATGCATGGTCTGAAGGAGATGGAGAGGTGGTTGAAGACGACTTCAGCTTCGCGGATGATGAAGGAACTGGAAGCCAGGCATGGGCGGGTTTCGGATTTGCGGGGTCGAGCGGAGGGGCTTTCAGGCTGTTTTTGGGAATGGAGGAGACAGGATGTGAATGAAGTACTTCGTTCTGTCAGGAAAGTTAGACACTCGGTTTACATACACCAGCCAGTGACCTCTCATTGGACGGGTGCAACTAACCCAGCTTGCATTCGGGTCTAGAAACCTCCACCACACTCCGTCCTCTCGGATCTCCTTCATCCGCCGGCATCTATTCAAAAAGACGGCTAGCATACGTTTTCGCAAGTCGATAATAGAGCTATCTTCTTTAGCCTTAGTAGGTTTCGCCGCATAATCGGCCATTGTATGCTTCTCAGGTATGGGAGGGATGATGAGGGTAGGATGAAGGCTAATGAGAGTAGCGCGCAAAGAGCTAAATTCAGAGTATCGCCGTCGAACTTCCAGATCCTGTACAGTAGGCCGTGTCAGTGAAATCAACAATAACAAAAGGAAAAACATCAAATCCCCGGCTGTTTACTTACCCCCGTTCGTATTGTATAAACAATGAAGCTGCCTCCACTCTCATGGTTCTTGCCCGCATGAGTGATGAGGATTGGAAGCTCCGGATGCTCGTAGAGGATCTGCTCTATTCGGCTTTGGTAGACCCCCTTCTTTCGCGGACAGTTTTGATTGTCTTCGGCATGCTCATAGTCCTCCGTCTCGTCTTGGCCCACATCATGGCTGATTGGACTGTCTAATCGGGATACATAGTCTGGAAGGGGGGGGTCTAGGGTCGAGGCCGTGGATTGCGGGGTGGAGGGAGCTTCGAAGGCTGGGAGAGTATAGGGTTAGTTGGAAAATCCACCAGTAAGTAAAAAAAAAAATAATAATAATAATAATGATGATGATGTAGGAAAAGAATTTCTCACCGGGGGACGCAGCGCCTTCACGGAAAGGATCAGTTGCGGCATCAAGATGGCGATCAAAGGACCCATAGGGGTTGTTGTCCTCGTCGTTCCACATCTTGCCGCAGCAGGCTCAATATATCTCTAGAGGCTCGGCCGACGGCGCTGGGAGACCGGAAGCATGAACGGAAGAATTGCAATCGGGAAAAAGACGGAATAGGATATCGACCACAATGTTAAATAGAGTGTGTTAGACGTGGTACGAGACTGGAGGCGCGATGTAGGTATGAATGTATGTAGTGATTCTCAGTCAGCTGGCGGCTAAATAACCTGTTGGTTGGTTCGGACGTTGCAGCTTGAGTGAGGCGCAAGGACTCTCTTCCTTGGCTGCAACAACGTCACTAAATAATCCAACACCAACACCGAATCAAAAGATAAATAAGTTACCAGTTGGATATTTAGTATATAAAGAAACAACGTTTACCTTTGCATAGCAACCATTTTTGAACTTCTCGACCCTCTTTCTGTTTATCTCGATTTAAAGATAGAGACGGAGCAATGGATGTTCCACTGCAATATGTGCTCCCCAGGCTGCACAATAAATAAGAAAGAAACTCTCAACTAAATAACGTTATCAAGTTCCCCGGTTGACAGTTATTTAATTTACTCGGACCAAAAGCCCCAGTGGCAAACTCGATCCCAGCTCGATAAGGTCTAAGGGCATTGATCGATGGCTACTCCAGTTTCACTACGGAGTAAATATCCACGCTTTCTGTGGAACTTATACTGGAACATCACACACTATGGCAACATGATGACCGTATGGCCTCCAGCAAATTTTCCTAATTGATTTCAGCCTCAAGAGGAACTAAGATCCCCTCGTCAAAATTTATCTTCCCTGGCGGTGAGGACAGATGTTGTTAACCATATCGTCTTCCTCACATAGGACTCTCCCAGCCGTCTACTTTGGCCGGAACCACCATTTCCAGAGGCTCTTTGTTCTTCGTTCTGTTGGCTATTTCGCTCCCTTTGCATTAGGATGGATACTTCTTGGCCATCCACCGGTTCTGGAGGTGTGCTAAATTCGGTGTTTGAAACTCCGTATCATTGTTGTCAGTTCGAGAGTCTCGACGACTATGATAAAAATGCATGCTCCACGGGCCTGGACATGTATTTTTGGTGAACGAAAGCAGCACAGCAAGCCAGACTGCCACATATAATATTATGGCTTTGATAATCAACTCATGTCTGCTTCGGATAATTCGCCGGTAGTTCTTTTTTCGGCGGGGGTTATCAAAGCTCTCAGTGCGGCTGGACGCCTTCTTCATTTCCCCTATACCCCTTGAGTTTCAGTTATACAATCCGTTTCTGCTATGAGGTATATCAAGCTATATACATGCCTATGTTTCTCTATCTATAACAGGCAATTAAGCCCCCCTAGAAACATGGGATCAGCCAGGGGGTAAACTGTTTTATTCCACTTTGGTAGAGATTGATGATCTGTAGGGACTTGCTGTCCCTACTGAAAAGCAATATATACATACTTACAAGGCGTTTTGTATTTTCCATCTGCCATTGTATTGATGCTATCTGTTGAGGCCTAAAGTTTTCTCTGAAGTGGGTATACTTCTATCGAAAGTGATAAGAACTCTGCTCGATTCTTCTGGGAAGTTTAGTCGGATATCTACCTGCATAAGGTTTACCGACCCACAGTGCAGTTTCCTACTCAAAGATCAGATATTTTAGGCATCTATTGTACTTTTCGATATTCTATACTACTAACGCTCCAGGCTAAGAGGAAGAAGAAAAATAAGCAAATAGGTTTGATGTAGAGATAGGAGATGCGGGAGAGATAGGAAAATGCAGGGGTATATACGTATAAAAACAAGACACAATCCGCTTGCGATAACATCGGGGCTACCCATGCCCTGAATGCTTATTCCACACTATACGACCGCATATGACGAGGGCCCCTTTCTATTCGCACCATCCCTTCACTCCGGTGCCGTTTATGCTGGTTTCTCACCGGCTCCTTTCCCTTCCGCGTTGATGGCCCTGGATCGCCATCTGCATAGCTGTCGGTGGAATCACTCTCAATCTTCCTCTCGAGTGTCTCGTCACTCCCATCGCAGACTAGCATACTCTCACGGGGCGGCTGCCTTCTGTCCCAATGTGATCGCTCCCCGCTAGGGCCCGTTCTCCGCTCAGTGGGCACCCGATCTCGTGCGGTCGGACACGAATGTCGGCGCTGTGGCGCCCTTCGCTCGCGGCTATCTCTGCAGTGGGATCTTCCAGTCGATTCCCGCCTGCCCATTCCATGTCCGTCAAGCTCCCGACGATGGCGTTCATCGGAACTAAACCTCCTCGTAGCTCTCTGGCCACCACTCTCTCTCACAGCGGATGTACATATATTTCTGTTTTGGCGAGGCTGAGGAACTGGCATTGCCCGTGCTACTGATGATAGGCCTCCCTCTCGCCTCTGCCGGCGCCTCCTTCTGTGGCGTTCTCTCCTTTCCCGTCTTTCGCGCATTCCTCGCTCCGTATCCACCGCCCTGCGTTCCCGGTCCCAGCTTGGGACACGGAGACAGATTACGAGAGCCAATGCGAAGAAAAATAGGAATAACAGTATTGATGCCGCGAGGACGCCACCTTGCTCCTCTGGTGTCCATGAATTCCAGCCTCCATCCGGCTGTTGCTCTAATTGTCCCTTTTTTGTACTCTGAGAAGGGGTGGATATCGGAATAAGCGTTGCCATGGCTCCCGGTGAGTAGGCGGAGTTGGTGCGAAGTATTTTGCTGGCTGGTTACCTCGGAAGGCTGACACTTGCTGATGATGACGTGGGCATTGACATTGGCTTGTGATGTAGGTGGGGAACTATCACATCTGCTATTTTTATAGAAGTGATGAATGAACAGAATGGTTTTAGCTGGTTGCAGGAAATTGAAGTAATTCAATGTGAAGTTGCCGTGCCTTTAGCGATTGAAGTGACAGAGAGATTTAGTTGGGAAAAAGAGGGAAATGTCTACACCACGTAAATAGATCAGATGTATTAGTGTAGTGAAAAGATTCGAATAACACCAGCAGAACAGAACTGCCCACGATCAATCAAAAAGAAAACTCTTCAATTCTTCTAAAAATAGAGAGAATGCGAAACAGGCCTGAATAAAGGACTTGGAGTGGAACCGCTAACGGCAATGAAAGAAAGTAAATTTGGCCCTTGACAATGAAACAAGAATTGTCCGATGGAAGCTTTGATTGTGGCTAGATACTCAGATAAGGCGCGTATACGGACGCTTATTCTAAATGTTTGCAGCCTCTACTCAAAAAGAAGCAAACAAGGAGGCCTGAATGGAGCCGTGTCAATTGACACACATATATATGTACATACATAGATCTCAAAGCCATTGCATCCGTAGCAAACAGTGCTAGCACTCCCGCGTCTAGTTTGCTTCTAAGCAATCACCTCATGTATCCGCGACCCCATCCTGGTACCAACACCAGCAAGCAAGAAGATATTCCAGCTACCTAGCAGTTTACAGCTAGGGGTGACCATTGATGGCGGTGGGCGGTGCTGCTCCTCCTCCACCCCCCGCTCCGTTCGCAGGAGGGTGTCCGTTGGCTAGTTGTCCATTCCCATTCGCATTCACATGTCCATTGCCGTGTGCGTTTCCGTTGCCATTTCCTGGGGGCCCATTTGCTGGCTGTGATGGGTTTGTTTGCCCTGAGTTGTCCGGTTGTACGTTCGCCGGCTGTCCATTATTAGCTGTGGTGGACGGGCTTCCTGGCTGCACTGCTTGCGCTGGTTGAGGGCCAGGGGGGGGAAGATTGGTCGCCTGAGCTACTTCAGCTTCCTGGGCGTCGATCGCTTCCTCTGCTTTTCGTGTCTCTAGCATCATGTTGTTCACTGCGAGGTTGTGATAGAACACGAAGGCGGCGTGGATGACAACTCTATATACGATGAACGCGAATACTGGTACCAAGAGTACGATGAGAACGATGACATGGTTGGGGCGCATGGCTGTTGTGTGGTGAAATCACCCCCTAGGTGCGTGGAGGGTAATGGAGGTGTGGAGGTGTGAGATGGAAGCTTTGGATATGCCTGACCTACTCGCGAGGAAACACTTGTAATTCGAAATATTTAGAGGCGTGCATGCCTAGACATAAAAGCTATGTGATATGCTATTGTGCGAGGTGTCAAATAATCCTTGGTCAATATCGCGTTCAGGGTTAACGTCTGATTGTTCACAAGAACTACACCATCGATCAGCAAGTTAGAAGTAAAAGATTTGAAGTATGGAAGAATACCTTACCTGCGCATGAGGGCACCTGAGAAGCTATAATGTAGCAACCTCGAGTTGGAAAAAGAATTCATATCAAAATAAACATTATTCAATAGGGAGTTTTCGCCCAGCAACAAAGAGGGAGTTGTCGCGATCTCAACGCGTTGTAGATAATGTGAGAACGAACAACAAAAATCATTCCTCTTGACAGCTGAAAGAAGAAAACCAGAATAATATTCATGAAAGAAATTAATTAAGAGTAGGAAAACCAAATTCAAACAGCAGCATTACACCTTGCTTCTTAAAGAGTCTTTAGGGTCACAGCTGTTCTCGGAGCCATCATCGCAATCGATAATCGTTTTCAGAAGGGTTAACCAGCAATGATGCATGCCGACCTTATAACCCTGATCCCATAAATCCTGCAGTCTTTGACGGACCAGGGATTTGTCGAAGTCCAAAGTTTCAGACGGAGGAACAAGGAGGAAAATCTTTGCGCCGCGAATGACTCGAACGCCCAAGGTAAAAACATCTGGATCAGATATCCAGCCTAGCACGCCATCTCCACCGGCTTCCCGCGTTTCATTTATCAGTGTAGAAATACCATCAGCAACCCAGGAGTAGAGCTGTAGGGCGAAGCTTGTGTTCTCTCGCCTCGCTACTGATTGCGATAGCACTTTAGCCCATATCTCAACTTCCCGCACGTCCTCAACAAACAAGTTCTGTTTTTCTTCTTGGAATAGAACTGTGCTCTCCGTCTGAAATTCTGCAAAGAGCCTAGAAACGGCAGTGATAGTTTTATTTTCGTTGAACTTAGTACCCGAGAGCATGGTTGGCAGCCCGAGGAATCGGTCCATTGCTTCTGCACATAAAGTTGTAGAATTAGCAAAGGTTTTGGCGAGGATATCGGCCAATTTCGAGCTAGCCGCGAGAGGAAGTAATGTAGTGGCTTCGTTTGCACTATCAGAAACAAGCGAGAAAAGTGTGGATGCTGCTTGCGCTGCAAGATATCTGATGTCCTCATCGTCGTCGTTCAGCATCCCATACAAAACAAGATATGTCTCTAGGATATTGGGTTCGATCTTGGAATGAGTGTTGCTTGTTTTCAACCCTAAAACAAAAGTTTTCATTGAAAGCGCAGCAGCATGGCGGGTTGAGAATTCCTATCGGGATTAGTTAACCTACATTCAACATAGAAAAGGGGGTTTGTAAAAACTCACGGTTTCGTCGCCAATGGCAAATCTTAAGCTTTGAGTCCATTTATCCAATCTTGTTTTGAACCCCAAGGAAACTTCAGGCACATCGAATGACAGCATTCTCAGCGCCAGGAAGCATCCTTGTAGGCGTAATGATGCATTTAGCATATCACGACTCCCTATACTGGCACCATCGCCGTCTTTTGAGATATCTGTAGATACAACCCATTTTTGTAAAAAGTGGAACTCAGTGGATAGCGGAGAAGTATTTTCCAACAGTATCATCAACTCATCCGCTAGATTGGAGGTAATGGTAAGCCGTATTTGCTGAGAGCGTGCCTCTTGAATCATGGCAATGTAGAGCTTTATCCTCTGTACCTGGGACCGTTTATGGGAGCTGAAACTGTGGTGTATGTGGTTTAGCAACCAACAGGTGGTGTCGGAGTCTACTGCTGAGATCGAGTCTATAAACATCAATAGATCTTCTGATGCGACCGCTCGTTCAAGGAGAATGCTAGTTTTCGAGACGGAAAGTGCTTTTAAAAGTAGAAATGAGGATTTGGAGATTGTCGTATTGACTTGCGAAACCAGGTCACTTAGTATACCGAAAAGCCCATGTTCTTCCAATAGGGCATTGATTTGCGGTATGACAGTGGCTATTATCCAGTCAGCATGTTTTGCCCTTGTAATCTAAGTATGTCATAGTACGTACCTTCAAGACCACAACGGGTACCTGCCTCAGTAACATCATTAAGGATTTCGACCAGCGTAGCCAGCACGAAAGGAGACCTGGCGTGAGAAAATAGATTTTGGAAAACTTTTTTCACAGTAAGAAGCGTCGATCCGGAGCCGTCTAGAAATGTATTAGCGAACGTGTCCTCGGATGAACCTAAGGCTTCTCACCTAGCCAGTATCCGCTCGAGGAAACCCAGAGTCTCTGCAGAGCATATCTAATACATAATGCCGTTCCGTGGATTTGGTTCTGTGAGAGGGATCCGTGGGGAACTGTGGAGAGCTCACAGACAGTCGCCGGTATCTCTTCATGCCCTAGGAGGGACGCATATATCCTCGCTGAGTGCTCCCTGATACCCCAAACAGGGCTTTTAAACTGCTCGAATACAAAGTTCCTTAGGAGCTTTTCCTCCTCCCTAGAAAAGGACGGCACCTTCTCTCCAATTAGCTCCAGAGCTGGGAAAACTCGCTCCGTTTTTATGGACAGCTCCCATAACTGCGAACTTGTCTCTTGTTCTTCATTAGGGATGGGGTCTTGTAGGAGTTGGCCCAATAGCTCAATTAAACCGGGATACTTTTGAAAAACGATCCTACTTCCAGGCTCAGATCCAGAACTCCCTCCCAGGCCCGCGCTGCATCCCGCCTTAAAACGACACATTCGATTCATTAAAGCCTTGAAAAGCATCAATCCGCAATTTCGAATTGCCCATCTAAAACTACATGTTAGCCAGGTTTGAATCCAATTGTCAGGGGAAATTACATTTTGGATCCTAAGCACTCAGCAGAAATCCTTAAGCAAGGCATGACATAGGCTTCCGTCGATGGGCCTAGTTTCGTGTTCGTAAAGATATCTTTCAAGCAATTTAAGGCGTGAACCTGGGGCAATTTGATATCTGACCCTATAGCACCTGTAGGCGCACTCAGCTTAGCAATCTCCTGAGTATCGTGCATGATTTGGCGGAAAAGAGAACCATCGGGTTGAGAAGAAGCTATCCCGGTGATAAGTGCAGGGAGGCCCGCTGATCTTCGTGTGAGCTTCGAAGCTTGCGCGTCGATGATTTCCAAAGCATCCTAGTTCGATTAGCAGGGGCTCTCTCAGAGAAGACATGAAAAGCGCAAATACCCTGTACCAGACCTCTAGAAGGTCGGTAGTCCCAAGCTCCTTCGACTGGGCACATCGTGCGCAGCAAGCGGTGAAAGTCTGCGAAACTGCAGAAAATGCACCCCGGTGTCGTAACTCGGCAAGTTGAGTAAAACTTAGTGTTCCTATTTTATTGAAATCGTCTCTAACGAGTCCAGTGCCAGAAGAATCGGGGGAGTAGCTCAAATTGAGTAATATCGCGTGGAGTAGCATACTGTTTATTTTTAGTTAGCGATATCAAAAATTTGAAGCCAGAGGCTAATACCTGGATTCCCGCAATGCACGCCAAGAGCATGATAACAAATCTTTCGGGCCCTTAAGCTCATCCGCTGCGTCCTCGTCCTGTCCTTCTGGGGAATCTATACAGAGGATGGCCCGAACACCAAGCCAAATATTTTGGCAGAGCAAAACGAGTCGATCGTGGTATAATCTCCAGTATGGACGCCCGGTTTCTGATGAGGGAAACTGAGAATGAAACTCAGGGGTCGACACGATATACCTACTTATGGAGATTAGGAAAGCGGTTCATCACTCTCGAAGAGATGGCAAGGGGCGGCCTACCTTAATGCAGAGATGTAACCGTGGACAGAAGTCTCCCGGATTGCGATTTGAAACGAGCCATCAGTTGAATACAGGGTTTCTTCCAAAATTGTGACAAGTCTTTCCACGATAGTTTGTTTTTGCTCATACCAATTTCCACCAGTGTCTGAGGATTTGGATTTGCTGCAACTTGCAAGGTCGAATATAATGTGGTAGAGGCGTGCCACTGCATCAGCATGATCAGCTCTGCTAGTGCGGCTTGCGACACGCTCTGCTCTTTCCAAAGCCTTAACGAGTTGTAGTCGCAAAGGTGAATCTCGCCCTTTTATGATATATTCTTGTCCGCCATTATCGAGCGTTGATTGGATATGTGCTCGAGGAAACATATTTAGAAGCATCAGAGCTGTGGAACGGACATCGTCGAATGGGTTTATAAGCAAATCACCCATGAGTCTGAAAAGACTTGGTCGAAATATTTCAATACTACAGTCCCAGGACATTTGATCCTGGCCAAGCCTGGACAAGTGTATAGGGTCAATTCTACTATCCAGACCTGCCTGCGATAACAGTACCAAGGTCTTGAGGGCTGATATGTGCCTTTGATAGGACATTGTTGGCTGAAGTTCTAGTTCGAGAAAATCCACATACCACCGTAGAAACTGTACATGGGCATCGGCGACATTGGCGTGCTTGGCTCCAGGCATATCATCCCCAGGTGTATTTTGGTTGGTAGACTGTGACCCATACGCAAGGTTCGCCATTTTGCGACAGGAAGACAGACCACCGCGTAACCTAATGATAAGCTTTCGAATTAGGCTGAATACCTCTCCTCGATATTGGGGGTCGCTGTCAGTATGCATATAAGGGAAATTTTTGATTAAAACTTGGAGGCTATCTGGGGAGAACGGCTTTGTGGTGGAGGGGGCTGTTATCATCAAAGAAAGGGCCGAGAGCCGTATGGCAGCTTCAGAGTGTATTAAAAAATCGCCAATTCGGCCGCTTTCGATAATATATGACTCGCCAGAGGCCGACGCAAGTACGCCTGAGCCTAAAACTAATTAATTGAGAACGATATCAAGCATTGGGGAGTTTTTAACTTACTGCCTTCCTGCACAAGACCGAGCTCTTTGGCTATTTGAAGAGCGGCAAAGAGTACAATAAGCTCATCCGTGGTGGCTTCACATGAACTAGGCTGCAAGTCGTGAGATGGTAGAGTGCGGATAAATGACTGAAACCCAGAGGGTATCGCTTTGAACAGCGGATAGAGAAAATGATCAGACACTGCATCCAATGCATCTAGATTTTGCAATGCAATATATCTGAGAGGGGCTTGCCAGAGAGGACCCGAACTGCTCGGACTATTGTACAAAAAACTGATTGAAGCGGCTTCCAGTCTATGGCAGAACAGAGTAAATAATGTTCCAGCTGGGAGGGCCAAGTCTCGGTTATTAGAATTAAGGAGGAGAGAAATGGTAAAAATTTGGGCAGCGTAGAATAGCAATTCATTTTCTCCAATGTTTTGACTGCTTTCTCTATCAATAAAGATGTTTACGGGAACCCCAAGCTTGATGCAATGCCTTTCTAATCGCGGCGCCCAAGTCATAGGATTCTCTAACATCCATGTCTTCATCTTTTGGATCAGGTCAAGCACCGGGAGGGTATCCTTTCGGATAAGCCATTCTAGGGAGATCAGGCATGCCTTGAGCCTTGACCGGGGTTCGCACAATAAGATGTTGGGGATTACCAACTGAATTAGGTTTGAACGCACTGACTGGATGATGGAGTCATCATGATGCCTTGAAATAATTCTGATTAACGAAGTTAGGACCAGCCTCATTGGTTTCGGTTTGCGCTCATAGCGATCGAGCAGAACCTCAAAGGTGCAGGCCCAAGGAGGGTTAGATCCGGACAATGAAAACTCGCGGATCCGTTCATTTGTAGAGAGAGCCGTTGCATCAAGAAACGCGCTAATTGAATTACAAATAGCCACCATATGAGATGATGATAAGTCGTTGGCGGAAAATGTTCTGAAAAGGCATTTCCAGATGGGAAAGATCAATCTACGACCCAGTTAATCTAGCTGATCGAGAGGAAATGAGTTCAGAAAATTGAGAATAAGCTTACAGTGGGCTATCGGCATGCAGGATTAAATCCCTTAACGGGCCCCTGGCGGCCTCATTTAACACATTTTCCGGGATAGCATCTAAGTCTGAAGACAACAGACATTTAAGTGCTGGCGGCGTCCGAGTTTGTTCCTGCGTCGGAGAGCCATTGGATGCCGGTTTCTGGGTATCCATTATTCCAAAAAGAAAAACAAAAAAAGAAAGATAAAAGTGATAGAACTCTAGATAGAAGGAAAGCAAATCAAATCTATCATAAAGAATATCAAATAAACCCCCCCCCACTAGTAGGTACTGCTACTTTTTTAAATTTATATCCTTCCTCGAGCGTAAGATTTTTGCTGCTCGTTGGCTGTAGATGACTAAGCGGACGAATGTTCCCTGAAGCAGTATAGCGTAGAATCAAAGATTTTCCGATCGCCGAGGAAAAATTATAGCTGCAATCGAGCCGCAAGAGCGACAATCTCCATCCCGACTTTTCTTCCGCTCAAGACCTAACCCAGAATTACACCCCTTGTATAAATACCGTTATCCAGGAGAACGCGGGCATATCCAGGAGCGCAGCTGGCGCAAGGAACCCTTTTTTTTTTCTCTCTTTCCAGTTTCTAGATTTTGTGGCTTGTTTGTATAATATATTCCTAATTTGCCATCATGTCTATCTGGGATACTCTCTCTGGTCGAAAGGGCTCTTCTACCTCTTCTGCTCCCTCCGGCCCCTCCCATTCTACGTTCGATCCTGCCTCTGCCGAAGATGCATCCTCATTCCTCTCTGGCAGCGCAATGCCAGACCCCTCACTATTACATCCTCTCGCCGGACTGAACCAAGAAACACTAGATTACCTTTCGCTCGAAGATTCCGCGCTCGATGACCTACCCGGCTCCCGCTCCGCACTCCCCTCAAGGGGTTGGTCAGACGATCTTAGCTATGGAACAGGAACTACATATCTAACAGCGCTTTCGATTGGAGGTACATGGGGTCTGATTGAAGGCCTCCGGAAAACTCCAGTGACTGCGCCCCCAAAACTTCGATTGAACGGTGTCCTCAACTCGATTACCAGAAGAGGCCCGTTCCTGGGCAACTCTGCGGGCGTGCTTGCAATGGTATATAATGGAATTAATTCCACTCTGGGGCATTTTAGAGGGAAACATGATGCGGCAAATAGTATATTGGCAGGCGCTTTGAGTGGCATGTTGTTCAAGAGTACAAGAGGCCTGCGGCCTATGATGATATCTGGAGGAATCGTCGCCAGTGTGGCTGGTGTTTGGGCTGTAAGTTTTGCGTCTTTGACCTCCAATTAGTAAAACCAACTTTTGCTAATGTTGCCTTTTCTATAGGTTACGAGACGGGCGTTCTTCTCATAATCTCGGCGTGATTTTGGTGTTCTACTCACAGGCGGTTTCACAAAACAAAATATTCAACTGAGGCCGGCTTTTTATTCCGTCATTTAGCAGCGTCATTTGAGATTTTCCGAATGAATATAGCAAAAAAGTCGCCCCTACCTTTGAAGCTTCATGTTTCTACCTTTCGATTGCAAATGTATTAAAAATACTTGGTACAACTTATTTGACCCCGTCTCTTTCCACTCTGGCGTGTATGTGGAGCATCTTTGATTGTTATCTCCTCTGGTTGGAGACTCGCATGATAACGGGTTTGCTTTTGCTGTATGTATATAGAGGACTTTTAGTTGGCTTTTCCTTTCTGTCAATTTTCTCTTCCATATCTGGTTCATCCCTCGTGAGTTTCACGGACCTTTCTTATGCCTGGACTTTTTAATTTATACTTCTGCTCCATAAAAATTATATTTTCCTCCCATTCAGCTTCTATAGTTATGTACATGCTCATCTTTATGGTCATGTATATGCCACACCCAGCTCTGGAAGGTTGCGGAACCAACATGCCGAACAACCTCGCGACTACCCTAAGTACTAAAAAGCGGTAAGTGGCAAGCTAATTCAATGTTCGGCAGAGTTCCCCTAGCATGTCGCGACTTCCCCATCTCTGTGTTCTGGACGGTGTTGCTAACAGGCAGGTCAACACATTGTTGCTACGCTGGACACCAGAAGTTCTTTCAACCTACGACTCTACACGTGGCCTACATACCTATACGGCATTCACGCAGTACCTACATAGTTATCACCGAAGCAGTTGTTAATTCTTCTTTTACCACTATTCACCACTTCCTCGAATACCTTTGGAGGGCGGGATCTTCTAGAGAGTCAGTCTACTTCTTGGAGCGTGGAAGCGAGCGCGAAGCGTTGCATTACCGAAGCACTTGAAGAGGAAATGGCACCTGCCATCTCAAATGTGGAAAGGAGGCCGGCTACTGTAGAGGATATGATCGAGTGGCTCAGGCGCGACGGATTCCACATTGGACTACTTGGTTGGTGTCCAGAGTGGGATCCATGTGCCATCTTCGGGCTCCCTAGTTCTACCCCAGGACCACACGTGTTAGGTATTCCGACAAGCTCTGCGGACAAGTCTGATGGACAGCTACAACTTGAGTCAAATGTCACGATGGATATTGATGGGAGTGCGGAGATGAGTACAAACGCCGTGTTTCCAAAAGGACTTCTTGAAACCTCCCATGCACATTACGTGAGGACGATGGTTAGAACACATAAAAAGTTGCTTCCGGATGCCCTTAAGGAAATCGACCAACGGCTAGTAAAGGCGGGAGTGACACGGCAAGAAGTGGAAGCGCTCACTAGTGGGGATGAGTTAGAGGCATATGAGAAGCTGGCAAGGTTAGAGCAAGCGATGGCAAAGCTCCCTCTATCTACTCGGTTACAGTTCCGCGCTATGTATGTCGTTGCACCCGGCAAATGGAGGACGATTGACATCAACCTTCCCGAGACGCATAGGTTGGGAGACTTTGAGGGAAGTATGCTCCGTCGTTTACCTGTGTTACATCTGAACAAGTCCAAAAATCTGGCAAGCATTCAGGGGAGTTCGCAGCCCAGCGTTGCATCGCAAATCCTTGCAAAGAAACCTGGTTTCGATAAGGAAGTTTGGGCTTACAAGATAGCCGAGCGGGATCAGAGCGGTTCAGAAGAAGAGAACTTTGAAGGATGGAAAACGCTGTGTGATGAGGAGGACTTCACCGAGCTCAAACAGGCCCTCTTGAAAGACGAATTAAAAGAAGCTAAAATCGCAATTGTCTGTCATGTAAGGAGAAACAATCCCAACCCCCTCCCCCGCTCACAGAGAAGCAATAAACTAACCGGCCACCTGGTAGGAAACTGCTTTCGAGACGATGAAGCAGGGGAAGGAAGAAGGGCGCGGCAAAGAAGTACATCAGCAGCCGAAATTCCATACATCGAATAGAGGATTGGATTACTACATTGGCATGATAAACAGTGGCAGCAACTTGGGAAACACCAACTGCAACATGGACGTCGACGAATGCATACCGACCTCTGATGTCATTGACTGGAACCAAGTGATAAATGCGAAGGTCGCAGGATGGGAGGAGGATCGACCGCAGTAGGTAGTTTAATTATGTGCGTTTTCTTAGGCGGCTAAACGGTCCATATGGTAGCAACACAGAAATAAAATATATTTCTTCCTGGGCACTTCCTTTCAAGTCTACGCTGTAAATAATATATAGATAGATCCTGTGCTTAAGCTAGTGTCTTAGTGCAGATGTTAGCCGTACAGCCAAAAAAGGAATCGCCTCCAGAATAAATTACACGCTAACTTCATATGATTTACTACGTAAGCAATGTCAAGCGCCAAGGCGGTGTGGATCTGGTCCAAACCTTAAAACGACCGCTCCGCCTGCCGAATCAGGAAATCTCAGTATATTCTGCCGCCTTGCACCGCTTCCATCCCGCCCCGGACCCAACGTCGCAACCCAGCTTCCCACTTCCCACTTCCCACTTCCCGCTTCCCGCTTCCCGCTGCAACTACATATTCTATATATCCAGTATCACCGCTGCTGTATGGATTTCCCCATGTTATAGTCCCTTGGGATGTCCCGGGGTTCGATTCCGTGCATACTTTCTCCAGCCTAAGACCCATCGTCTCAAGCACACTTTATACGCTTAACGCGGGAGCTCTACAACTTCGTGCGCCACGTACCTTTGGGCGATGCACCGCCTTCCGTTCCAGAAGTCTGTGGTAGAGCCGCCCTCTCAAGATAATGGGCGTAGTACAGACCCCCAGCTCCCGGTCAAACCCGACTCAGATCCTCACGAGCCTTCGCCGTTCGCCTCCACACCGAGAAAGCCCCACCCTGCTCCAATCGCAGGAGACATAAGCTCGCCGGAGGGTTATACCGACGGCGGAAATAACTACGTGCTTTCAAAACCTGCCCCAAATAATACATCGCTTCCGTTTCCAACAACAGAATCTATCTCAATACCGCGGACGCCTTCGCTTCAAATATGCACAGATCTGCCGTCGGCCCATCCCACCAAACCCTTCTCAGATGCGCCTCGCGAGCCTGACATACCCCTTCGTTCCAGCACATCCTCTACTAGCCTACCACGCCGTGCGCCAAGTATTCGGACTGCTCTTGCAGCGGCGCATTCATGCGCTGGGTCGATATCTCCTAGCTCGGTTTTCTCATCACCTCAGTTAGCTGCCCTGATAGATATCACTCCACTGCCATCTCCCGTCTTACTAGGAGCCTCGCCCTGGAAATCCACAACTAGCCAGGCACCATCCCGGACACCTTCTACATCCTCGAGAAGTAGATCCACGTTTAGTATCCGTAGGATCGGATCATCAGAGAGACCCAGGTCGCCTTCTAACCGACGCCATATTTCTGGGGCGCTGGCTCCGCCCAACAGAGAAGTTCAGCTACCTGAACCAGAAGGCTCCGCTGAGGCTGTTCGACTGAATAGGCACGCTCGGAATCGAAGTCTTAGTGACTATACGCCAGATACGCTTCATGTTCCTCCGCCCCATAAGACCAATCCATCCGATACTCTACTCAATAATGGCACCACCACACCTACTCAAGATATGATGATCCACAGCAATATGCAGCGTGAGGATTATTTGGCTGTCCGACGTGGGATTGCGCTCCCTTCTCCCACACGCCTCCCAACCCCTCCACGGAGCGCGCGCAGTGGTTATGACAGCAGTGATACAGACTTAGTCCCGACCCTACTGGCACCTGACCTTCAAACCCCCACATATCATGTCATGTCGGTTAGGACGCAACAACCCCGTAGGTACCGAATGCTACGCAAATTAGGGCACGGGACATTTAGCCAGGTGGTTCTGGCTGTAAGGGATGATCCTGGCGATAAAATGGAGTCTGCTTTAACTGGCAATACGTCACAGCCCCCACGCCTAGTAGCGATAAAGGTCGTCGAGTACGGCCCAGCTGGAGGAGCGGACAAAGAAAGAGTTGAAACCTCGTTAAGTCGAGAAGTCGAGATTCTCAAATCTCTCAATCATCCATCCCTCGTCCAGTTGAAAGCGTTTGGCGGCGACAACAAACGATCTTTGTTAGTTCTGGACTACTGTCCTGGTGGTGACCTCTTCGAGTTCGCGAGTCGGGCAGTAAACCAGTTATCCCAGTCCATTATCCGCAGAATATTCTCAGAGCTGGTGGCTGCCGTGCGATACTTACATGCAAACTTTGTTGTGCATCGGGATATTAAACTTGAGAGTACAGCTACCCGCTGAATCTTTCCTCAAAACTACACCATCTTTCTTTCGCTCATATGTTTCCGATTTAGGAAATCTGTGCTAATCCTCCCTTCATAGATGTGCTTGTAAACATACCCGCGTCAGTGATACAGGATGTCTCCGACTGGCGAAGATATCCCCGCGCCCTCGTCACCCTCAGCGATCTCGGCTTATCGAGACGCATTCCTGAACCTCCAGCCAGCCCTCTGCTGCAGACGAGGTGTGGTAGTGAAGATTATGCGGCTCCAGAAATATTGATGGGACAACCATACGATGGCCGGTCAACGGATGCTTGGGCGATGGGGGTCCTGCTGTACGCGATTATGGAAAGCCGACTTCCTTTCGATCCCTTGCCGGGAGCCAGAGGCGACCCTGCCAAACTTCGCGCGCGAACCCCACATCGGATAGCTCGCTGCGAGTGGTCCTGGTACCGGTTTGCCAATGAAGACGGCGAATGGGATCCGGTTAAGGGGGAGGGACGCCAAGATGCAAGGGCATGTGTTGAAGGACTACTTACGAGGAGCACGAAGCGGATGAGTTTAGATGAGATTGCGAAAATGCCGTGGGTGCAAGAGGCTATTGATGTTCCAGAAGGGCTGAAGAGGGGAGATATTGAAGTTCCTTAGAGAGAGCTGAGTGTTTCTATTTACTACTGTTTCCATACCACCTTTCCGTTAACCTTATGATCTGTTCCTCCTTGATTCCCTTTTCAGTTTCCGCTCCTCTACTTTCATTTTCGTTCCCCAGAGTCTTTTCCTCTTCTCCCCCCCCCCTTTCTTTCCTTCTTTTCATCTTCCACCCGGCCTCCCCCCTAAAAAAAAGAAAAATAACCCTCCCACCTACACCTTGACTTCGGTTTATACCATGACGACATTCAATGCTGCTTATGACTCTGGCCACTAACCGCGGCCCATTCCGCTTTACCTTCCGGTCCACTTATTGATGCAAGGGAGACAGATAATAGTACCTTGTTTGCTGCGATGACATATAACTCTCGCAGTTTTGTCCTTTTACAATTTTGTGCTGCATAAGGGACACTCGATGACTATTTTCTTGTCTCCCTTCGATGCTCCTTTCATTCCTACTTCTTGAATCTCACACAGTTCTTTTGCGTTTGGGTGCCTCCCTTCATGACTCTGTACATAATATAAAATTTCTGCATTGCTAGAGCATATTGTACAGCATATATATATAGAGCAATAAAATCGCCAGATATAAGGATTGAGAAAGAGAACCATTCAATACCTAGCCTAGAGAGAGTCATCGTGAGCGTGCTGACCTTTAAGCCAGCCCGTGATTGGCCAGCACATGCCAAGACCGAGGCTCCCGACATCGGCCGCCCTAACCATCTCCACACCAGCTTGGAAGCTTATAATTTGGATATCTTCAATTCTTCACCATTTTCGGCGCTCACAACAACGACACATTCCTCACCAACAGTCCGCATATTGTTGTACGCAGAGGACGCAGGGTCAGCATTCTAGAGATCCATTGGCCTGGACGCTACCAAGTTGAGGGTGAGGAAAATTGACTGACCTGGACCAGGCAGCTTCAGTTTGACATGCGCTTGCTTCGACCTAGTCATATCTAATATATACCCGCGATGCTCCGCCTACAGGCACGGGCCCAGATGCCCAACAGCTTCAAGAGGCTGCTCTTCCCATTATCCTCGTATGTTTTCAAAGGATTCTATATAGCCGTCAAGTATTGAAGTTGCTAAAAACGGATTGTGTCTAACCTAAAACGCTCTATTCAGCCGATCTTTCTCCGCAACTTCATCCCCATATTCACCCTCGTCCTCAAAGGACAAAAAGCTCAACAGTGTTTCTCAACATGTCACACAACCTATTTCCCAGGGTGCTTCGCAGGCCATGCTCTACGCCACAGGCCTTACCCCGGAAGATATGTCGAAAGCCCAAGTTGGCATCTCCAGTGTCTGGTACAACGGAAACCCATGCAACATGCACCTCCTCGATCTAAGCAACCGTGTGCGCGAAGGGGTGCAAAAGGCGGGGCTTATCGGTTACCAGTTCAACACCATAGGCGTTAGTGATGGTATCAGTATGGGCACGTCGGGTATGCGGTACAGCTTGCAGAGTCGGGATCTCATTGCTGACTCAATTGAGACGGTCATGGGCGGCCAATGGTATGATGCCAACATTAGCATCCCCGGTTGCGACAAAAATATGCCTGGTGTTGTTATGGCGATGGGAAGAATAAACCGACCAAGTTTGATGGTTTACGGCGGAACAATCAAGCCTGGTTGCGCAGCAACCCAAAACAACGCCGATATCGACATTGTCTCTGCGTTCCAGGCCTACGGCCAATTCCTAACAGGTGAGATCACTGAGGCCCAGCGATATGATATCATTCGACATGCTTGTCCGGGTGGCGGTGCTTGTGGAGGCATGTACACTGCCAACACCATGGCCTCGGCGATCGAGGTTATGGGTATGACTCTACCGGGATCGTCGTCGAACCCTGCAGAATCCAAAGCCAAGGACCTAGAATGTTTGGCGGCTGGCGAAGCAATTAAGACACTTCTCAAGGAAGATATCCGGCCATCTGACATCTTGACGCGCCAGGCGTTTGAGAATGCGATGGTTCTCGTCAACATCACCGGTGGCTCCACCAACGCCGTACTCCATCTGATTGCCATTGCTGACTCTGTCGGCATTAAACTCACAATCGACGATTTCCAGTCCGTCAGCGATCGCATCCCCTTCCTCGCAGACCTCAAACCCTCCGGTAAATATGTCATGGCCGATCTACATACAATTGGTGGTACTCCCTCATTACTCAAATTCCTCCTGAAAGAGGGTCTCATCGACGGCTCTGGAATGACCGTGACCGGCCAAACCCTAGCCAAGAACCTCGAGAAGGTCCCTGACTTCCCCGCCGATCAGAAAATCATTCGGCCCCTCAGCAACCCCATGAAGCAAACCGGACACATCCAGATCCTCCGCGGAAGTTTGGCGCCGGAAGGCAGCGTCGGTAAAATCACAGGCAAGGAGGGCACCAAGTTCACCGGTAAAGCGAAGGTCTACGACCATGAAGACGACTTCATCGCCGCATTGGAACGGAAGGAGATTTCAAAAGACGAGAAGACGGTCGTGGTAATTCGCTACACCGGGCCCAAGGGCGGTCCCGGAATGCCAGGTACGTAAAAGTTTTTCTACATCTCACCCTCCCGAAAACGGGAGAGCAAATCCTATCGTAAAACCCTCACGCTAAACTTTTTTTCCTTTTCAACCCCCCCCCTCCCCAACAGAAATGCTCAAGCCCTCCTCTGCTCTCATGGGCGCCGGCCTCGGTTCATCCGTCGCCCTAATCACGGACGGCCGTTTCAGCGGCGGCTCACACGGCTTCCTGATCGGCCACATCGTTCCCGAAGCCGCAGTCGGCGGGCCCATTGCGCTCGTCCAGGATGGCGACGTCATCACCATCGACGCAGAGAAGCGCTTGCTTGACCTGAATGTCTCTGAAGATATCCTTGCGCAGCGCAGGGTTGAATGGGCCGATCGGGAAAAGAAGGGATTAAATCCCGTTACGGGGATGAAGATGAGAGGGACGCTGGGTAAATATGCTAGGTGCGCATTTTTATTCCTTTCATATTACTATATTCATCGTGTTTTCTTGTCTTTATGAGGCTTTGAAACTAACCACTATTTTCTTCCCCCTTCACCATGCAGAACCGTCAAGGACGCAAGTCACGGATGTATCACCGACGCATTGTAGAAGTCTTTTCTAATTTTTTCCCCTTCTGTTTTCCCTTTTCCGAGTCTTTTCATCCCACGATACCTTTAGGCATTGACTACTTCAATAGATATCGATTCTGGATTTTTCCTTTTTGTTTTTTATGATTTCTGTACAGTACTTTTATCTTCTAGCAACACGGGCCAGGCCGTTAGTTTTTTTTTAACAAAAAAATTTGTGAAACGTGAAAATATATAACAGCATGAAGACGTGGTTTTTCTAATTCGCTTTGCCCTTGCCCATCACAGCGCATCTAATCCTCGCGTTTTTTAGGCACTTATTTTATAATTATGATAGATACTGAAAGAAAAATTTTTGTTTATTTCAATATATGAGAAATCAAGAGTTGAGGAGAACTGACATGGTCTCTGGTCTCTTTCTATTATCTGTGAGGTATTGATTAAGCCCTAAATCGGACTCTCAGTAAGAAGAAGGGAGGGGCAAAAACAGCAAGAATGAGTGTTAGTGCTGGGAGGAAAAGAATGTAACTAGATATATTTACAAGTGAACCGAGGTTTAAAACCAAACACAACCTAACTAATAATGGATATCTGTATGTGGGAGGCGGTAGGTATGGAGACGTAGAGGCGGGGGAGGAACAATAACAATAAAAATAAACATGTAAGGAATATATGGGAAGGGGGAAAAAATTGAAGGACTAACGAAAAACGCTCCCCGTTTTCTTTTTGGTTCTCCATTCGTGCGTCTGTGTGCTGTTGTGCCCTTTCCGGTAAATGTGCGAGTACGTAGATGGGATCTGAATGAATGAATAAAGATACACCACGCGCAAATATAGAAAAATAAAAAAGAAGGGAAAGAGAAGAGCAAAAAATTAGGCCCATGCAAGAAAAAAAAAAAAAAAAAAAAGGCCGGGGAATATTGAAAGGAAAACGAAGAAAAAAGACATGCCGCAATAACCTATCTATGCTAAATGTGTATATATCCCCCGAGAAAAACTCCCAGTAAGTAACTAAAAACGATCCCGTCCATAATAAACCTTAAAATTACTCCACTCCGCCCCGCCCCCTTTCGACGGAGTTAGTCTGTACCATCCCCTCACCTCAGCGAAAACCGCGCCGTCACCGCATTCGTAGCCAAAATCTCAATCCGCTGCTCATACAGCTCCATGACATGCATCATCGGATCGCCAAACACCACGTCCTGCAGATCGTCATCCTTCAGCAGAAACGCTTCCACATACCCGCCATCTAGCAAGTGGTTTCTCTGCTTCTCCCTATCGGCCCCGCGGAGCAGGATTAGGTTTCCCGCCGCGCACAGCGACGAAGGAGGCGTCTTCCAGACGACTGTCGGCATCTGGTCGTGGGTCTCGTCCAAGTCGCTTTTGCGGTTGTTATTTTTGCTGCTTTTGTTTTTGTCGCTTGTAGGCTTTCTGCCGCCGAGGCGATAGAGTTTTTGCTGGAGGCTCGAGGTTGACTTTCGGGCTGTGGCGCTGCTCTCCTTCTCCCCCTGGGCGGTTAAAGGGGAGCGCGGCAGCGGCGGTGCCGGGGAGATGTACAGGTCTACCAAGGAGCGGACGTACGCTTTATCTGCGCGGGGTACGGGGTCGCCCTCATTCACGAATGAGAAAAATAACCATTTCTGGAAGCGGTCACGGCCGGGCCCAACGGGTTTCTGCAACGGTAGCAGCGACACTGGCGGCGCGCCGAAGGTGATGCAGTGTACTCGCTTAAAGTAGTCGCGCATCCGAATCAAGTCGGACTTCAATGTCTCCGACAGCATATGCATGTATAGCAAGCTGGCGATTGCTCCGCCGGCTGAGTGCCCTGTTATCACGAGAGAGGAAGAGATGCGCGACGGATTTTCGTCAAGGATCTGCCGCAGGCGCATGGCTACGGGCTTGGCTATGCGGCGCGCGACGGAGAGGAAACCAGCGTGGCACAGATTTCCGCGGTCGTCGAGGAAGTTATCTGGCGCGACGGGGTCGGAGTTCATGTTCGTGGCCCAGTCGCGAAAGCTGTGCGTGCCGCGGATGGCGAAGACGATTACGTTCATGTTATCGACTGGTTCGGATTTGATGACCATTGCCTTTGTGCCGAGGCGCCAGTCGGCTTCGACGCGGGTTTCGCGCTCAGCCCCGGTGGGTTTGTTGTAGACTCGTTGGGAGAAGCGCGCTGCCAGGCAGAGGAGAGGATATGTAGGTATATAGCTGTAAGGCGAGAGAGGCGGCAAAAGGGAACGGCGTTAGTTAAATTTATAGCCCCCAAGGCAATAAGTTGATAGGTGAGCAGTAAAAGAAAAAACCTTACAGTCGCAAAGGGGTGAGAGTATCCGGCAGCCGACAATTTGCATAATGATACACTTTGGAGAAGTAATTGATATTTGACAAGTACGTGCGGCGTTTGCGAACTCGGAATGGCCGCCCTCCTCCAGAGTCTCCGCCACGAAGTGGCGGCTGAGGGTGGTGGTAGCTCACGTCTACATAGGAATTTGGTCAATTTTTTTTTTAGCATGCCATAACTGCACTGAGCGTAATCGTCGATAGCAACTTACGTAAATCTTGTTCCATTCCGCTAAATTCCTGGCCGCCTATGGAGGTGATGACTTCGTCGAGCTTCCCGGAAAGAAGGTCGGAAAGATCAGGAGAGCCACTAGAGGAAATATGGTCCTGGTCGGTCACGCTGTACAAGCTCGCGCGCGCGGAGGCTTTGGAGGTGGTAGGGGCATTGTCCTTTAAGGGGGGGTAGAGATGATGATGATGATATTGATGCCATTTTGGGCGACTTTCGTAGCATGGTATAGGCTGAACTAGTTGTTCCGGGGGTATCCAAGTGGAAGTAAAGCGGGTAGGCGAAGGGGTAGGCGAGCAGAATGGCAATATGGGCGGAGAGTTGGGCGGGGTGGGAGGCAGGTCTTGTGACGACAAGATTGACAACCTTGAGATATCGTAAGCCGACGGGTTATATGAGATGAATTGGTGCGTATCGTTTTTGTTTTTCTCGTCGCCGTTGACGATATTGCTGCTGTTGTTCATTGGGGGGTGTATATCTCGATATGCTGGGTGATCTTCCAGTGGAGGCGGTGTTTGGTGAACAGCAGGATGAGCTGAGTGTTGGGGGTGTTGAGAAGCGACGACATCTGGACGTGGAGGTGCAGGGCGGGGAGGCTGTTGAAAATGATCTGGATTGACAAGTCCTGAGTGCGGCAGGGACGGATTTAATATAGATGTGGAGATATTTTCCATGTAGTAGGATGGCGGGAAGGGGAGCGGTGCACTGATGGTGGGCGTATTGGATCGCCCATAGGGATTGGGAGCCTGTGGCCTTTGTATACCAAAGAACGCCATACTGCTAGTGTTCTTGTTATTTGCCGCACGGTAGACATGAACTCGACGATAGATATTAACACAGTGGAGAAGAAAACATTTTGTTTTCTCTTCCAGACAGCAGGACGGGGAAGGGACCACTCTATGAGGCGGGAGGCTGGTCAGGCAAAAGGGCCGTAGCTTGAAAATTAGAATCGCGTTAACACGCAAGCAGAGGAGCAAACATCGCAGGTTTGCTGGCCCAGTGGCATGTTGGGAGCTGGAAAATAGCCAACAGCAGCGAGGGATTCCACACAGTTGGAAAAGAGAAAAGAAGTTAATCCGTAGATCACACACACATTCGGAGGGGTTGTATCAGAATCCTGGACACGAGATCTCTTTTATTCTGTTTCTTTTCTTAGAGCCAACGAGCCGGATATCGCAACTTGGCCCCGACAATCCCCTCAGGGATCCGGGCGGCCTTCCTGCGACACCATTGGGCACGCTCACCACGGGCAAGGCAGCCAAGGGTCAGAGAGTGACAGACAACCGCAAATGCATAGACTTGGCCGGGGCCGGGGGCGAGGCTGTGACAGGTTGGGATATTTACCTCAGGGCCCGACGTTCGATGCCAAGGGCTTTGGATAGGATAGGGCTCTATCCATCCCTCCTCAACTTCTTCAACAATTCATTTACCTAGGTATGCCTGGGCAGGTTCAAGGTTTTCGAAGGTCCCTGATGGCGTTGAGTTATAATTTCTTTTCCCTCTTTTTCAAGCAAGCCATATGATTCCATCCACAATTCCACATCAAACCACCACATCAACCCGCCGCTAGAAGTCACAACCAGCGTTCTGGGGAAAACCTAACTTTGCTAAGTCGGGCTTTGGCGGCGGGGATCTGCTGGGGGCCTACCCTTCATCGCAAGGGTTGTCCAATAGCCAGATGCACTGGCGGCAGATGTTGGCGGCGTGCATATTTATTAGTCTCGCATACAAGCCACGGACTAGCTAGCCATGCAAGTCGAGGGCAAAACGGCATTTGTTGAGGAGGAGGAGGAACAGCGCTGCGCCAGACGGGTAACTAACTAACCAACAGGGGCTCGGGAGAGAAATGAGTAAACTAAACCACCATCAGGGCACTCAAGAGCTGAAATTGACTGTTTGACTGTAGTTGCAATAATGGTCAGCTTAAAACACCCGATATATAAACAAATAAGTTAGGATTGTTCATTCTTTGCTAGGAATGCGGCTCTGGCCAAACAGCACAAACACAGCAACTCAATAGGAATGCGGATGATGGTAAGCAATCGGTTTCTTTTCTTTTCTGTTTCTTCTTCTTCGCTTCTTGTCCAATTCTTCCTTCTCTGCAGCGGCGAGTATTCAAACGACTACTGAATCTGCCCTGTTCTCTTCTACTCATCCCATCCCAACCCATGAATGAACTCGAATGAATACCCAGAAGCTGACAGACAAGTCTACAGACAGGCATCTTCTCTGACTGACACCAACGCCGGGTCAATAACACGCATAAACCAAAACCCCCACATATACATCCTTGAGAGGCCGCGGGGAGGGGAGAAATCTTGAGGTGAAGTCTTGCGTTCGGAACAATTAACTACTTAAAACTAAAAAGCTGCGATTAAGCATAAAACTTAACTAAATATTTGAGTTTTAAAACAGGCAGGCCCCCGCAATATGGAGGACACTAACGATATTACTATGGTAACTATGTACTATGTAGTTCTCAGGTACGGAGTACATGGATATACATAACTACTGTACTCAATACACTCATATGCCAGGTCCCCCATTCCGTTCTATATATAGCACCACCACGGGCGCACCATAACTATGCACTTTCACACTGCAGTATCACATTTTATCCAATGGATAGAGTCATCTCGTGCCCGTCGCCATTCTTACCTTTAGGAATCTATCTATTTGCTCACCGTACATACATATGTACCGTACTCTGCTGCTCATGGAAGTCTCACTCACCGCCTGGGAGTTTGGCCGAGTGGAGGGGGGGAAATGGACTTCCTCCTCTCCCCAGTTCTATCTACTTCGTACACGTAGTAATATTCCATGATATCAGATACCATCTTCGAAAATCCCCCGTAGCGTTAGCCCTCTGCCTCACTAAAAACAAGCTTGCAAGATTGTACTGTACATATTATAATGTCCGCGTATTCATATAAGGAACAGCAGCGACCAATCATGGTCTCTGAAGTAATTGCTAGTAACCGATCGTGGGGGAATCAATCTAGTCGAATGGAGAGAGGGGTACCTAGGTAGGAGGAGGAATTTCCTAGCCGTGACTAGCGCATGCATGTATTGTATGTATGTATGTATGTACATGTATGTATGTACATATGTAGTGGTAGTCCCACAAAAAAATACGATTCATCAGGAACCGCGTGAGGTCCGAACGGCTGGTCCAACGGGCAAGAAACATGGGCTGTCCCCCGGAAAAGGAGAAAGGAGCCGGCGGTGTCTAACCGACTGAGAGAGGAAATGGAATGGAAGTGAGAATGCCTCTGGAAGTTGCCGGAGGGGAAAAGGTCTTTCTATCTCTGCAACCACATAAATATGATTAAACAGAATAAGTAGCTACGTATATATAAAAAGAACAGAAAATTAATTCGTCATGTCAAAAAAAAAAAGAAAAAAAACCCACCACAACCGTATACTATTACTTCCGCCTCCCCGCAGTCCATAACTTGACAAACTGCTGCTTATCCTTCGCTCCTAATCCAACCCGTCTCACCCGTCCCAGTCGAGCCAGCGACTCGCCAACCTGATTCAGCAGCGTCTGCTCCCCGCTCGTTAACGACGCATCAAGATCCACAAACGACTCAGCTAGCTTGGCGTCCAGTGTGTCGAAATAATTATAGTCATACGATGGCTGTCCGCCGTCGGATCCGTTAATATTTTTATCAGTATTGTTGTTGTTCTTCGCACTTTTGGTATCTTTCATGCCCGACGTCGGAAGCAGGATGCTCTCCGCAATCCTCACGCGGATGCAGTGGGTGGGTTTGCTCAGGAGATTCCACAGGAAGGACCTGTATGATTGCGGTATTGGTGTGGTGATGTCTGCGGGCGAGTACCGCAGGCTGACGGGGAAGATTCTTGTTACCGCAGAGACGGCGACAAGAGACGGACTCATCTGTAGGATACCCTTTCCGTTTGTGGTGGTGCACTCTGGGAAAATCACGATGGGTCTGTTTGGGTGCCGTTTTATCAGCGTCGCAATATCGACCAGGCGCGCGTCTGCGGGTGGCTTGACCTCCGGGCCAGCGAAAGCCCGGAGAATAGCCTGGACCAGAGAAATCTGTTGGACTTTGCACGTAAAGGGATACGACACCGTGAATATGGGATCAAATATAGCAGCAAGGTAGAGCGCATCGATTGGGGAGGTAAATGACGAGGCGATCACGGACGCGGGGCCTGGGAGTCGGGAGGAATGTTGCGAGGCAAGCGATCTGTCACGAAACGATAAACGGGTCAGCGACGGACGTCTCGGGGGGGAGGGGAAAAAAGCACAATCGCATACCCTTTCTTAACACCATCTATCTGAAGATCAATCCACCATATGCCCGGAATGCCCAGCATTACCCACAGTGAGGCCTTCTTGCCCAAAGATCCGATGGGCAGCCATTGGAGCACACAGAAGTAGGCGAGAAACGCGGTTATGAGCAGCGGCAGCCGCATGCAGAAGAGGAAGATGTGGAATGGAAGGTATATGCCCGAGGGCTGGGAAGGGATAGGAAGAAAAGGAGCGATTCCGGAACCTGGAGAGCATTCATTTTCGGCTTGTCAGCTATCATGTGGGTATAGTATAATTTACATGCCCTGCGCAACTCAAGACGCTATGTGGGTAAGGTGCATACCTCTATCTCTGAACTGAGAAAACTTCTCCATGGTGAAAGATCAGGCGATAGTATATCAAAGGAAACTGCTGTGCCCCCGAGCTCTCTTGTCGTGGTCGTTGGTGGGTAATTTTTGTGTACGGTACGAGAAGCACAATCACATGCAAAATCCAAGCTGCTGGATGAAGAATGAAGCCACTCAGCACAAACAGGTGATGAGGAGAAGAATGTTGGGGAGCGGACAATAATGAAGACAGTGAGGTGACTTCAGGATTGAGGGAACCAGTCATCAAAACACATTTTTATTATCTGTCTTCCGGCGATTCCTCAGCTTGGACTGTGCTATTTGTTGTCTTTGTCGTTCTTCTCGCTTGCTCGTTTGGCTGCGAAAGCGGCGAGCGATGACGAGGAAAAATAGTTCTGGCGGATGACGGTTGGGTTGGGGGGAGGCGTAGTTATTAGTCAGCGTTCAACCAGCTAACTACAAGTCCGTAGTTACTTGTGTTATTTCTTCTTCAAGGCTCGTCGCGATTTTATTCTCGTCTCCCAAGTGCCCCTGTGGGTTATGCTTCTTTGATAAGATTTACGCCTTGTGCTTTTCTCACTCTTATCTTCCTACCACGATTCTGGGTTCGTGGGGAATGTTGGTAACTAGTTGCTCCGGCTACTCATTATTCTATAACTACATAATAAATAATTCACACGACATTGATCCTCCTACAGGAATAATGGTCACTGGTTGTACGGAGTAACTACTAAGGAGCAAAGGGATGGTGAAACTAGCTTCCAACAATCCTGGCACGACCTCACCAAGAAGCTAGTCTCAAAGAGCCAGATTTCTAGAGTTATGTGATAAGGTCTGGGAGCCATCCTGCATCCCGCGGGTCTTGCAGTATTTGAGCAACAGGACAATACAGGACTAGTTACAGAGCAGTGTGAAGTGAGTTTCCTGCCTGTTCAATTGTTAGTATTTTCCTCATTCCTCAAATTATGCACCATGTTACTGCGGTATAAGGATGAATAAAAGCTGATGATTTATAGTATACCTCGATGGTTGTTATTAAAGTGGTGCTAGCTAGGGGTAGTGTGAGCATTGATAAGTGATGTGCCAACCAACTACTTCCCTGCCTGTGTTGGGCTTGCTGTTTCAAGGTCGGTCGGCCAGGGAGGAAGCCTCCCGAAAGAACACAATAATGCGTGCAACAACGAATATCCACATGTTAATATCATATCCTCAGGAACCAAGGCCCGTGTGAGTCTTATAGGGTATGTTTTGACATGGTGTCTACCCTAGAAATTAGAAATAAACTCATGCAGTCTCGGCGCGACGCTCACGCCATTTCCATCATTCTCTTCATCCGATCCATCGCTTTTCGCTGAAAGTTCCACCTGCCCTGCTCCAAAGCAAAAAGAAGCTAGCTCTGACAGAGTCAAAACAGGCTGACTTGACAGCAATCACCCGTTCTCAGAAACCCAACAGCGTACGCACCAAGAACCGCATTTCCAGCAACCAGTTGAATCTAGCACTTTAGGATTCAACTTATATAATTCGGATGCAGCTTCATAATAAGGAAGAATCCATATGGGAAGCGTGCTGCGCGATGTTATCATGCATCCATATTCAGCCGCTCTGACAACCGCAGTGCCTGCGCCTTCTGATCCAACGCCGCTATCAATGAACCTCTATGCAAGACGCTCAATTTCAGACTTGGTTCTTTGTTGTGGACAGGCGCGGAATCTAGCAGCTCTTCCCATTTTACAGTTAGTAGCAGGGGATGAGCTATATACAGAGTGACTGGTGGATGCTGCTATGACCAAGTAGTTAAGTGATGAAAATGCCCCTGGACCTCAGCATCTGTACGTATAATTATTTCCCCCCACTGTACAAATTTTTCATGTTGTTATTTTTGAGATGGCGCCTTCATCCCACCACGAATCGTAATCTATCCAACTACACTACATGACTCATTCGGGGTTGGATCAGTGGAAAACTATTTTCACGGCCAACACAAATATATCCAACATTCTCAGACTGCACAGGACTCATTTCTGATGCCCTTTTTTAATTAAGTACGAACCCCGTGCATTGCCGTGTCGCTGGCTATCAGATCTCAGCTCTGGGATTTCACTGTCTTACAAGGTGTTCTATTTTTTTCCTTTCCTTTTTTCTTTTTCTTTTCTTTCTTTTTTTATGGGCCTTCTCAGCCACCTTGCCCTTGATGGAAACTTGATTCACGTAGTGAGGTCTTTTGAACATATGAGGACCTTGCCCAGTATCCGCATTAACGGCATGACTCAACAATATCACACACACGCACAAATAAAAATAATACAAATAAAAAATACCCTACCTATTCCCCCCTTCGTCTCTCTCTAATTAATTGGGGAGAGCAGACTTACTGCGCTCCCTTGAGACCGGGACAGGCACCTTTTCCGCATCTCCCGCGCTATATCCTTCAGCATGCCCACTTCCCGCTGTGATTTTCGCCCCTTTCCTCCCAATGATATACCACGGCAAACTAAACATCTCATCCATCGCCTCCAGTGATTTTCCAGCCGTTTCAGGTAGGAAAAACCACATCCATGCGAGTCCGATGAGCGTGACGGCCGCAAAGAAGAAGAATGTGCCATGAGGCCTCATGGCTGTGTCAAGCAGCATTGTTGGGACCGCTTTTGAATTGCCACTGAGATCCATCCAGGTTAGCAGTGGGCAGCGTTCTTACTATGCTTTTCGCTATCGGGCTACTACATATGGGATGGGCCATGGGCAAAGAAGCTTACTATTGATTGGCGAAATGGAAGCACATCACCATCGATGTAGCCAACGCTCGGACTCGAAGGGGGAAAATTTCTGCATTTATGAGATACTGTGGAAGGCATTGTTAGCTATTTGTAACAACAACAAAAAAAGAGGAATCTAGCACGAGTTTGACATGGCATCGAACCTGGATGCTGTTCCAGCCAAGTGCCCAGCCGACCCCAGACACATAGATGGACACTATTGCGGCTGTCCCAGCACGCTTCGAGTGTCCCTCCGGTTTAAATCCATCTTGAATCGACGGGACCACTGCAAGATAGATAGCCACGTATAGCATGCTCAGAAATTGGAGCGTGATCCCGTATCCCAGAGCACGTTTGCGACCCAAGAAATCGACCAGGAAGAGCGCACAGACGAGAGAGGATATTAATTTCACAACGCCGAAAATTGCTGTTGCAAAAAGCTTCTCCGATTGTCCCGTTGTGCCCAATATCGCGAAGAACTGGGGTGCATAGATGGTTATGCTATTGGCTCCCGACCACTGACTGAGCAATTGCGACATGAGTCCGATCATAATACGGTACCGGTTGGAAGGCAATGTAAACAGTTCCTTGAGTGGCCCGAAGAAATGGGACCCCATGGTAGCCTCGCGCTCCCGTTCAAGCTGATCCTGGATGTCCATCATCTCCGTTTGAACGTATGGATGATCTGGTGTAAGATTGCGCAGGGTTGACATTGTCTCCAGCGCCTGCTCCTGTTTACCGGCCTTGACCAAGTACCTAGGTGATTCATAAACTGTAAATGAAAGGATGAAGATGATTCCGGCAAATATGAAATGAAGCGTCGTTGGTACAATCTACGTTTGTTTGTTAATCGTGAACTGAACTGAAACACGGCGCGGAGAGAGGGAAGTCGCAGAGAATTAATAATGCCAGTCCCTTACCCATTGCTTTGCTGAGGCGTTGCTAATATGTATCGAGCTCCCCCAGCTCGCAAAATAGCTCAGCATGATACCGAGATACACTGATCCAGAAAACGCACACATACAAAGGCCGCGTATTGCTCGCGGAGAAATCTCCGCTAAATACGTAGGAGCCACAACGGTAGTTTGCCCGACCTAGAAAACCCGTTTTGTCAATGAATGAATGAATGAATGAATGAATGCATATAAACCTTTCACGAGCAGGAATGAAAAATGCGAGTTTTCTTTCGAAGAATCTGACCCCAATGCCGGCGATGAACCGGCCAGCGTAAACTTGTCCGATCCGCCCATGTGCCGTAATGAATATCACGATGCCCGCCACCCATATTGCACACAGCTGTCTCGTCGCCCAGATCCTCCCGATACGATCTGTCACGATGAACGCTCTTTTTGGAGAAATGTCAGCCATTTGTTTCCTTCATAATCCTCGCCGCCCGATAATTGTCCCTGCAAGATGCATCATCCACTTTATAGGAAAACAGAGACTATATATATATATATAAAACACACGAACACACACACACACACATATATATATATATATACATGTACACTTACAGCAATGCGCCCGCGATGCTCCCGATCTGAACCATCCCCGTTATATTTCCCAATCTACTGGCCCTAGCTCCGGCGCTCATAGCAGGATCATCCAGATGATATTCAGCAATAAATGATTTCTGCTGCACCGTGCCCGAAATAAGCCCTTCGTCGATGCCTGATTTTCCCCCCCCCATATATGTATCAGCCGATGACAACAAAAAGCCAAGTTTTGCTATGTACGGGTTAAAAAGAAATAGAGAGTGCAAAATTTCTTTTACCTCGACTGGCACCCATGATGCCGAAGCACAGGACGCCCATCCCTAGTTTCCAGTTAAGCGCCTCTCGGGGCGTATCGATAAGCTGTTGTTTGAATATGTTCGGCATGCTGGCGGGGGCGGACTTCCACAGGACGAGATGGGATATTTTTGAAGGATTATATATATATAAATATATATATATATATACGAAATTGCAACGATGTATATCCACGCTATGGCTGTGGTGCCCTATCCCAACTCTACGTCTGTTTCACCTCGGCATTAGGTTTCTGTGACGAAAGCAGGAAGCGCAAGGTTGAGATATTGCCAGCAACACCCACCCACCTAGGGCAAGCACGGTCGGAGGGATCGCCTTATATGTATCCGCCGTTTCGCCACTCAATAACTATCTTGGTATAGTAGATGCGACGTTGGCCAGGACTTACTGGGGGATGGTTTCCTTTGCACTACGTGTCTGGCACAACATATTGTGTTACATGCCTTGGATTTTACCTCTGTGGGTTTCAAGCTGATGCACCTAGTTTGGCGCGGTGGAGGAGAGGATTTCTTCTTGTTGTTCTTAATCCCGAAAAATCTGGGGTGAAGCAAGATCTAAATCCTGCTGGTTTGGGGCTTTCGAGTGCGCATGGTGTATGATATGGTGGTATGTAGGGGCATATATAGCCTGCCAATGCCGTACTACATGACACAGAGCTGAGTAGCGTGATGAAGGTTCAAGTAAACCTTTAAAGATACAATTCCGAGTCGTACATTGACGCTCACTCACCTCGCTAGAAGCTGTAGAAATATCGGTTTAGGCTATTTTGGTGGCGTTTGATGTGCCGCCGCTAAGCTTGAGCTTATCCCCTCGTCTGGGGAAGAGGCAACAATTCGTGTATTGAATACACAAGAACTACTGAATAATATGAGGGACCGGATGTAGTGACATGTTTTAGTGTAATTTATGTCCACCCCTATTCCACTATTCCACTATTCCCCGGAGCTTCCGCTTCTGCTTCTTCCTTCTTCCACTCTCTGCAATCGCTCCTTCTGTTGACTCAATCATGATAAACAGACAAGCATGTATATATATATATAGGGGCGCCCGCCCATCTCCATCTGAAGAAGAACAAGACAAGATTTTACCATTTTACACATACTATATGTAGCTGGCGTACGCTGCAATCTAGCTCTAATTAATATCATGAGAATGAAGCTTCTTTCTTTCAACACTCTCTTCTCAAGCAGAGAGAAATATTATTACATGTTATACAATCTCTTGAAACTCTTTCTTTGCTTTTCTCTGCTATCTTTCTTTTGTACTGACATCAGAGTCTAGATATCAGTTTGAGTATATAACAAGAAACTTCAATAATGATTCAGATCTGAATTTGATTAAGTAGTAAATGGAGTATTCGCAGACTTGCATATGTCAGAGCCAGTATCACAGTCAATAGTAAAGCCAGTAGTAGAGTCAGTGCTGAAGTCAGTCAATGAAGAATATAAGTATTGACAATAGCATGATCAATAATTCAGTCCTGAATTATCAATCAGATTCAATTACTGAGTATAAAAGTTTCATAGAAAGCTCTATACTAATTTACTAGATCAATTTCCTTTATATTATAATTGTAATTATGAATAATAATGAGAATCTTCACTGTTTTCTATCAATTATCTTCAAATATGCGAGATTTATTTGTAAGGAGCTTTTCTGAGAATTTTCTAATATATTTAATAAAACTGTTTGATAGATAAATTATAGACCATACAACCGCTCCACCACGAACTCGTTCAATTTTTCGAATAAGAACCCGCCGATAGATCCATCGAACAGCCCTCGATCATACAAGTTATTCAACCAAACGTGGTTGGAAGCCCCCGCGTGGGACTTTCCCCCGTCCACCCCTACCACACCACAACCCCGGGTCAAATTGCCATACAAATTGTAAGGTGAAGAGACCTAGCCCTACGCGACAATCTTCTTGATTTTGGAAGATCCCCCACGTAACTACACTTATGGTATTGTGCTAATTCTTGCCTTGTCCCCAGATGAGGGAGATAGCTCACCTAGCTTGAACCTGGCCTTCAGCGGCCGCTCACGATAGAAGCGCCCACCTTGACCATCCAACGTGCCAACGGTGATATACCGAAAGTGTTTCTTCGCGAGTTCCTTTGAAGCGAAGTTAGTCAAGCGGACTTTGAAAAATCTTCCCAGAGTGATATATATATTCAATTGCGAAATGCTTCCCAACTCCCACTAATGTTTCCATCCGTTCTGATAGCCAGACATCCCCACTGAAGATAAGGAGACGTAGGTATCCAAAGTCGACTGTAGGTAGCAAGAGGGGGCAATAAAACTGCCGCAAAGTGTCGTAAAATTCTTGATAGAGCATGACCCCTGAGCCATTCTCGCACAGTGGTCCTTCGTCTTGTCCTGCAGAATTTCCACCGAGTCCTTCGGCGCTTTTGCAGTTAGGCCGTGTAGTTGGTTCCAAACGCTTTCTGCCAGGAAACATTGTCACCACGTTAGTTATATGTCACCCGTTTTTCAAAATCCAGTATTGTTTCTCCCTTCGCATATGAGCTTATACATGCGGGGTAACAACATACTTTGCAATTTTGGCAATGGCAGAGAGATGTACGTGCGTCATTCTGGAGATGACAGATTAAGTCGATATTGGATCGCTTACAATAACATGACCCGTGTGTACGTTGGCATCGTGACACTTTCAGTGGGAAATAATGCAACTAATTCTTTCAATCGCGTAGCCAATTGTTTATTAAATAGAACTACTTTGATGGGTTTTAGGAGTAGAAAACGTTGGAGGAATCAGATATAATCAAGAGAGAATGACGTCATGTGGTGTAACGGTGTTTATCAATAGAAGCTTGGTCCTTCCTTGATCAAGTAGAAACATCCAATTCTTGACACGGTGATATATATATAAATCCACGTCTAGGTACAGTCAGTACATGTGCCTAGACAAGTTTACAATGACCTCACAATCGCTACCAACACCTGAGTTAAAACATACAACTCCATTCATTCCCCACCAGCTTCCCACAAGCAAACCCTCCTCCACAGCCAAATGGAATAATACATCCCCTTCAAACACTAGCATGAGCCAACTCTCACCAGGCACCCATGCCTTCAAGGCCCCCAATGGGATAACATTCAAATACAGCGTTTGCGGAACCACAACCGCCAATTTGGACAAAACCCTCCTCATCCAATGTCCAGGCTGGGGCATCGGACCCCGCTACCTCCAATCGGGCCTCACCCCGCTAGAAAACGAGTACAAACTCATCTTCTTCCATCCGCGCGGGTCAGGAGGTTCCTCACGGCCCACCGACCCAGCCACAATGACCTCCTTCGACATGGCCGCCGACCTCGACTTGTTCCGGCAGCATCTAAACATCGACCGCTACCCCGTGCTGCTGGGCCACTCGCACGGCGGGACCATCGTGCTGGCATACGCCGCCACGTTCCCGCGACGCGTTGCGAAACTCATCCTACTCGATCACCGGCTGCTAGGGCATGATGACTCGGCAGCGTCCAGGCGCTATCGGGAGGAGAGGGAGAGAGGGGGGGACGTGCGGTTCGCAGATGCATACCGGGCGCTAGCGACGGATTACCCGACGAACGATGAGGAGCTGGGGGCGTTCATGACCAGAATCAGCCCGCTCTATTTCTTTGACCCCACAACCCACGTGCCCAGGTATCTGGAGGCGGTCGGGGATCAAGGGTATTCATTCTGGTGCCTGGATCAGATGCGGCTGTGTGATCGGACCGCTGCGATCGGCAAGAGGATGATTGATGGGCTGAAGCATGTCACGGCGGACACGCTGATCATATTTGGCGGTCAAGATTGCCAGTGCACGACAGAAAATGCGGAGCAGACGAGGGATCTTGGTGTAGATCGCGCTACCGTTGTTATATTAGATGAGTGCGGGCATTTTCCTTGGCTTGAGAAGCCGGACGAAACGTTCATCTTAATCAGGGACTTTCTTGATAGATGATTGCAGTGGAACGGATGAATTGTGTGGTCTGTTTGAGAGCAGAAGCGTGAGTTTGAGCAGTCCGAGCGATGCTCATACTAAAGAGATCGATAATACCCTTTTATAAATGGTCGTCTTTTCTTTTAACGATAGTCTTAGAAGGTAATATTGAGCCGCAAGGACGACGAGAAAATTCATAAAAAGTTCAGAATTCTTGTCGTACCCGTACACACGACCTAAACTAGAAGTGCCCGAGCCCAAGAGCTCTGGACAAACATATCTACACTGATCAAAGCCTAATTAAGCCCTAAAACAGAAAAATACCTCTCCAAACCACGTTAACAGCAATACATAGCTCTGTATATGACATAACTTGGGTGTGCTATTGGCCAACAAGGGCCAACTGGGGGTAAAATGGGAACCTAAAACTCCAAAGAAATCGTCGAGGTTAAAACAAAAAAACACGAAACCAAAGCAGCGTCGAAAAGCTTCCGGGTATGCCAAACCAAAAACAAAAGGAAAAGAAAAAGAAAATTATACTAACACTATGTTTCGCGAATCATTTTCGTATGTTTCTTCGCAGTGCCGATGTGAGTATTGTGGACCTTTGTCGCGAACTTGAGGCTTGTTAGGGTCTCGCTGAGATGCTCCTGTCTTGGGCTGACCATAACGAACATCAACGTTTTGGAGTTGCCCCCCAGAGAAAATTGAAGCAGATATGTAAGCTTCATGGCAACAGTTAGCTTATTACTAAAGACGAGAAGCAAACGGTCGAGCAACATACCTTGCTATTTCTATATGGAATATGTCCACCCTCTTTGCCTTGGCCAAGAGCCCCGATTACATCTCCCAGACAACTGAGGCTACGGTTGATGCTTTGTGTTTCCTTTAACCGCTCACCCGTGGCCTTGGAATGACTCAGTCGCTCGCTGCCAGCAAGATCAACAAGGTTAAGTGTACCTTCACTTCTTTCCCCCGTGAGGCGGTTTTCTCCGATCAACTTTAGGATGAAAACGGAGTGTGATCGAGAAGATCGTTCGTTCGCTTTGGTTGCAGCGACTGAGCGATTCATGGCAGCTCGACGTAGGATGGACTCCACGCGAGCAGGTGAATCCAGGTCGACGGTTGTGATGTCTGTGATGGTGGTCTTGCATTTCTGCATGTCATGACGAATCTCGTGTTTCTTCTTGTCGAATTCCTCCGCCTTACCCAGTAGGTCGTTCAGGTTTTCATTGTAAACCTCGACGAAATTTCCCTGCATGGTATATTGCCATCCCTTTTCTTCGAGCGCACTGGCAGTGTCATATATTTGGTGAACGGCGCGAGGGATCATACCGTCATCAGAGGACATCGTGTGAGTTTTCCCGCTGCCTGTTTGGCCGTAGCAGAATATGCAAACATTGTATCCATCTAGAGCGCTCTGAACCAGTTGGCTAATTTCCTCAAAGACATCGGTGTTTTGAGATGATGGGCCAAACACATGGTCGAAGGAGTAAGCATAGTTTTTGGTTGTGATGTTCCCTAGGCTACTCTTCTCCTCTGGGCCAAGGACCGAAATTTCCTTGGAGTCAGCTTCCGAATCAGGGAATTCGATTCTCGCGGAATCCTCGACGGGCTCATTATCAAGCATGGGACGAACGCGACAGAAAACGCGAATATTTCCCTTCAGTTCCTGTATTTGATTATGGAGCTTCCGTCGCAATGTCTCTTCTTTGCGCAGTTTGTCTTTTGTAGCTTGAGTTTCTGCTAGTGCATCCCGGAGTTCCTGATCCAGACGGCCAAATGCATCAGACTGTTCTTTATTGCCGGACTCGAGGAACTCAATCCTAGCCTTCAGAGCACTAATGGAAGACTCTAAAGTCATGATGTTACTGCTATGCTGCACCAAGTTTTGCTGGAGCTCCTTGTTAAGTGCGCGTTCACGATTCAAGTCACTGGTCAAGCTATCCACCTTCGCTGTTACGTCCCGTAGCTCTCGATCCTTGTTCTCGACTTCGATTTGGGTACGTTGTATATCCATGGAAGTCTGCGCGTTCATTTGGTTTAGCTCTTGTCGTAGTTTGCTCCTTTCATTCTCGACTTCATTGTCAAACCGGCGACGTAATTCCCTCAGTTCTTCCTTATGTCTAGCTACAAGCTCTTCAATTTGGTTCCTAGCCTCTTGACGTGAAGTTTCTAAATCGATGCGGTGCTGTCTGTCCAAATCGTCAATTGCAATCTCATGGTCGCGCGAAGCATCTTTAAGACTTTTTTCAACCGACAACAGGCGAGATTTTGTAGTGTCAAGCTCAACACGGAGTGTAATGTTATGTTCTGAAAGCTGTGAGTTTTTCTCCTCTACCTCCTGGACTACAGAGGTCAAATTGTTACATCAGTAAAATTTCGAGTTACGATTCACAGAGCCATTAGAGTCATAATTTTCATACATACGTCGAGATTTGTACAGTTCTATTGCCTCCTTGAGGCCGGCACTCTGGTTCGTTGTACCTTGAAATCGATTCAAGAGCAGATCACACATAGCATTCATTTTTTCCATTTTGGCGTCCTGGTCCCATGCTTCGACTGAAGAGCCGCGAGTTAGAAATTGTTTTACTTTTGGAGGGGATTTCCTAGGAGACTTTTTCAAGGGTCGAAGAATGATAGGTGAAGGGGTTACGGGGCAATTAGGTCTCCTGACAGGGGATTTGGGCACACGAATATCGGGGCCAGACATCTCTTGGGCTTCATCCCTAGGCGATAGGGCAACGGATGATGAATGGGGATTTAGGGTTAGGCCTTTCATTGCGGTGCTCAATGACACATCCCGTACAGGCTCGCGTGGTGGGTAAGAAATTGACTGCGCAGCAAAAGAGCTCGACCAATCTGAAGTATAATTCATGTGGTTGTCATAGCTTCCTCTCCTTGCAGCCGGGCCAGCATTCAATTGAAGTGAAAATGAGGAGCGTGCTAAAGAAAATGCATTCATACCCTTTCGTTTCCCTAAAACGGAGTCATGGAGATCGTCATCTCGAGTGCTCATTGAGGTTATCGGACGTGGGGAAGAGGCCCCATGTGAGCACCTGTATCCGAAAGAAGTCTGGGGCCGGGCGATGTTTCGAGTGGAGGACCTTGTTCGCGAACTGGGGCCATTGGAAGAAGACTTTGGGTTGTATGGATTATTTCGCGAAGCGGCAGATGCAGGACGGGAAGATGTTGACGTCGAGGCGGAATATAAGGGCTTAGAACTCATAGATTTCGAGGCAGAATGGCCAAAGCGGTTTTGTTTTCTGGTTTCCCCGCCCCTTTCAGCCAACGTTTTTCTAGCCGGGGCGGCCGGTTGTGTTGCTGTTCGGCGGAATTGTTAGACATATTTCTAGCCGCAATCCCCATGCGGTCCCACCTCTTGCTAGTACCTACTGATTGATTCGACATGTTTTCGGCTAGTAGTGCCTAGTGGAGGCATCATGGTGCCAGCCGCGCTGTTGTTCGCGGACACGGTGATATCATGAAGACTCCTCCCATTGGGGTTGGCTCGATTTAGGCGAGGGATACCCGAAGAGAACTACAAATGCGGTCAGTAATTTCACCACCCCGTGTCATTTCAGGAAAATATCAGGAAAGTGTAACGCACTCGATGAGCGTTTTCGTCACCGTCCATTATGGACTGGATGTCGGGAACAGCAGCAGCAGCAGCAGAATAAAGGATAGCCTGAGGATAATAAAGATCCGCGATCAAGGGAGGCCAATTCAAGAGCACTCCATCAAATTGGGAGTTTCTGCAGTGACAGCAAAGGAGGGACACGCAGGGGTGAGACAACAAACACAGTCTGCCCCAGGGGCGGAATGTCAGGCTGAAATAACTATGTATGTATGTGGATGAAAGAAGATGAAGACAAGAATTGATATGAGAATGTTTGTCCGGCGCATGTCCGTTACCGGGCCAACCACGTCAACAACACTGGGTCGCAACGGGGAAACGTGCAAACAGTACAAACAGGCTGTCTCGTCACGTGAGTTGTTTCGTTTATCTGGATGGACAGATTACCCCTCCTGATCGATTGGATCAGCTGGAGTTAAGATATCTTTCTCGTATGAAGAGGGACAGATGCAGAATCAATTAACAAATAGGCAATAGGATTTCGATCGTTCCATTCGTAATTCTTTGCTGTGTTGCCTGGCAGTCAAGCCGCTTTTAACTCCTGATATCCGTGCTGACTACGCAACCTTCCGCTCAGCCCTGGCGCCGCAGCAGCATCATCAATCATCACAAGAAAACCCCTACATGACCCCTCCAATTTCCCCCCCTATCTCTCTTCCACCTTGACCGCTCGTCCCAGATCGTATACACTTCCACCTGAACCTATCCTGCCAAATTCCGCATTCCAGTTCTTTTCGTCATGGCGGGTCGTTTCGTTCGCTCATCAAAGTATCGTGCGTGGTGCTCTCCTGACCTCAGCATCTCCCTATCCCCTGTCCTCCTACATTACCCCCGACTGACTGCATGATATCCCGTCATAGGCCACGTCTTCGGACGCTCAACAAGAAAGGTATGTCGTGCTATTCTGTATTACTTACGCTGTTTGGCTTGGGCTTACACTTCGAATTGGGATTTTTAGGAACAATGTTATGACAATCTTCATATTTCCAAAAATGCCTGGGATACCAACTTGGTCAAGGTCCGTTCTCCAGGCTCCCATGACTTCCAAAACATCCGGGAAATAATAAACCGCACAATTGGAACTTGTTCTGATATCTGCCCAGGCCAATCCTAAATACATATCTGTCAACTGGGAAACTTCAGGAGGTGGCGCCTTCGCCGTGCTGCCCATCGATGAGACGGGCAAAGCACCAGACCGATTCCCACTCTTCCGTGGTCATACTGCCGTCGTATTAGATACAGACTGGTGAGCCAATCCCTTGATTATGCCCCCCACGATCAAATAATAACGGTCGAATTTGCTAGGAACCCTTTTAACGACTCTTTGATCGCATCTGGTTCGGATGATGGCAAGGTATTGTGCCCCCGCCCCCCTCTCACCCGCCTACTTCAAACGACTATCATGTTACACCAACAAACCTACAACTGGACCATCGGCTGAATATAGACAGGTCTTCCTTTGGAGAGTACCCGAAAATTTTACTCTGCACGTCGATGCCGAAGAAATTGCTGATATCGGCCCTGTTGGGAAATTGAGTGGTCATCCAAGGTTCGTATACATTCCCTTGCCGTCTCGCTGGTATCCTCGAATATAAGCACTAGGAACCCGGATCAGTCACTGACTGGTTATTTCATTTTGTTTCCAGGAAGGTTGGACACGTCCTTTTCAATCCCGCCTCCGAGAACGTCTTGGCATCCTCGTCCGGTGACTACACCGTGAAAATCTGGGATATCGAATCCGGATCATCGAAACTCACACTAAAACATGCGGAAGTTATTCAATCGCTGTCTTGGAGCGCAAATGGCTCCATGTTAGTTACAACGTCGCGGGACAAAAAGCTTCGATTTTGGGACGTCCGCCAGGAGAGGCCGGCCCACGAAACAGCTGGCCATTCTGGTGCAAAGAACAGTCGTGCTGTATGGATGGGTGAACATGACCGCGTCGCCACTACTGGGTTTTCGAGAATGAGCGATCGCCAGCTAGCCCTGTGGGACATCCGTGCCCCGCGTGAACCCATCAATGGATTCAAGTCCCTCGACTCCATCTCAGGCGTTTGCATGCCATTTTGGGACGATGGCACCCAGTGTTTATATTTGGCTGGAAAGGGGTGAGTAACAGCACCGTCCACGATTGTGGCTGCTTCTTTTTTCTTTTTTTTTTTTTTTTTTTTTTTTTTTTTTTTTTTTTTTTTTTTTTTTTTTTTGAGCTAACATTACCACAGTGATGGTAATATCCGTTACTTCGAGTACGAGAATGACAAATTCGAATATCTGTCGGAATATAAATCAGCAGATCCGCAGCGTGGTATCGCCTTCATGCCGAAGCGTGGTGTCAACATGCATGACAATGAGGTGGTTAGGGCACTCAAGACGGTTAACGACACTTACATTGAACCTATTTCATTTATTGTTCCCCGAAGGGCCGAAATGTTCCAAGGCGACATTTATCCACCCACTACTGGCCTCAAACCAGCCATGTCAGCAGCCGAATGGTTTGATGGCAAGGAGGCCCTCCCCCCAAAGATTGACCTGGGTAGTTTATATGGTGGAGAGGGACTTAAAGAAGTTGCTCCACAAGCGGCCCCCACCCCCGCCCAGAAACCCAGCTCTCCTGTTAAAGAAGCCGAACCCGCCCCAAAGGAGCCGGAACCCAGCAAACATGTTGCTATTTCCTTCAGGGCCAACCCTCCCCCGTCCGTAAAGGAGCAGGGTTCGTCTATTGCAGCCATGGCTTCAAAGTACGCAGATGGCGAAGAAGATGACAATGAAGCCGATGATAGCTCGAGTTTTGAAGAGGTCCAAAAGCCAGCAAACAGTCGCCCGCCTGCTATCATATTTTCTCCACCAGAAGCTAGCGAGCCAGCTCCACCGCCGAAAGTAGCGCCGAAGGTAGAATCCCCTCCAACAACCTCCCCAACTGAGAAGGTATGTCACACTTCTCCCACTTGTAGTTTTGGTAATACAGTGTTGAATATTTACAATTAACCCTCCGCCACAGTCTTCTCCAACAACCCGGACCGCAGATATTTCCGCTAGCGTGCAGGATGTAGTCCAGCGTGAGCTATCATTGATAAGAAGCTTGATTACAGAGCAAGGCCGAACAATTGCTGCTCAGACGCGGCAGATTGAGTTTTTGACGAATGAAATTGAAGATCTCAAGGTGAAGTTAGCCTAGCCGATGACTCTGTTTCTATCTACGGGATACCGAGCGTCTCCGCCAAGCCAACTATATACCACCTTTGGAATATATACCCTGGATAGTTCTGATCTTCCCAACCCCGTCGTGTCCAGGTTTATCCGTCAAGACGAGAATTGCCTTTGTTGCGTTCTGTTACGATAAACGTTGTCTTCCCCCCTGCCAGTTTCGTATTCCCCTACCTCTTACCTATGCCTTTTTCATGAGGTTCATCATCGTCTATTAAATAACGTTGTTTGTACAGTTGATTCCTATTTTCTCCTTTATTTAGCTTACACTAGCGCTTTGTGTTTCCTTCAGCAGATAGTTGTCAACGACGGAAGTCGAATTTCAAGGATTGACGTGTCCCTACTTACTTGCTAGCCTTTTTATTTACACAATGTGTTTTTTTCCCTCCATTTTCGAAATTTTTGAGCTGAAAAATGCTTCTATACCACCCGTGCGGTTTCTGCGCGAAAGTACTAGAGTTGTGCACCTCAAAAAAACTACCAGACAATAATGAATTTGTGACCCATTTTAACAAGAGCTTAAACTCCTGATCTATTTCTAGTCAAATTCCAACAGCAGAAATTCTTACATGTATAGAACATATCAATACAATCACAATCATATATACATCGCATAATATATAGATAGTGAACACGCAAAAAAAAGAGAGAGAGATATATATATATATATATATATATATATATATAGAATACCAACCCGCCAAACTCCAACTGTAAAAAAATATAAATATAAATAAATCACCCACGCCACGACTCCAACACACCATCAATCCTCTCCCGCACCCTCAGCACAGCCTCAGGATCCCTCGCCGCCGAAAGCACAAGATGTTCATCCGAAGTATACGTGCGGCTGACATACCCCCAAAGCGTGGACTGGGCTACATGCCTCGAAAAGTTCGCGATAGCCTCCCCGTTCTTCTCCGACACGAGCCGCTGCAGCTGCGTCTTATCGGCCGCTGGCATGCGCGGGTACTCGTGCGCCCACTTCTTCCAGATCGTGCTGTCGAGGGCCGCGGTGAGTTTTGCCAGGTCCTGCGCGGCTTGTGAGGCGATTTCGTGTGGCACGTAGATGCCTGGTTGCGCTGGGTTGGGGGGTTTGCGCTGGAGTTATTATTGTTAATTTAATTTAATTCGCTTTTGGCAAAAATGGGGAAACATAAAAAATGACTGGGGGAAGAGCTTACATGCTGCTGCACGAATATCGTCCTCCTGTCGTTGGCTGTACGCATCAATCTGCGGCACTGGCGAAGCATAAATTTATTCCCAGGAGGCACAAAGACATATCCCCTGGGCAGCTTTCCATCAACGAGAATCTGTCCGCAGCAGAAATAATCAGACCAGGTACTTAGAATGTAATGTACATGTACATGTACATGTACCCATGTATATACGTATGTATAGTTTACACGCGTGTGTTCTAAGAGTCGCAAACGCCACTTCACCAGTCAATTCAAGGCACACATACCGTTTCCCCATGTCTATTTAGATTGCGCGTAGCACTGGGCGCCTGTTTGGATGGAGTCGACGAATAGCTCCTGGCAATTATCTGCCGGCTGAATGTGCGTGTGAGAGGTCTCCAAAGGAATGATGATAATAATACATCATGCCCTGAGGCTCGTGAGCAGCAAATTCTTCCCTCTCGGATGCTGCTGCTCCTGCTGCAGTTGGAGATCGAGACTGGAGTCCTAATAGCAGGCCTCAACGACGACCACGATCGAAGAAATAAGAGGCTCATATTCCGCCGGCGATAGAATGGTCATCGGAGGATGAGGTTTTCCCAGCCCCTACTAACTAACGACACCCAAACCGCTTGATGGTGGTTAGTCACTGAACCCTTTTTTTTTTTCATTATTGATGAACGAAAGTCTAGGGATAATTGGCATATCACGTGATTTCAGATAACCAAGACTAATTCTAATTACATATATGCGCAATATTTTCCAGGAACTATTGTAGTAGTATCAGACGTTTACATTGTGTGTATAACTGGTGTCTAGTGCGGAACAAGTCATCAACTAGCTGCTATTCGTTGGCGGAGCAGAAAAGTGTGATTGCATGAAGTCAACAACCACAGAGAGATACAAAAAAGTAAAGTCACGAAACTCGATTCCGCGACGAGATCTATGAAAAAGAATTCAGGTATCTCGTATCTATTCAACGCCTTGAAATGCCCCCCCCCCCCCCCTCTTTTTTTTTTAATCTAACTACCCAGTGTCTACCAATAGGTTTTCGTTCGGCGGACAGAAAAAACCATAGACAAGAAAGAACATATTTCCAGAAGTCAAGGTGTCAAGTACATGAGGCCGTGTGGGTAACAAACTCCACCAACGCCGATAGATTGTATAGATTCACATAAAATCCATGACATGACATGACTAGGGATTGGCCTGCCTGTCTAGAGAATAGGCCGTAAGAGAGAAGAGACAGTCAAAGAGCCTAGAGGGGGAACATAGGAGCATACTTGGGTTTGAGAAACTCAAATAGCCAGGGCCTCGTCGCATTCATACATTCACCTTTAAGCCCATCGTGCAGCTTCTCGTTCAAGCTCGACTCGCGCTGCTCTGGCCTGGTCGCTTTCCTCGTCCTCATACTTGTAGCTGAGATGTCTGCCAACGCCTAAGGTTCTCTCCTGCCTACTCTCGCGACGCCGACTACTTCTACCATCCCGATCAGCATTCATCGCCTCTCGCCGCTGCTGTTCTTTTAATAGTCGTTCTCTATCCCGAGCCTCGCGCTCCAGGGTATGCGGGTCTTTCTCCTGGGCTCGCGATTCCCGAGGGTCTGCTGATTTCTTCTCGCGGTCTATGGTCTTTTTTTCGCCTGCCTCGCTACGCTTAATGCGGCGAGAATGTCGGCGATAATGGTCTGGATCGTCTAGGGATGCGGACCTATCGCGGCGGGACCGTTTGCGGTCTCTGTCACGATCCCGCTCTCGTTCGCGTCTTGATTCTCGTTCTCGAGCTCTTTCTTTATCCTTGTCTTTATCCTTATCCTTGTCTCTGTCCTTGTCTCTGCCTCTATTCCGATCCCTGTCCCTGTCCCGATCCCGGGCCCGATCTCGATCCCGATGTCGGCTAGACCTTTCTCTAGTCGTTGACTCACTGGTCCGCTCCTTAGTGGAGGAGCGATGGTCACTGCCTCGGATTGCAAGGTCGCGTTTTTCATCTGAAACTGATGGCTTTACCTTAGTGTCAACCCCATTAACTTCACTGGCGCTTGTATCATAGTCGCGATGTTTGGGGCTCGAACTTCGACTGCGGTGGCGGCGCGAGCGATGGGATGAGGACGTTTTATGGTCGCTTTTTCGATCCTTATCACGCCTACTTCGATGTTCCGTTCGCTTTGCAGGCTCCACTGAAGGTGACCGAGATCGCGATTCTCTATTACCCCGACGACTAGACACCTGCTCATCATTTTCTCGCCGGGACTTTCGTCGTTGATCACGACTCTCATCCCTACTGTGATCACTAGATGAGACGCTGAGTGAACGGGATCGATGCCGATACCGGCGACGGTGACTGGAGCGGTGTCGAGACCGGGACCTTGATGTCGACCTATGTCTAGATATGGACTGATCTCGCGACCGAGACGGGGAGCGACTGTAAAAATCTATGTTAGAATTGCTTTCGAGTTAAATCATGAGAGGTGGCTCGTGGCGGAAAGTCATTACCTTTGGACGTCCTTATCATGCTTGAGGGTTGGACCGCTTGCAGTCCGAACAACAGGGAACCCTCTACCATTGCGGATACCAACATTTGGTAGTCCTTCTCTCATAGCTCTGGGCGCAGCCGGTGCTCCGACAACTCCCATCCCCCGTGGTTCCATCGAAGTCATGTTGCTATAAGGGGCGGACAGCTGCGTTGGAGACGAGTGTAGCGTTTCATTCGGATGGGTGGGTGCATTATCGCGGCTTCTCTCTGGCATATTTATATACACTCCGCTTCCCTGCGCATTACCTTGAGCTGCGTTGTCATCATTCCCTTGCTGTGCTACAGCACCTACCTGGATTGTTGTCCCAGACTCGGTGGCTCGATCAACATGAAGCCCATTATCTGTAGGCGCATGAGAATCGCGGTGCTCTCTAGTGGGCAAGGCTGATTCGCTGGAAGCTGCATTTTCGGGCGATACTGCTGCGGGATCGTCCGTCGGCTGGTTCTCCTTAAGGTCATCTTCTCCGCCTGGACATAATTCATCATTAAACTCTTTAACATGATCAGAGTCGGGGGCAATTGCGGAAGTGCCATTAGCAAAGCCAGATACAGGGTCAATTTGGTGGTTGGAATTCGTGGCCATATGGGGTTGGAAGGAGGAAGCTTGGTTAGTGGAGGATGGGAAACTACCATGCACCCCAGACATAAATCCGCCTCGTCCACGACCACTAGGGAAAAATCCGCGGCCTCTGCCACGGCCACGACCGTAACTATGGCCAAATTGGCCGTGGAAGTCATTGTTAGGATATTGCTGTTGTTGATGCATGTGAGGATAATTTGCGTAATTTTGGGACATATTATATCCACGATATCCACCAGGACTAGGGCCAAATTCAGCACCCATGCGGTTCGCAAATGGATTTGCATTGAATTTATCTGGACCTCCATTCCACATATTGCTTTGACCATCCCATGTTCCATACATTCCTTGCCCTGCGTTGAAGTTCATCCCCATGTTCATTCCATTATTCATGCCATTCATATTCATCCCATACCCTCCAAACATACCCTGACTCGACACCATCGGATCCAGTCCCATCCCTGGAATTCCAGGAGGTCCTAAAAAGAAGAAAAGAGGATAGTTGTCAGCTAGTGATCGAAACTGAAAGGGACCTAGAATGTAAGGCGTACCAATTCCATTCTGAAATGGCATCATTCCATTGAATTGAACACCACTGGGCAACGTCTGCATCATCTGGCCATAGTGTGAGCCCCCTTGCCAACCGGCTTGCGGAAAACCACTCATCCCATTCACACCATATCCCTGTCCATTCCCAAAAGTATCTGAACCATGCGAGTGAGTTGGAACTCCGGAGGGTTGTTGTCCCGAAGTCCTATCACCTGAAGATTTATTGGAGTCTGCGTCTGGTTGGGTCGGAACCGACGTTCCTTGAGGGATATTACTTGCATTGTCATCAATCGTGTTATTACCGGGCTCAACCGCGGAATTTCCACGCTTTTGGTACTATGGTATTAGCGACGATTTAATTTGCAATCTTTGAGAAGGAAGTGTCCCAGACTCACCGCTCCATCGTCGACTTGATCTTTTCTGGAGTTGCTGGCAGCGTTGTCTGGTGTTGCCGTTTGAAATGCCGACTCCTCGGTTTTATCCGTTACTCCATTGGTGCCGGCGGCATCCTTTGAATGATTCACATCCTCGACCGCAGCGGAAACGACTTTCGTTGCTGCGGCATCATCTACCTGATCTAAGGAAGTAGTGGCGGGAGGAACCAGATTCGAGTTCACCTGGTCAACTGATTTGTTTGGTTCGGGTTCAGCTGTAGGAGCTTCAGGAGCTGGCGGACGATCCTTCTCTCTTTTTTTTTCCTCGGTTCGCAAGAATGCTTTGAGGGTTGTCCTCAGGGCTTTATTTGGTTTGCATAGATCGGCGGACAGGGGAGTATGGGCGCAGACCGGGCAACTTTCCGGGAGTGAGGCCTGGCCTATGCAAAATAATTAGACACGAGAACAAAGAATAGAAAAAAATCATACATGATTCCCAGTCAACGGGTGCTTACAGTATTCGCATATGGCCTGGTCGCAGCATGGAAGGCGGAAGGCATTTATGGCAAGCTTATTGCAAATCGCACAACGCAGTTTGAAAGGGATCTCATCTTGTGTGAGCGAGCTGCGGCAGGTTCATGTCAGTCTCTCGTTTACGCCTACCAACCAGCAACGGGGCTCAATCTCGAAGGCCACCCACCTTGCAATTTCCATAAGGCCCGACGCCGGATCAAGCATTGCCATGTTCAAAGATTTGAGGCAAGAGGTGTGCAGCAGACCCGAGCAGGGACAAGCAGGAAGAGAAAAGGCGAGGACAGGATTACGATGGAGTGCTGAGGGGGACCGGATATGTGTCGGAAACCATTCTGAAGCTAAGGATACAAGGCACGCAGCAAAAGCAGCTCCGGGTGTTAGAGTAGTTGGTGGAAATAGACACAGGACACGGGAGACGGGATACTCGACCGTGATTGCTGGTGAGAAGCTGTCTCAGGAGCTGGCGTTGCGACAATCAAGAGCTCATGGCCAAGTGAAGAAGTCCATTAGAGGTTTATCCTTGGGGAAAAAAAATTTCCCGAATCAGGCCCGGATTAAATAATTGTCCGGCGCCGGCTTCCACCAAATATTCTACGACAAATGGAGATGGTTTATATTAGGTATTATTATTTTTATTCCTCATGTGAGAGCTGGTTTTTAATGTCATTTCTGATGTACCAAAGCACTTTTCTTTTCTCAGACATTTTATTCTCGTAGCGCATCAGTGTGTTGTGGTGTTTGTATCACGTTGAGCGAGCTTCCAAGCCACAGTCCGTTTTTCAATAATACAGCGTAATAGTTGGGCGCGGCTCGTGGGCTTAAAAACACAATTAACAAATGTAACTTATGTAGTTATCATCACCTCAGCCATGTAAGCAGCAAAGAGGTGACTAACAGGAGGTTTCTTGAGATATATTATTGCTTTACATGATGGAGGCATCCCCAGAAAGGTTGAAGTGTTGGCAGTGCTAGGTATCAAGTGCTCTCACAAACATGATAATTTTCATTGATAAAGCACCAAGTAAAAGAAATAAAAATAAACTACTTCATAGTTGTAGGTAGTATGGAGAGTCTTCCCACGAATTTTAATTAATTATTTAATATTATTGTTGAATTGTTGCGTTGCTATTTCCATGTTATCATAATATACCTTTTTTAAGCGGGTGCCAGGGAAAAACAGAAACCTTGAGTTTTTCTGTGGTTGGTGGGGGGCGAAGGAGCAAAGGCGCGTCGCAAAAGGGATAAAAGGCTTTCGTGCGCCCGCCGCGGGACAAATACAAAATATCTCGCCTACTTTCCTCTTGCCTGGACAAATCCTGTGGAAGAAGCGGTGGCAATAAGCCCCAGTTGTTGCGTCGCTACCCGTGGACGCCTTTCCCAACCCGTCGCCCTCCCTCTCGTCACTGTTGCCACGCCCTCATTTGGTACCGCCCACATCCCGGACAAGCATTCTTCCACTCCACTGGGGGTTCCAAGCTTTAAAATTCAGCTTATCTTAATTCAGCTAGCCTACTTCCTCTCATTGCCCTGCCTTGGCGGCCTACTTTATATCTCACGTGATATAAATATCAATATAGGCGCGAGAAAGAAGGGTGATACTGGCATACAATAAATAAATAATCCACCGGGCACGCTTCACTAACAGCCTGCATTATCCGTTGTCGCTCCTAGACAAGCAGGTCGATACCGGGCGAGGTTACGCGATTATATCAGTTGCATACATATACATCTGCCCCTGCTGAGAGGCGAGCATTCCGTCTGGGCTGGCTTGCACCCAGCCAATCTCGGCCATACAAACCTTGAAGATCTACCCTGGGTGCTGAAACATAAATAATATACACTGCCAGGTAAGGTGTTTATGTGCGTTTTTTTTTCCAAAATCTTATGCTTTCCCGTTCTTCCCTGTTCCTTTTCGCGTCTCTCTTTTCCGGGCTTCTCAGCACTATACAGCGCCTAAGCTACATACCGCGTCATACCAAGGTATGCGCGAGTGTTTCCTAGTGCTCCAGAAAAGCTACCCACTCACAGAGTCCGTCCAAGTTTTGTATATTCTATATCCAAGCCTGCTGACACCTATGACCCCAGCGATGACAGACCCGGATAATTCGTACAGACCCCGATCCCCAGACTTTTCTGGCTTCCCTGGGTCCCTCCAGCTTCCCCCCAGTCCCTACGGACAGACCCCTTACCCCATCAACAGCCCCCTAGCCCACAGAGCTTCATACGACGCGTCTCCGTTCTTCAGCCCACAAGCCCACCAGCCCCAGCCGCAACTTCAACGGCCTACCCACCAACAGTATATCCCGCAACCTCTCGATTCGAACTACCCCCCACATATCATGCCCCCACAAACAAGATCGCGGGCCGCTGCTGCCCTGCAGCAGCAACCCATGGAGTGGCATGCGGCGCCTAAGTCACCACCACCAGAGAGCCAGCCAACGAAAATGAGAGGATCAGTGCCATCACAAGCTTCAGGGGGCATTGAGGTTAGAACGAAGTTTCCAGTTGCAAGGATCAAGCGCATCATGCAGGCTGACGAGGATGTGGGGAAAGTTGCCCAAGTGACTCCAATTGCTGTTTGTATGTCTCTCCCTATCCGTCCTCTTTCTATCCCTACCTGTTTCTCCTGCACGTGGACATAGCTGACATTATTCTGGAAAAATAACAGCCAAAGCGCTCGAGTTATTCATGATATCCCTCGTCACGAAAGCGGCGCAAGAAGCGCGGGCACGGTCTTCGAAGCGAGTGACGGCAGCCCATCTCAAAGAAGCCATCAGCAAGGACGAGGTTTTGGATTTTCTCGCGGACATCATTTCCAAAGTTCCCGATCATCCTGCTAACAGCAAGAAGGATGATGATGGAAGCGATCATAACGACGGGCGTAGGAGGAAAGGCGGCGGCCGTCGAAAGAAAGAAGACCACGATGATTTCTAGCGGCGAGACTTGAGTTTTTTTTTTTTTTTTTTTTTTTTTTTTTTTTTTCTTTTTCTCACCTACTTCATTACCTGAATCTTTTCTATTTTTCCCGGTGCCTTGCGTGTAGCATTATTGGGGATTGGGGCGTTCATTGGGATTATTTAGGGCTTTTTTCTCTCTCTTCTCCTCGGTTAGTTGAAGGGCCATGAATCGTGATATTGCTTTTTTGTTGTTTGTAGCAGAATTAGGCGTTATATTTTATATATCCAGGTACAACTGGTGATTAGCATTCCTCCCAGAGGAAGGAATCTCGGGAGTATTTTGGTTGTTTGTTATTTTAGTCTCTTTTTTTTCCGCGCTTGGGTGGGTGGGGTGGGTAAATTATTGCGAGTTGCCATAACCCGCCATAATAAATCATCCAAACTCCTAACTCGGGCTGGAATAGGCCGGCGCTTGTTCTTCGCCTATTTACCGCACTAGTTAAGCGCGAGGTTCCAGCCGCGGCAGCCACTTGAGCCCCTTGTTCAACGCCATCCGTGATTCAGGCCCAGATCTTGTCTCCAGAAGACCAAAGACTGTTGCGGGAAGATAATTTCAAAATAAATTAATACAAAAGAAGACTCTTGGGCGCCGCACACAGAGGATCCCGTATCATTCACAGCTTCTCTCCTTTTCAATCCCCCAGCGAATAATATGCTCTCGATTACGGACTGAACCATGGACTTTGTAAGGTTCCTTACCCTGATAACCTTCCAAGTTTAAGTCCACTGACCAATTCATTCAACAGTGGTCTCGTCTGATCGGGGGTTCTGGTCTCTCGTCATCAAGAGTCCTTCGGGGCAACTCCGCTGCTGAGCGCGTAGCAACATTTAAACATACGTGCAATACCCTCGATGTAAGAAGATAGACAAATACCTACGCCCATTCCCCGCCGACGACATCTTAATTTAAGAAGAATAAATCCATTGAGGCCCATGACAATTGAAGACACTAACACATGATTTCGTCATCTTTCTATTAGCAAATATGGCGTACAGCGCCTACCACCTCTGGCGAAGCTGCTTCCATTCTTCAAGTTAGAAATTGCCTTGAACGCCTCAATTCAGTCCTTAACGACGAGTCTCGTGGCCCCGCGCCTCATCCCTGTCATACCTTTGCTGCCACTTCTCAGGTTTACCTAACCGTCACGAAACTGGCACTGTCCTCGTGTGATCCTGGCGTCATCTCAAACGCCGCAGTCCTTTTCAATACATTGATTGATGCCGAGGTTGACGGCATTGTTGATAATCGGGTATTTGCCAGGGCGCTAGTCGACCTGGTTCGCAGAGCGGGCTCTGCTGGCGAGGAAGGGGAAGGGAGGCTTGTGGAGCTGCTGTTTGGAGTCGCGAACAATATTCGGTTACGCCCTGCTATTCTTCCTGCGTGGTTTTTCCCAAAGGAACACGGCAATCAGGGACCTGAGCCGGTGGAGACTGGGAAGGAGTTTGCGGGTGCAACGCGAAAGGACGATTTCCCGTTCTTCTATTTGTTAATCGACTATGTTCATCATGAAGGAAGATCGGGCGATTTCGCCCGAACGGGCCTGCTGTATATCATTGAGACGGCATCGCGGTCAAAGGAGCTCGAGCGATGGCTGATTGAAAGCGACCTTGCAACGCTAATGGCCACGGGTTTAGGGGCGCTTTATAGCCAATTGAATAGGTCCGTACTTACAAAAATTACTCCTGCTTGTGATATCACTGAATACCTGGCTTATATCATAGTTAACATAGAAAGCTTCTTTTCTTGAAGGATGACGAGAGCATCCCTCATATCGTCGCTCTGTCCGATTATGCTCCGGTGGAGACGGCAGCTCGCCCCAAGCTCGGGGCACACATGGATGCATTTCTTTCTTACTTGTTATTCTGGCAGGATACCATCGATCATTGTAAATCTGCTGAGGTTAACGACACACTGCTGGATCATTTTCAGGTCCTGTTTCTTCAACAGCTTCTGTATGCATTGACCCCCAGGACTACAAACGTCGATAGTTTTTTGCTGTCAACTGACCGCGATATAGTTATCCATCTCTTTTGGAGTCATCGGATGTTGATGGCGGCTCCACTTCCGCTGTTATTACCTACCTTTGCCGCATCTTGGAATCGATTGACCAGCCCGATCTAGTCCATCGAATTTTGCATTTTCTCCTAGCTTCATCCACGGGGAGTGAACCCGCTGCACAAATTCCGAAGCAGAAGTTACGAATGTCACTCAGCCGCCGCAAATCTCTTGATCTCCTAGCTTCGTTCGCGGAGGCTGCTGCAAAGCCATCGCCAGAACTTTTCAACTTGGTCGACCTTGTGTTGATGAGTATTAGATCGAAGAATCCCCCAACGGTAGTGGCTACCTTCCAGCTTATGACTGTGATTTTTCAACGGCATCATATATTTGCAAGCTCCTTGATCAAAACAGTTGAACCTCCTGAGACGTCTATGTGCATCAGGCCTATTGGCGCACTTAATGCAGAATTACAACACTTAGTTAGCTTGGCAAGATCAGTCATTGAAGACCCTTATTTGGATCAGTCATATCAAAATTATCTTCTCGATGCATCCGCAATTTTGGACCAACGAACCCCTATTATGGCTCTGGTTGGAGGGAAACCTACCCACTCCGCTCTGGATTCGCCCTTGCTTCTGCACACTACTGATGACATATTACGGGGAATGATCTCCAGGCTGGAGTCGTTTTTCACGAATAGCGTCGTGATGAATCTAGCCTTAACAGAGGCTATTACAAGTTTGGCATCTTCAAACTACATATCCTTGGATGGATGGCTCCTCGTCGAGCCTCGGAATTACGAATATGACACCGCGAGTCGGACCTGCGCAGATGCAGATGCGGAGGCCGATCACGCAAACAAATTCAGCCTAGCATTCGATCACCCATCTTTTCCTCCGTCGTCGGTACCATTGGTGCCGCACACTATCCAAAAATTGGTTCGCCGAGTCGAACAATGGCGATCGGATATATCCGATTTTGACATCCTCGTCGCAGCCCGCAGACATCTCCTCCGTTCCGGCGATGATGTGGGTGGCATTGACGGACAACCTGGGGTTAAATCATCTGATTCTTCCAACCGACCATCAGCGGACCGCCAGGGTCACCAACACCCGGCCAAAGTTGGCCATCGTTCCGATTCTCCGCGAGGTCGCAAGACAACACTTCTTGAACAGACGACTGATTCTTCGCCGCCGCGCTCGTTTGTAACTTCTGGGTCCAGATCATTGTTTAGCTCCCCCCTCCGCGATAACCCTCAGAAGCAAGCACCCTCGCGACCAGAATCAGCAACTCGCTCTTCGATAGCGGCAGACGAGCTCCGAAGACGACTTGCGACGCATATCAAAGTTGACCTGTCGGATGATTCCTCTTCTGACCAAGGCACAACTTCTGAAACTGACACGTCGACAACGTCTTTGCCCGATCATCCTGGCGATGATGACTTGGGATCCGGATCGGGATCTGGGAGCGCTTCTCGATCTAATAATGTAACGCTTGGACACATTCTCACCAACACCATCATCCTCTATGAGTTTATTCTTGAGTTAGTTGCCCTAGTGCAGGTTCGGGCAACGCTGTTCCAGGAAGTCAAGTTCGAGCGGTGAGCGCAACTTTTTTGACCTTTGCAAAAATTTACTTTATTGTACGTACCTGAATGGATGTTGCTACGGAATATTTTGTCGTGCAAGTGTAACTGGAAGAAATTTATCGATTGCATACACGCGCCCCGTTGATATGTACTTCTGTTTCTTGATCTGTCAACGATATATATAGAGATACATGGGGTACTTTTTGGGATAAAGGGATAGTTTTGTGCACCCGCCCCCCAAATGAATAGAAATAATTGGTTCTTCACGCTACCAAGTTGCCCACAGATAGTTATGTAATTCAATATTCGCCGCTCATCCTTGTACGCCGCTCGTGTGGTCGTGTTTGTCCGATGAACGGTTATTTTTCCATTGTGACAGTCAGACACCCGGCTTTGCCTCCTTTAAATCAACGAACTGGTTTCGCCACAGAGTAGCGTATCTCCCTCCCTTTTCCAGCAGCTCATGATGAGTCCCTCTCTCAACTATCGTACCCTCTTGCAGCACGAGTATCTGGTTCGCGCCGCCAATAGTGGACAGGCGATGGGCTATTACGAAGGTGGTTCTCTTCCTGCTTAGCTTCTTCAGTGCGCCCTGAATTTCAGATTCTGTCTCCGTATCCACAGCGCTGGTCGCTTCGTCTAAGATCAGGATTGGCGGATCTTTCAAGAACACTCTCGCAATCGCCAACCGTTGCAGCTCACCTCCTGACAGCTTGACACCTTGTTCTCCGACCCGGGTGTCGTAGCCGTCCGAGAAAGTGAGGATATTGTCGTGGATGGCGGCCGCTCGGCAAGCGTTGTAAACCTCTTCGTCGGAGGCCGAAGGTCTGGCATATCTGAGATTTTCCATGATTGAGGTATTGAACAGGAGAGGGTCCTGGGGAACCACCCCGATGACGTTTCGCAGTGATCTCTGAGTTACATCGCGGATATCACGGTCGTCGATCTTGATGCAGCCGGAATTGACATCGTAAAAGCGGAGCAGAAGCTTCATGAGCGATGACTTACCTGCCCCAGTACTGCCCACTAGCGCGATCGTCTCTCCAGGCGCAGCGGAGAGTGTGACATCCCGAATTGCAGTTCGCTTAGAGTCATAAGTGAAATTGACGTCCTTGAACTCGACGGTGCCCTCGACTGGGCCAAGGTCCGGAGCTCCCTCCCTGTCCGCAACGGTGGGCTGGGTCGTGAGCAAGTCCAGCAACCGCTCTGCGTCGAGGAGGTCTGACATGAGGTATCGGTATTCATGCGAGAGAAACTTGATGGGCCAGACGAGGAACTCCCAGTACTGAATCAGGAAGACGAAGTCTCCCGGAGAGGCACGTCCCTCATAGACTTCATGGCCGACAAGGCACGCAAGTATGAAAAATGTTGTGGGCATCATCGCCTCTGTGAGCGCTTTGATGTAGGCATCCCGCCTTGACCAGTCCTTCTGTGCCACGAGGTGTCCGTCCACAGCACAACCGAACTTAAACCTCTCGTGGTCAAACATGCTGAACAACGACACCGTCTGCCAGCCCTGCACAGCCTGGTGCATGACCCGAGCCTCCAGTCTCTGTGCCTTGTTCATGCGCCGTCGGTTATCAATGTTCCAGCTGGATGTTACAACCTCGAGTAAAAGAAACATGAGCGAGGCAAAGAGCATGCAAATGGCCACGGCTGAGTTAAACTTAAGGTACAGAAAGACAAACGCAATGAACATGTCGATGATCGTGGGAAGAATCTCTAAGATCGCCGTCTCAAGGACCCTCGTTAGCGCACCCCCTTGCTCGATGGCCTTCATGACTTCTGCAGAGTCTCTGTCGGAGTGGAACTCCATCGCTAAACTCATGACGTGGTTGAAGGCAGAGTTCGTGAGCTGTCGGTATGAAAATTGATCGATTGGGATTTTTGCGAGCGATTCAATAAGGCCCACCCCAGAGTCGCCATGCAACAGGCTCAACATCAGATAGACTGCTAGATCAGCGTACGGCAACTCCCGTTCGAAAAGTTTGTCAGTAACGATTCCCAGCTGGCGGGGAACGAGTATGTTCAGGAAACGGCTGGCGATCAGACACAACACGCAGATAAGAAGGCATCCCTGGATTTTAATGTCCTTCTTGGGCACCAGGCATGGCAGAAACACTTTAAAGTTGTTGAGATAGGTTATCCAGTTCCCTCTCTTGCGGAGCTGGCTGGCCCACGAGTCCTTGCGGCCACGCTCTTCATCGCCATAGTCTTCATCTGAATTCCAACGGTCGTCGTCTTCGTTGAGAAAAGAATCTGCCCCGCTCGTAGATTGAGAGGATACTGATTCGGCGCCGTAGGAAGATTGACCTAACGCAGGGTGGCCCGTCGCGTGGTTGAGTAGGGGCGCGGTGTCCTCCCCTTGGTCAAAATTCCTCTTGTGGCTAGCAATACAGTCCACGAAGAGACTCGCAGCGATGAGCACTCGAATCGAGGCGATAGCTAATAGCACGGTGTGCCCGACGGCCGCATCGTGATAAACCACATTCAGGACCAGGAGGGGAATGGCAAACCCGACGGTGATTAAGGTAAGACCGAGGGTTTCAGCAATGAGAAAAGTCTTTCGCAGGGCCGCAATCCAAGCAAAGGCGAAGAATGCCGCCGAAACTAGTCGGTCTGCACTGGTCTGATCGCGGTAGAGAAAAACGAGCACTATCTCCGCAACGTAAGATGTAGCGATAAGAGCTCGCGCAGCAAACCGGACGGCCGTTTTGCCCAATGCTAGTGATCTCTGAGGTGATTTTTGGCCATAATTGAAAAGAAAAGATCCGAAGATAAAGAGGAGTACTATCGCTGTGGATATTACATATAGCCCGTTGAGAACTCTTGAAATATAGATCATAGTGGCAACGCTCAATGCCCGCAACTAGCTAGCCACTGAAGTGTTGGCTCTCAGCCGCTCATCAGGTGAAAACATCGAACTATATATTTATCTCCCCCCTCTTCAAATCTAGTTGCTTAGATGCATGTGGCTAATAACATGCTCCGAATTTTCACGAACTCTGAGTCATGATGACTCAACTCATTGTTACACCGCAAAACTGCGGACTTGAGAAGCTTTCGTCATGTATACTCCGTATCACAGCTTGAAAAGCCGATAGATATATCCTGGTGAGTGAAGTGCCTTCAATATAAGTTCACACAACACATTCGTGACCGACGTTTCCTCTCTGGTTCAAATGATCAATTTGCGAATTGACGTGCAGTGAGAGTCCATTCTGTCAACGCATAGAATGTATGTAGGGAAAAGTTACATGCTCTTTACCTGAACATTCAGCAACAGCAGCCCACTTCCTGGAAACGTTGTCGAGGCTGCTTGCAGGGGAATTGGAGCTCATGAGTTCGATTCGAGACACACCGATAATCATTCATTTATATTCCAGCTGATGTGTAAGCCGGAGGAGAGGGGATCGGATATTGAATTGAGTTCTTAATAAGGTTCATTTAGTCCGCGTATTCATCAGCGATGTTGGGTTCTAGGGGGTCAGGTTGATAGCGCTGAATATATTTATATGTACAGCAAATTTGTTTGCTACCTGTCTCCGTTTCCCTTCTCTTAAATCGAAATCATCTCTCTAGCTTATTCTTCGTACAGTGTTCTCTTGTCACAAGCGACACGGCTCCTCTTGAACCGTCGACGTTTTGATTTTCGGCGGCGATCCTGCAGGACTGATTGCTGCCCTTACACTGGTTCGCCAGGGCCATACAGCGATCCTCTTCGACTCGGGCGGTTATCGCAATGTCGATGTAAACACGTGCACATGATACCTACTTGGGACCACAGGAACCCAGCCCAGGTCAGGGAGAAAGCGAGATTCGAAGTCCTAAACCAGTACGGGAGCGTCAGGATTGAGGATGTCGAGGTCACCGCCGCTAGAATGAGTAACGACTCCCTTTCTGAGGTCACCGACAGCAACAGCAGGGCTTGGAAGGGGAAAAAAATTATCCAGGCCACCGGCTCAGCCAATATTTTCCCAGATATTCCAGGCTATGCGGACTGTTGGGCAAAGCGAATGTAACTAAGCCCTTGGTGTCAATCAATGCTTTAATCCATTCCGATTAAGGGGCAAAACCAGAAATATTGACACCCGGGCCGTGTTCCAGTTATCATTGCCTCCACTGCAAAAGCTACGAAGACCGCGGACCGCCCGCTCCGGCGTTCTCGCCGTTCAAACGACTTCAATGGTCCCCATGGTCATCCATCTTGCTGAGAATGCAGCAACCTTAATCTCAAGAGTGACCATCTACACCCACGGCTCGGAGGAAGCTTAGCACTCAGATCCAGACTTCCTGGTTGGTGTGGCCCAAGGAACAGTTCAGGGTGGATTCTCGCAAAATCTCGCATCTCCGCATGGCTGAGGCTGATGGCAAGCCGGCAAGCAGGTGTCTCGCTTACCTTCGCCGATGGTACGAGTGTTATTATTGGATTCCTCGTGCATAATCCGTTCACTAAGGTACAAGGTCCTTTCGTTGAGCAGTTGGGTAATGAGACAGCAACCCTGGGCCCTGTTCCAGAAGTGGGAGATATCGTAGCAAATTTCCCTGCCTATCAAACGAGCATCCGCAGTGTTTCTGCGGCTGGCGACTGCATCACTCAGTATAAGGTGATTGCGGACGCCATCTCCAGTGGATGTAATGCTGCTCTTGCGGCGCCTACTCAGCTGTTAGCAGAAAAGTATCAGCATGAGTGGCTGGTCTGGTTTTGCAAGATCTCCTCGCCTCAGCCCCGTTAGCATTTAAACCGTTTTGTACGAACATGCAAAGAAGTGAATAGTGGCATTATATCTTTCGAGCTTTTTGTCCAAGTGTGTGTTATAAATAGCATTAATTTGTACACATCAATTACAACCGTGTTCTTTGTTTAGTAATATTCAAGATATACATCCATTCCATGGTAGAGAACAGAAGAACAAAACCAAAATTCTCTAACAAAGGTAGAAGTATAGGGTATCAATCAAACCAAAGTAGTCGCAAAGAAAGAAAACAATTCCATCATTCAGGGGTCACGTGTTATCGATTAGTAGTAAGCGGCCGGTGGCCGAGGACTATGAGGATCATACGGCTGCTGGTTTGCCTGATATGGCTGCACCGGAGGGACAGGAGGATACGATTGCTGAGGATACTGTTGCATGAGCGGGACGTTTGGACCTGGCGGGTTTGGCTGGACTGGATATGCATAGGATGCTGCTGGTTGTTGTTGAAACGTCTCCTGGACGACACCTGGAGGCTCATTGTTCGCCAAGGCAGGGGATGTCACGATAAGCACAGCGAGCAAGAATGACGCGCTGTAAAAGAACATGTAGAGGAACCGAACTGCGTAGTAGCTGTCAGGCGTTACGTACGTGCCTCTCAACAAGCGATACGTCACGATCTGCTCGGCAAGAAAGGTAGCCGCAAAACCGACGCAGGTCGCTGCTAGGAATGGGGCATAGCGGCGGAGAGACTGATGGTGGTGGGGGCAGAGAAAGAGTCAGTACTAGGCCAGCAGCCATGGAACACAATACACAGTGGATGAGGCAAACACATACGCTGGTTTTTAGGTTTGAGCCACGAGACATCGCTGACAGCAAGGTGTAGGCAGTTGAGAGCATCCCAGCCACGAATAGAACCCCAGCGAGGATCATCAGCCCGTTCCTCGCCCTTGCCAAACTCTCTAAAGCCGGGCTGCTGCTGAAGGAGCTCGAATATTCGAATTGCTGGACGGCTTCCGCGGCGTAAATGCACATCGCAATGAGGTAGGAACCGGCGAAACCGCCTGTCCAGAGGCCGTGAAGTATAGCAATTAGCCTTGGAGACATGTTCGCAATCTGGTGGAGGCGTTTGCATATCGAAACCATGAGCGCCCCAACCAGCAAGGAAATTGCGATAACATGCAAAAAGGTAGAGACGAGTGCCAGCTTTACAGTTAGTTCGGGTGTTGTAATAAGGCATTGGTCGAGGACGAGGAAAAGCAGACTCCATGCGTGAGCGCTATTTTTTTAAAAAATAAAATTATTTGACTTGGCCAGCTAATGTCGCCCTGCGGAAGCAGTGGACAGGAAGTGGAAGTATGCATATGGCGGGGGTTTACTTACCAGACCCTCGGGATGATCGACAGCATGAGAAGCCAGCGGCCAGGAGGTTTATTACTATGTTTAAACCTGAAAAGTTTGCGCGCGGCCACCCAAAGCAAGACGAGATCAATGAAGAGATAGGTAGCCAAGTATCCTAGATCGATCCTAGGGAGCTCCGATGTAAAGGCGGAGCTTGAGCATGAGGCGGACGAGCCTCCACTGAAGATGCCTCCTCCACCCCGTCTAGGTGCCATTGTCGCTGGTTCGATGCCGCCTGTGGGGTGGCTTTGAATGAACTAGAAGGAATTTTATCAACAAGAACTCGGGTCAATGAAGAAAGCAACGTGCCTGGGGACATGAGAAAAGCGTCGATGAATTGGGGGCTTTCTATCGTGTGCGCTGTACGCTGTATATATATCGAGCGGCCAAGGACGCCCAGAGCAGAGCGCACTGCTAGTCTTCAGCGGGGTGTGTGGTCCGTCCGTCCTGTGTTGGGCGGAGGAAAACCAAGCGGCTCAAAGGCACGACGGGGTCCAAACTCAACATTCTCCATTATTGCCCATTTCGACCAGAGCCACGTTGGGAACCCTGAAAGCATCTGAACTTCTGAAGGCGTCCGTCTGGCGTCGATCCTCTTGTTCAAGCTCGAAGCTATACGGAACGGCTCTTTTCGAGTGGGAGAGCTGCCAATCAGCATCAGACAAGCGCTCGCATCCCTTGCAACGGTGGAACTTAGTGTGATTCTCAGAATACGAGGGCACAGCCATCATCTGGTCACGACTCTCACGAAACTTGAGGCCATCATTCGTGGATTCGTGGGCAGGATTGGGCTGACCAAAAATTTGAAATGATAATGGTACAGTGTCACTGTGTCAGGCACTACTACTCCGTTATAAGTTTTGAAATCCCCCACGCCTAAGATGCCAAGATATCGCTAACCCAGAAAGAACCCAGTTAGAATGCTGCTTTTACTTTATTTACCATACGATTTTTTATTTGTATTTTTTTATTTATTTTATTTTTATTTTTTATTTTTATTTTGTCAGGAAAAAAATAAAGGCTGCGACGAGAGCTTCTGTAATTTGGGAAATAGAACCACATTTACCATTTCTACTCAGTTGTGGAGGAACGGTACAGTTCACTCATTCCAAACCTTCAACCAGGTCAAGACGCCAGCCAATTCATCCATTCTTGGCAACTATTAGACACAGCATCACTGTTTGGCGCCGTTCGTCATCGTGCCTTTATAGTTCCGTTATCAGAAGTATATCAAGCTTGCAATTGGACTTTTCCGCCTTCGTATACCGTCGCGGAGGAGGCGATCTATCCGCACTCAACAGCCCGATCCCATAAACCTACTACGGGCAGGCGGAAATCCGAAGCCGGCTTCGTTGAATCGCTCTCTTGGCCCCCTGATGAATAACTACTCTCCCAAAATACCTGGCCTGTCCTTTGACAACCACTGGACGGTTGCAATGCGCATCTTAGTTTGTCAATCATCAGAGCTTCCTCACATCGCTAACGAATCATAAACACAACGTATCTTTGCAGGGTTTCTATTCAAAACAGCAAACTGTGAAGTATTGAACTTGTTGCGGACTATAAAGGTATCGAGGGTGAACGCCATTGACAATGTTAGGGAAAAAAAAAAAAAAAAAAAAAAAAAAAAAAACACGCTCATTTCCAAGAATGAATCATAATGTCTTCATTTAACCGTGGTATATCGGAGCTCCCGGTGCCCAATTCGTTTGTTTCTGGCAAAACCATGTATCTGCTTCGGTCTTTTGCTCGCTTTGATTAGTATCTTGGTTAATGGATGCATAAAGCGTAAAGCCGAACTGCTCCAGGCAGTCTAGCACGTTCAAAAGAATCAATCGCGTTTCCACGGTCTCGGTTCCGCTTGCTTTCCAAGGATAGCCGTGAAACTTAATCTCAAAGGATGATTCGAGGAACTGGGTTCTCTGCACTTTATCGCCCAGGGCGTTGACCATTGCCTGGCATAGAGGCTCCGGGGCATCGATAAGCTGGAGAAGGTCGGACTTGTTAAAGGAGATGCACAGCCAATTACTTCGCGGGGGCGGAGGCTGCTGAAAGCGAAAAAGAAGGGTATCTGGAAAAGAGAGTGAGTGACTGTTTGTCTACTGATGGGCTTGCTACTGTCCAATAAGAAATATGCGGAGTACCAATCCGGGAAAAAGAAACACACAAGTAGAGGGGCACTACCTTTGTTCCCCTCCTTTTTTAGTACATCCACCGAAGACTTCAGCACCCATCCCATATCATACAGGCCTCGTAACAATCCGCACACCAGACGGCGCGCAGCGGTTTTCTCATCTTCAAACCAGGCGGATGGCCTCCAGGGATTGCCGCGTAACCTGATTTCATCTGATGGGCCATATTCTCGGGTGCTCTAAAGACCGGCTTTTAAGTCACCTAGAAAAGAAAGGGAAAAAAAAAAAAAAAAAAAAAAAAAAAAAAAAAAAAAAAAAGCACCAACATGCCTATCTCGGGTTTAGAGGTTAGAGGGTGTGGAAGGTGTCGGCTTCGACGAGAACATCCTTACCTGAATACCCTTGGGCCAGCATCCCTGGATAATTTCATAAATCCGAGTGACGTCTGCCGAAGAGAAACCCAGAAAGCGAATCCGATCAGTCATATGTAGCGACACGCTGGCGAAATTGGTCCGAAAAGAAGTAGCCGCTGTTGTGACCGGTTGTGATTGTGTATGGGCAATATCAAGTTTCGAGTCGCTACTACCTGGTGGTGGCGGCTGCTTTTCGTCTCCGCCGTCATACGCCGGCGGTTTGCTATCCATCTCTTTGGCCTTGTGTAGTTAACTATGCAAGAATTGAGCAACCTGCACTCGACAACTATGGCCCTACTACTGTGTATATATTCGTGGGGAGCCCGCTGTGGAAATACTCCTCCAAGTCCCAACTCTAGGCGTCAATATTCTTTTGCGATAGATAGTACGATCAGGGAGTCAGGACACCCGTTGGACTCTTGGAGGAGGCTTGGCCGTCACGACCCGACCCGACCGACCCCACCATCCGCGCGCTAATCGTAGAGGAACCGCGGCCCCCAGCGGCTCAAGCCCCAAAGCGAATAATAATAATATCCCGGTGACAAAACTGCTATTGTTGTCCTCGAAAATCCAGCCAAGGAGACCGCCGCAACTCATAGTTGAGCTTTGGATCCTTGCAGCAGGGAATGGTAACATTATTATTCAACTGAACTAACTGGACGGTATATACACTATTCAATGCAACCCCTGAATAAATTTCTCCCGAGGTCACCGCTCTAGTAGAGTAGTTAATTGTTAAAGTTTCCCCCGCGCTCTTTGCCAACCAAGGTTCTGCATGTCTGTCTTGGTTCCTGGAAGCGGCGGACAGGATGATTGATGTCCCTCGGGATCCCGTTTCTCAACTATACTCCGTACGCTGTTAGGGGAAAAAGAGGTTGTTGTAAGAGGAGAAAAGAAAAACACGCTTGCTGTTTCTCGGTCGATCTGATGTTGATGTGCCTTGCTCTGCTGGTTTCATGCTTTCTCTTTATTTTCTCTGTCCTCCATTAATTCACATAATATAATCTCGTCAGGAAGGACAATACTATGCGTATTTCCCCCGAGATTCCGGAGCCTAGCTAATTAAATAATATAATACCCGGATGATGGTCGTCATCCATCGGCCGTTTCGGGAGACAGGACATTACATTATTACTATTATTATTATTATTACATTATTACAGGTGAATATCCAAAGAGAGATCGAACGTGCAGTGTGCAGCGCACTAATAATCTGTACGGAATGCCGATTCCAATTATAAATACCAGATATTTCCGTGGCTGACGCAGGGGGCAATGTCTGCGGAATTACCTTCGCCCACGGTTCAAGCACCAAGAAGATGGTTAGTTAACTTACGTAGGGGCAATATTAAATATAGAAAGGAAGAGAGGAGCAGCCAAATAATAATATATGCAGCAAGATTCTGAGCGAGGCAATAACTAATATTGAACATGATGATTCAATCCAGCAACTACTGCGTAGTTCTTCAAATGCCCTCCCTCTGTGCCATCCAACGGCTAGACATGAATTTCTGCCACCCCCCCGTCACGGCTTCTTTCTAACCAGCTTTCCTCGCAGCGTCCGCAGCAAAATCCTGAAAAAAAAAAAAAAAAAAAAAAGCAAAGATGACCCATGCCAAGAATCATCGCTGATCAGATCGAACATCACAAGATAATTCTTGTCATTGGATTGGTGATCGCAATCAGGCGAGTTCAAGTGGCGTCGTGGAGTGCGATCGGTTCGCGCAAGAATCAATCTAAAAAAACTAGCGAACAGTCAAAGGAGAAAGAAAGGTTTTGCAAAACAACAGCACAGTTTGAAATAATAATAATAATAATAACCTTCTTGTCGAGGCTTCTTCAGCCATGAGATTATTTGCTGGCCCCCAGTTGCAGTCCGTCCCGGACCAAAGCAATCCAATCCGGTGATAGCAACATCGCTCTTCTCTCAATTGATGTGTCTCTTACAACACACATTGGAGTGTTTATTTCAAATTCTTTCAAATTCTTTCAGATCTTCATCAGAGCCATGGAAAACGCCCTTCCAATTATTTTACTTGTGGCGGTGGCAAATAAAAACCCAATTGGAATGAGATACTCAGCCTGCAGCTATGGCGTAGCTGGGGAAAACCTGGAGCTGCAACAAGTCATCGAACCAGCAAATAAGATCTCTGAAATTATTTATTTATTTATTTATTTTATTTTTTTCCCTTTCTGCAGCCCCAGTCAAGCTCAGAATTTTACCTCAGCAGCCAATAATTCGCGAGTCCCATTGAATTTGGCTGTTTCGGGGCTATCAAATCGCGAACCAGCAGCACTACCCCGTAGTAGTTACTGCAGACCCAGCATCGTCGTCGCATCGTCGTCGCATCGTCGTCGTCCCTAGCACTTCCTGATCTCATTCACACCTCCGACTTTCTTTCTTACCAGATCCTCGGACTCTTGTATGAATACGTCTTTATCGATGAATGCTTTATGGAATGCTTTTCCTTTTTGCAAATTGGTAGTTAGTCCCGATGAGGATTAACTACACCAAAGAGCGAAGCTGCACGATAGTGCCCGCTAACCAACATGGCGAATTGATATCGTGGCATAATTCACGAAGCTAATGCCACCTCTCCCAAGTCTCTCTCCTGTTGGGAATCAAATAAACTGGGCCCAGTGAAAAGAGGCAAACCAATCAAGAGCTTATTATTAGCTCGCTAGCAACAGGAATGCAGTTCTCTGGAAGTGCTGGCCGTGGTTGGGTGGTGACGGCACACAACGTGTCCTGCAGGCTGGCTTGAGTTGGCCCGCCCGTTTTTGCGATTGCCGCCTCTTTGTTGTGATTGTCCGTTTATGATTGCCCTGAGCGGACGATCCGAGTGCATTATTTATCATTCCCCGGTTTCCCCTGGTTTTTTTTTTTTTTTTTTTTGCTCTTGCTCTTCTCTTCTCTTCTCTTCTCTATTTTTCATCCCGCTGCCCATCACTGATCATCTTTGCGAAGCACGAAAGCAAAAGCCTTCCTGCCTTTCCCTTTCTCATCATTATTAAGGTTATACTACGAATTCAGGAGAGAGTTAAAATGAAGGTTTCCGTATTACTCTCTGCAGGTGCTTTCGCCGCCTTGGGCGCTGCGCAAGACTGGAGTGGTGTGTCGGACTGTGCTGTATGTTCTACGCAAATGCCGGCCCCCTCCGCTATCCTGATATTGGGCTTCACACTGTTGAGTTATGTTAACAGAGAATTGAAAAATTGTTAGCGCGGATGCATTGAACGGATGCTGGGTCTTGCTCCAAGCCTCGGTTGCAAGACTGAAGATGTCCCCTGCCTTTGCACGAACATGGATTTCGCCTATGGTGTGCGCGACTGCACAATCCAAGCTTGTGGTCCGGAAGATCTTCCAGGTGCCGCCGCTGCTGCAACCGAGTTTTGCCCCGACGACCCGCCAGGCGCGTCCCCAAGCGGCTCTCAGGATGCTACAGAGACTCCTACTGGCGAGCACACCCCGTCCCCAACGAGATCATCCAGCCCGACTGATTCAACTGCTGTAAGATATTCCCTTACCACCAGGTTACAGGGCACAATATCTGTGTTATCTGTGTTACTAACAAAGACAACCCAAAACGCATCAGACACGCTCGGAGTCTCCTGCTTCTACTCCTTACACTACCCAACCAATTGTATCAATAATCACTTCCGGCACTCAGGTAATCACGACCACTGTCGGCAGCACGACACTCTACTCCCCCGTATCTGACGCAACCGGAACCCCTCGACCAACTGGCACTGAATCCGAGCCAACTGGTTCCAGCACCGCTTCTCCAACTGACCAACCCAACACTACCGGCACCAACACCGGCACCGGTGCTACTCCTGAACCAACCGACAACGGCGCCTTCCATATACTTGCGCCTGCCACCCAAGGAATCATGGGAGCCCTCGGTGTTGTCGCCCTGCTCGCGCTGTAAAGGTCCGTCCTCGCAAGATGATGTCAAACTATATTAATGCTACCCTTGACGAGCAATGCGTCAAACCAAGCACATGACCCATGGGTATTAGCTGATGGAAATGACAACTTTTTTTTATTGATATCATGTTTATAATTTTATTTCTACTCCCCTCACCTCATGACGGGGAGTGAGCCATGCGCTCTTTTCGCATTTGTTTTCGCTTCTACCTCGCCCGAAACTGTGACGCGGTTCTCCGGTGGCATCAATTGCCAATTATAATATCTTACATGCGGCCCAAGTCCAACATGTATGGGGAGGGTAATTATGGGGCGTCATTTCTGGTGGATGGAAAATAGTAATAATGGGCCCTGATAAATAATATTACCAATTTATGACTAGTAACACTGTCAGTGTTGAAGCATATTCTTCTGGATTCCGCCAACAGAAAGCTGGCATAGTTGGTTATTGCCAGTGCCATTGGGATAAATAAATCTATCTGACCAGCTTCCACACAAACGCAAGAACAGCCACCAAGCAAGCAAAGGTAAGAACCATATTTCGAAGAGCTATCACTCCATGTTTTCGGAGCGCATACTCAACCCTCCCCTGAAACCAACCCAGCAGCGTCATTAGCTCTGGGAAACGGCTGACCATGCGGAACCTCCTTTCCCAAGAACTTGCACACCGGCTCCCAGCCATCTTCAACCTTTCCACTCCAACAACCGCGCTCGGGGGGGACAAGCAACAGCCACAAAGCCCACTTTTCGTTTCCCTCCTCACAGAGATGCTTCATCGCGCTTGCATGCCATTTGTCCATATCGCGCCGGACGTTAAGAATGACTTTTTGGCCTCGGCATAGGCGGCGATCAGCTCTGGGGCGAAACATGATGCTGCCGAGTCTGCGACAGCCACGCTGTGACCGAGCAGTGCGTCGAACAACTTTTTGCGGGCGAGACGGACCCAGCCTTGGGTGTATAATAGTAAGGGGTCTTCGAAAATGATGTCCCAACCCTATCAAAATCAGTGGGGCCGCGAAAAACATGTGCCACCCCATTTATGTAGCATTAGTATTTTTCGGGGGACATCGAGTTGTGGACAGTGAAGCCGCCACATGGAGGCCGTTCTGCAGATGTGATTTTGCCTCTTCACTTTTGGAAAGGAGGTTAGAGAGAGAGGCGCATATGGTATGTATGATCGTATCCGAGCTTCAACAAGGCATGTTGCAATGATTCAGTTCCGCTACGCATAGTACTTGCATGGGCTTCGTTCGAACACGCGGAGGGGGTTCGGGATACCCATAGAACCATTCGCAGAAGTGCCAGAAGAGGCTGTTCATTGCCATGGCGATGGGATTGGGAAGCGGGCGACAGTGATATATATTTTATGAGTGGGCCTTTGCGCCGCTGATACGATGATAATTTTGAAATGCTTGATAGTTATGAGAACTATAACTAATTATGTAATATTAGGATTGAACTGGCTAACTTCTATATACTACTATCTTCTTTACCTGCTTTTATATCCAAGTTCCAACATACTACTCCGAAGATTCCCCCTCAAAAGGTTATTATAAAAACAAGCATCAAATGCTCGCTTACGCTCGCTTTGCTGCTTGCGCAGCCCCCTCTACCACTTCCACCCCCTTCCACGCCCTACTCCCTCTACCTCTACCCCCCCCTTACCACCCCTTCCACCCCTTCCACCCTCTACCACTCTCTCCCCCTACCACTCTCTTCCACCCTTATATCACCATTATCAGATTAATCAGAGTCATACAGGCTGCAGAGCCAGCTGTTCAATCCCATTCATGAATTCAAAGGGGTGCACATGACATCACATGAGATCAAAAATGAACATAGAGAAGAGTATAAGAAATGTAAATACTGTAGAGAATGTATAAAAAGAACAGAATGAAAAAAAGAATGACGATTTGAAGATTGATCTGAGCTGTATGATCTGAAGCATTCAAATATTTTTGATGAGATGCATATGATGTCACATTACAGTGTTTTTTATATGAAAAAGTTGATTTTTGTATAATAAATAGAGAGATAATAATGTAGCTAGCTTCTCTGATAATAAATAGAAGATTAATCATTTCACAAAATATTTGAATGCTCAGCTCTGCTCTCTAGCTCATACAGCTCAGATCAATCTTCAGAGCTTCATTCTTTTATTCATTCTGCTCTTTTCATACATTCTCTACAGTATTTACATTTCCTATACTTTTCTCTATATTCATTTTTGATCTCTGTTTTCATAGCATGCACTGCTAAATGCTCTGTAACATGATCTCATGTGATGTTATGTGCACCCCTTTGAATTCATGAATGGGATTGAACAGCTGGCTCTGCAGCCTGTATGGCTCTGATTAATCTGATAATGGTGATAGGGGTGGGGTGGAAGAGGGGGTATGGGGTGGATGGGGTGGAAGAGGTAGTAAGGGGGGGTTGCGGGGCGGTAGGGGCGGTGGTGGTGGTAGAGGGGGCTGCGCAAGCAGCAAAGCGAGCGTAAGCAATAATATGTGCTTATTTAGTTAGCTCCTACGCAGGGGAATTAACCCAAGTCTGATCGTCGTCTATGCATCGAGCGGCTGAACTCCTGCAAAAAAGCGCGCAGTAAATAACTGAAATTATGGATAACCAGCTCACCACTGCCACTAATCCCGTGGACAAGTCGTTTTTCAGCCAGCCATCCTCACAAGGAATCGGGTGGTCCCAAGAGTTGAAACGCTCCAAAGCCGACGTTTATATCAAAGAAAGCCCTGTCGCCAACAAGCATTCACGCGAAGGAATTCGGAAGAAAACGCAACTTGATTCAAAAACTCACATGCAGATTAGAACAGAGATTGGGCTCTCAAAAAATATAAAAAATAAAAAATAAAAATCTAGTTGCAAGAACAAAGCATCCAGCTAATTAGACCCTGTCCGTGCTCAGATCCCCAAGACACACACCAGACCACTCATCCTAGTATCGAGCAAGTGAGAACATAAATCAGGAGAAGTAAAGTGGAGATGTCCTGCGTCATTAGTTATGGCTAGCAAATAAGAAGCAGGATATAACAATGCAACGTATAAAAAGGCGCCCCTGGTCTGAACGCCTTTTACTGAAAACATGAACCTGAACAAGAAACGGGAAAACAAGGAGAAAAAGAAAAGAAAATATATGAAAAAGAAAATGCCCGGAAATATAACGAGAAAGCGAAGCAACACAAAAAAAAAAAAAAAAAAAAAAAAGCTGAACAGCTCCACCACCAATCGAAACGAAACCCTCCAGTTACTCTTCGCCCAAACTCTGCCTCACGCATTGCCGTACTCTCTTCTTAAACTCCTTCGGGTCCTCCCGCCAGAGTCTTGCAGCTTCCACATTTGCGGGACTCTCATCGTTGGGACTAGAAAGCATGCTGATAACGCTGAGGAGAATGGTTTCGGGGGTCTGCACTGGCGACCAGCGCTCGGCAGCAGACTCGTAGCCATATTTGTCGTCCTCGGGGGGATGTAGGATGGATATGCAGACTTCGCCGTTAGGGTAGACTAGAGGGGGAAACTCTCATCGTCAGAAGTGAGGATACACTTTAAATATGTAAGGGACCGGGATGGAGCGAGAAAGATCTTTTGGCTAAATGTTATGTACTCTGTACAGTACGTACTATTTGGGTGGAATATTGGAGTTTCAAATTTCATCGTCGGCGGCATATGAGGATACTCCGGGGGGAAGGTTAGTCGAGCGCAGAAAAAGCCGCCTAGATATAAAGAGATTTCAACTTGTTAACAAGCAAGCTTCCTCAAGTTTTGTGCCCATGTCATGTCAACCTCCCGGCACAGACGGAGTTTTGACCAAGATAGAGATAGAGAAGATATCTTTGTATCCTGCAACCAAAGAGCCCCGTTTGAAAAATGCCCGCCCAAAAACATACCGCCATAAAATTTACACTCATCCGAGATCATGAGCATAACCTCCCATTCAAATATGTTATCGTTCGCCAGCCCGCAGCTTATTCCCGGGATATCCTTATCTGTTTGCATCTGCTTCAATTGGCGGCCGAGCAGCCCCGCTGCAGCAGAAGTGGCCATCGTGAACTACTAGTTGGGTGAACTGGCAGGGGCTAGGAAATCTGTGACGGTCTAATATTCTTTGAAGGCTTTGAAAAATGTCTTTGTATTTTCGGTTCTCCCACTACATATAATATATATATATATATAAGAACAAGAGTGGGCGGGGAGGGTGAGGGGAATGGCGAGTGAGGGCAATAATATATGGTGGTGGCGTTGGGATGTTGGGGGAAACCGCCAGGACTTCGCGGCGAGCGTTGGAGATAGCCGCAGTGGATTGGTCAAGGGCCTACACAGGGTAGCAGTGGGTTCCTTGGGAAGAAAATGTCGAAATAATCGTTCTAAATCTTCGAGCTAGGGTTTTTCCATATAATATACTGAGGTTGACGGTCGAAGCCGTGGTTAGTGATTCTTCCTCGTCCGTTCCCCGCGATCAGCCAGCATTACCTAATCGGGTAATTCCGCCTATCAGCCGATGAAGGTCACTCACGGAATTACTACGTTTTTGGAACGGCGGATTTGCTAGCGGAAGAAGGGCGCTTGAAAAATATGCACATCCATGGCAGATAGTAAAATCATATTCGCAACGTACGGAATATACACAATAAAGATCGTATTGAAAACTATAACAGCTCAAAGTGAGGATTGGAGGCTACAAAAGGGACAAGAAATACAGGTCGAACGAATGAAGAGAACGGAGAAAAATGCAGAGAAAAATGTAGAAGCTGGTTAAAATATTGAACATGGGGAAAACCTGCCCGATACTTCACTTGATTGTGCTCGAGGGGAGAGGGGACGAAACATAGAAATCGGAAACATGTAGTTAAATCTCCATGACAGCCAGGGTCGAACTTGCTTTCCAGGCTAGCTAGTCGCCCCTAGGGGGCCACTGAATATATGTATATAACTTTGCCAAACGAAAAACAAGGGAAACCTACGCCTGCACAAACATCTTCTCCTTCATAAGACTAGCTTCGCCAGCAATGACGATAGCGCAGGCAACCGTGACTGGGACCATCATGGCGAAGGTTTTCACTAGAACCTTGAGGAGACGGACACGCGATGGCCAGGTGAAGGTCTTCCAGGCATCCAACAGGCCAATCTTGCCGCTACCTCCCAAGATAGCCGGCTGAACCTTTCCACCAAAAGTGCGATCGAAGGGCACAATGGTCTCCTCTTGATCAGGGAGAATAGATGCCGCGACTCGGATCATGGTCACGGTGGCTGGAAGCTCAATAAGGAGTGTCAGACATATGGCGAGGAGAAAAGAGCCGATGGCTATAGCAACCTCGGCGCGGAGGTCGAATTCTGGGTCTGAGAGTGGATTGCCCTCGTTCACACTCCATACTCGGCTTCTCATCGCTAGATGGGCAGGTAAGATAAAGGTGAGTTGCGAAGCCACCGACTGAAGGGCAACAGCGGGAGCAATCTTCACCCAGCTGCTATATCCAGGGATGCGTCTCCAAAAGCGTTTGGCAGAGGGCTCTGAAATTACAATGTGGACCCAGGCAAGCGCCAGAGGGGCGGAAACCACTTCGGCGGCAATACGGCCGAAGGAATGTAGGGGATGGCTCAGGTCGTTACCACGGCCAAAGGTAAAGAATTGGGAAAGGATCGAACGGCTAATCACCAAGCACATGTAGATTCCCAACCCTCGGAAGCGGGACCAGGGACCGGCACGGGCACGAAGATGGAGGATGGCGGAGCGCAGGGTGCTGGTGACAGGGAACAGGCGTTCAAGAGCGACATCGGGACCAGGGCGAACTGCGTTGGTTGTTTTACTGGAGTCATCGGGACTGTCCCTGATGCGCTCATAAATATCCGGATGGGGATCTTCCACCACAGCCAATGTTGCAACGACCGTGCCATAGGTATATTGAATCTAGAATTGCAGCCAACGAATACTGTGTTAGCGGGGCATGGGATCAAGAGGGGTATGCTATCACCATCCATGGGGAAACACATACGGCGAAAGAAATAAGGCCGAACACTATAGCAGTCACAGAGAACACCAGTATGGCCCAGACTGATAGTTTGCGTCGCTCTTCATTGTCGTCGTTTGAAGTTGGTGATAGGTAGCCGGACGTGGCGTCCATCCCTCGACGGACCAGGTGATGGGCAACAGCAGACATGTCAGCCACCGAAAGGAACGACGAGATATATAAAAATGAAACCACAGTAAGGAGAGACACAAGAAAGACACAGAACGTGTTTATTGAGATAAAAGACCACAAAAAGAAAGGCAGCTGAGAGGAAGACTAAAAGATGGAGGAAGTTGATCAAACCTTGCGGGAGGTGAGCCTCATTCACCCCCTTGTTAGCATTATTTAGTAAGCCGGCCGCTGTAACATAACTAAGTTAACTAACTAATAAATAGTTATAAATTTAGGCAACAACTCAAAACCATCATGATCACGACATTGAGCGATGACGGGATTCTTATTTCTGTGAACTAGGATTCCAAGAGCTGACGTGATTAGAGTTGATTGACGATGCAAGGACATAACGATGCACATTCGTATGTGCTATACAAACACATGTATAGGTTTCATATCCAGATCTCAATCAACCCAGGTAGTTATCATTCTCAAGCCCGCCTACGATGGTAGGTGACCAACCAAGATGATAGACGACGCCAGGAGGGCTGAGATATCTCACCTGTTGATATTATTTCCACAACCCTCAAGCAATCTAAGGCCCATCTGCCCCGTGGTTCATCTGCAGATGTTCTCTCCGGGCGTGTCTTCCCGTTTATTAGCCCTATATGTAGCAGATGACCATGACAGACACCTTCGTGATTCTGCCACTGATATCTGAACAGCGTGGATAATGAGGGATCGCCAGTTATTCCATCCAGCTATCCCCATCTTCATGCAAAACCCCCACTCGGACAACTGTTGTTCGTTGCGAGGGCTTGCCTCCCTTCGCCCGGAGCTGCAGGGGTCTCGAAGATACTGCTGCTTCGTATATGAATGGAGTCAGTCCCCAATTTGAGAAGACAACGGGATTTTGATCGTTATTGCCTCCATCCTCCTTTTCTCCATGCTCTCTCACTCCCTCTCTTCTCCCCTCCTCTCCTCTCCATCTCTCCCTGTGCTGATAGATCCATGGTATATCTATTTTTCCATCCTCCGAGCCGAGGTCCGCCTTTGTCGCCTTACATAATCTCCCCCCGCCGCCCCGTGTTTGCTTCGAGCCGGAAGCCGCACCGCACCCGCATCACAGGCAAATCTTGCATTTCTCCAGATTCTCCCGCTGGGCTTTTTTCCCCATTTTTTCCAATTTTTTTTTTCCTCTTTCGTTTTCTACGTCGTCGTTGTACTTAGCAGGTGTTTCCTTTCAGTCCATACACTCTCTTCTTCGGATTGTGCCCGAGTGCTCTTTGCGCTGGCTTGGTAGCCTCTCCTATCTCGGATTCCCCTCCCCCCCAAATCCCTCATCAGCCTACATTCCTCACGCCTCTATATCCACAATGCCGTCCTCCACGACTGTTGTCTCCCCTCCAGCACCCATGGAAGCAGAGCCCAAGAAACAATCTCCGGCTGCTGCAACTGCTACCATCTCCCAGATCAAATCGTTTGTTGCCGGTGGTGCGGGCGGAATCTGCGCTGTCGTTGTTGGGCACCCCTTCGACTTGGTTAAAGTCCGCCTGCAAACTGCTGAGAAAGGAGTTTACTCCGGTGCCATCGATGTCGTGAAAAGAACTATTGCCCGCGAAGGCCTTACAAGGGTATGTCCATGGACGGGCTAACCTCTCTCAAGCTACTATCCCGCGAATTTCCATAAATCCGTAATCTAATAGCACCAATAGGGCCTATACGCTGGCGTTTCAGCTCCATTGGTCGGAGTAACTCCTATGTGTATGTTTTCCTTTTCCTATTCCTTTGACTGGTGAAGATTATTGTTCAACTGGCTAACTGTTTCCAATTTTCAGTCGCCGTCAGCTTCTGGGTACGTTCGCATCGGTCAACCGTAATTTTTTGCCCGCACCCCCTCTAATCACTCCTCGTATCTATGCAGGGTTATGATCTTGGGAAAACACTCGTTCGCAACTTCTCCACTGTTCCGGTACATAATGGAACTCCCCAGTACTCAATCGGCCAAATATCTGCTGCCGGTTTCTTCTCCGCGATCCCCATGACCCTGATCACCGCTCCTTTCGAACGTGTCAAGGTTCTCCTTCAGATTCAAGGCCAGAATCCCCCTCCTCCCGGCCAAAAACCCAAATATTCCGGTGGTGTAGACGTTGTCCGCCAGCTCTATAAAGAGGGCGGTATCCGTAGCGTATTCCGCGGAAGTGCCATGACCTTGGCCCGTGACGGCCCTGGCTCTGCGGCATATTTCGCCGCCTATGAATATATCAAGCGCAGCCTCACGCCAAAGGATGTCGACGGAAATGTCACCGGCGAACTGTCCTTACCCGCCGTGGTTGCTGCAGGCGGCGCAGCTGGAATTGCTATGTGGATCCCCGTCTTCCCTATCGATACCATCAAGTCCCGGCTCCAGAGCGCGGAGGGACGACCCACCATCGGAGGCACCATCCAAGGCGTATATGCTAGCGGGGGATTCAAAGCATTCTTTCCCGGATTCGCCCCTGCTTTGGCAAGAGCGGTGCCGGCAAATGCTGCTACTTTGTAAGTTCCTTGGTTCCACGAGGTGTACATAATTCAACATCCATGTTTCCAATAGCTGACAATTCGCTCACCCAAACAGCCTCGGAGTCGAACTGGCTCACAAAGCCATGAACAAGTTTTTCTAGTCACTGAGATATACGGATGAAATAAATTCTCCTTTTCTTTGTCATATCAGCACATAGAAATTTACCTTCCCCCTGTGCTCCACAATGAAGAGGTGGAGCTATGATACCCACGCATATTAAGCTGCGAACATATATCTATCACACATCAAATCCTGAGCACCATTTCTCTGGTAAATATGTCTTCCTGCCTTCCTCGTTTCCATGATGCGGGGTTGAGAGAACTCAGCCCCCTGAAAGCGGAGTTTGTTGTAGACATTCCTTGCTCTTTTTTGTATTTACATTTTATCCTTTTCCTCTCCTAAACCTTGTACATGTACAGATTCCACGACTTTTGTTCTGTTTCCTTACTGTTTATCGTTCCTCGTCCGGTGTTTTCAAATTACTGTTACCTTCTGTCATAGAGCACATATATAGATCATGCCGTATTGGGTTGGTTCATTGGTTAAACATTCGTGCGTGGGATTTTTTGTTTTTTTGTTGCATGCCAGTGTGTAGGGCGGTTTTAACAACAGGCACATGGTAAACGTTGGCACAGCGCAAGTAAAATTTACCAAAATTACTATTAGTGCAGCGATACCACTATCTCTCACACACCCTCTCAGTCGCGTTTCCTTCTCCTATTTTATGTCCCAGTCTACCACTCTAACTTACTCCCTAAACTTCCCACCACAGTATATGCATGTGTCGAAAGTCTCACAGAGTATATCTAGCAACCGCCGCTCTTGGCACTGAGCCTGAGACTCACCCGCCGTCTCCATCTCTGGCTCAATCACACTAGGGACTTCGGCAAGCTCCGCATCCAAGACTTCGCCACCACACACTGAACAACGCTTGGAAATCGACGGGTCCTGGATGGAGAGAAACGTCAATCCGCATCGGGCTAGATTTCCCAATACGACACTCATTAGTGGTTGTGGGATTGGAATTACAGGAAAAGTTTAGGGGCTGCAAAAAAGGGAGACGAACCGAACATATGCCCCTCCGTGCACTGGGACTCTTCAGCAGAGTACCAGTCAATACCGCTCCCGCATATATTGCAGAATTCAAATACATCATGACCAGCCTCCGCTTGGGCTTCGCGGGGTTTACCGGGTATCTGTTTGCTCGTTTCCGGACCAGTTGAGGGCTCTGAGGGATGTTGGATTTGCGGCTGGAGCTTTTCGTCTATAAGGGATAACTCCAGCGATAAGTCGAGGTTTAATGTATCAGATAGCCACTGCGCCGCTGATTTGGCAGCTTCCAGCACAGGAGGGTCATCCGCGGGGTATTGATCTGTAGCGAGGCAGCAGATAGCAGCGTATTTGAGCTTTCTTTCCCAGGGGTCATTCGGTATATCTCTATGGTTCCCATGTAGGGTGAACGATAGGACCCTTGCGCGGGCAGCTCTCGTGTGCTTAGGTGTTAATTGTGGAGGAATATCCCAAGGCAACGTTGCTGAGACAGCCTCGCGGGGCTCCCCGCTCCCACCCTCCGCGGGTTGTGGGTGCGCAAAGACTATCCTCGAGCGTTCACGCGCCGTGGTGATATATTCAACCATGTCGCTGGGATGGACTGTGAAGCACGCTGCAACCCAGCCTCGATGGCTAGTCATGCCCCATATCCTGGCGACGGACATGCCGCCCAGGTCGTGGTCAAGGTCGAATCGGCTGCGGAAGCCTTCGATCTGGCTGTGAAGATCGGCACTCTGCGGGTTGCCCGAATGGCCATCATCGCTCATAGTAACGTCTTGAGTTTGGGTCGCTGGCAGTGGTAAAGAGCGGAGGGATGATGAATAATGGGCGACGTGTAGGACAGGGGTATGCGATTGGGTGTCCGTTGTGGAAGTTATGGCTATCGCGCGGAATCTTCAGCAAGTACGCATCTAAAAGGGCTTTTGTGTGACAGGATGCTCACCAGTAATGGGCTCCCATTCTAGTAAGCTGTTATCTTCTGCTATGTCTGCACGTAGTGCGTGGTGGAATGATATCGTCGGCGTGCACTGCCGTCTCCCAATTGACTCCGAGACGAACAGGTCGTCAAGTGTAATCACAACATATCCCCCAAGATATCCAACAGCCAAGCATAATGATGGTGAATTTTCAAGGTCCTTGAACGGTTAGTAAGAACACTATCTAGGTATAAAAGGGAAAGGATGTCTTATTTACCGCACAGTCGACCCAACGTAGAGGGCCATGGAAGCTCATACGCTGAAACTGATCTTCTTGAGAGATAGGGATAGCTTCACTCAACAGTAAATCCAGTCTGGCATCCGCATTATTTCCTTCTTCCTCTCCTCCCAGTTCTTCAAACTTTGCATGTAACAGAAAAACCTTAACCTCAGTAGCTTGTATAATTGCAATTGGAGAAGTATGTCTAGGCTTCCCCTGATCGTCCAAACTCTGTCGCGGGGAGCCCCACGCAATGTGAGATATGATGTGTACTGATCTCATCGGTTGACTCAGAAGGGAACCAGGTTGTACACGAGGATATGCCGCAGTCGGCGGGGATACCTCATTATGGGAAATAATCTCAACCCATAACTTTCGTCGGGTCTTCGCGTCTGATCCCCGGCGGTCATTTCTAACTCTGATCAAAGTTATGTCGTTCATATCATTCGCCACAACGAGTAGAGACATATTTCGATAGGCAGGATGCCCATGTGGAGCATCCTTGTCATGACGATCATCATCGCATTTAGGACCCCAACAGAAGGACCTGACATGCTGTTTACGCTGTAAAATTGAACTCTGTCCTTGTAACAATGGACCAAATGCATCTTTTAACGCACTATTGACAACTACACTCCGCACCCACTTGGACTGTCCGTCCGCCAGCTCCCAGAGCGACAGGACCAAATTGCTTGTCAATACCGCGAGGACGTGTCGACTGTACTTGGCCAGGCAATGCGGCGACCAAGCCAATGCCACAACATGGCTGACAGACTGCTCTTCACCGAGAGAGAAAAAACCATCGCCCCGCTGGGGAAATATCATGGGCCATTCCTTATTAGTGAAGACATTTACGCGGAATTTGGTGGTTGTCCACTGGGTGTTTGATGTGGATGGTGTTTCCGCCGCACCAGCTGATGTTGGTAATTTTATCCGCGGAGTCTAGATATTGGGTGATCAGTATTATGATACTTTTGCTATAGATCATAACCGGTATTCGAAGCTCAATAATGATACATGGAAGAAGCTGATTTTCGTGGCGGATAAAGGGGTGTGTGATTTACTAACTAGAACATGGACATATTCCCCCAGTGCAACAGCGAGCTCACCATCCGGGGACCAGGAAATACAATCGAAACAGGATGGGAAAAGCTTTAGTTCGACAGGATCGAGCGTCATGGCTTGATGGGGGATGTCAGGTAGCTACCGTAGCATTTTAGAGGCTGCTGCTCCCATGGCTTAAGTCGAGGTTTTTTTTTTTTGTTCAAAGCACCATACCATACCATAGTAGTAACTAGTGGTTATGCGAGAATATTTTACACCAAAAAAGCTCACTTTCCCTTCAAAATGACTAATGTTCCTGCCTATAAACTCGCAGATAAAATTTTGCGAAGAGCTCTCAAGTTTTTACGTGTTCTCCAAAATATTATCTCTGTTTCATTTAATGTAACTATCCGCTTCTGATACATATTTCCATGATATGAGATCCATACACGAAGTATGTGATTGGCTATTTGTATGGTCAAGAAATAATTGCCTTTTTCGTACTCTGTACAGATATAAATAGTAAATAAATAAAGCCCATATATATCATCACATTTCCATGCATTAATGATTGTTCATTCCTCTAGAGCTCTGTTTATAAAATATAGATGTTATACAGTTACGCAGAACGAAAACCATAGGTTTTAACAATACACAAAAAGGATCAATCTTTCAGCAGGGTCAGCATCTTAAGATATAATAATATTTCTACAGTATGTTTTTTCGTCTGGCAAGTTGTTCTCAGACAACCCTTAGAACCCTCGTTCCGAGTCTCAGCCAACATCCTCTTTCCGACAATATAGTTTTTCTTTTACTCGAGCCTACAGATGTGAAAGGGAGACATTAACTTTTCTGTCTGGAGTAATAATGTAATTCTTGGGAAACATCTATCCTTCTGACATCTCTCCTGGCCTTGGTACAACGGTATAGGCGTCGCGGTTTGCAGCAATACGGCCAAAACTGGACAGTTCGAAGTCGCTGTCACAGAACAATATCGTTGTCTAGACGGATCAGTGACCGCTCATCCCCGGATTCGGACGGCAATGGAGGTGATGCGTCTTCGTCTGAGGCATTCTTTAGATTGATATTAGAGCGGCTCAGTTGTTTCAAATTGGTGGCTTCCCACTGAGAAACTACGGAAAAGGGTCGAAGAAGTAACTCGCAGATACTATGGGGTCGTTTTCCTTTTTTGAAATAAATGGCAAAGGGGCTTCAGCGTGGGAATGCAGGAGGTCAAAATAACAGTATCTGCTTATAGTCTAGGATCGTCCCTCATTGTTAGTCTCGCATATGACTTCGAATAGAAGGAAAAGGGACAGAAATGAGATATTTTACTTCGCCCATATTATCCACTCGCCGCTTCTGTCTGGAAGGAATCTGATGTTAGGCCTTCATGTAAATTCGGGGACGTACGGTAGGGTAACAAACTCTCAAGTAGTATCGACTCTCTGTTTCAAGATTGGTAGCTGAACGCATTTGACAATCGCAATGGCGCAAGCTCTATAAAGGACAATGTGTGGTGAGAGAAGTAGACTTGGACTAAACAAAGGGGCATAGGCAAAACACACACTGAACCGAGTCCCAGTGCAGCGCAGACAGCAATTTTCTTCAAAATTAAAACTTAAGCCTCCAACGCACAACAACTGCGTACACTGCGAAGTAAAAATCCACGAACACAGACACTGCTATGCATATGGAGGCGTATCAGTAAATCTGTGACATCTTCATGTGGCTGGTTCCTACTTTGTGATGATGGGAAAATATGACACAAACCTCCATTGAAGATGAAATAGACCGTAGCGTAGAACACAAGGGGTCTCTGCACTTGGCATTCTTGATAAGCTTGTCCCAGATTGCCTGGTGAGGTTGGCCAATAGTCATGAGGACGGGGAAGCATATGCAGCCAACCAGTGTGGCAGGTCCGCTCAGGATCCAGACCATATTACGGTGGAAAGGAGTCGGAACAAGAATCCTGTTGAGCATCGCGGCTACCACAAGCTTTAGAACTGAGATTGCAGGTATCCCGACGAGTGATCCGATCTGAGCATTGAGCCTTGAGCCGCGGATTTGCTTTGGCGTTGGTGTGTACTGTTAGTATACTTTCCAAATCCATAACTTATGAGGACGGTAACTAGTATGACATAGACAAATCTCAAGATCTTGACTCGAATGACGGGTTGGTTAGTGAGCTCATCAGCCAATGAGCGGGAATAAAAATAAAGTGACAATGAAAGTGACGAGGACAAGGAAAATGAAATAGAATAGTAATGTAAAATACTATAAAATTGGGAGTCCCACAGGATGAGTGGGAAATGGTGTGGTCAAGGGCCAAACTAGGGGTTACGGTCTAGTTCTTTATATACCATAAGATAGAGTGGGTGGGCAGGAATACTGATGGGAGTTTATGAACTGGACGTGTCGGCTCGGTTGCTACCTGCCCGTCCGATTTATGCGAGAATGCATCTCGGACCCTCTGCTGGCTCATGAGAAAGGATAATATGTGCTGTGTGCTCCGCATAGAGAGACATGGAAAGTTATTTGTGCAGTACAAGGAAGCTATCGAGCTATGGGGAAGATGAAGTTGTCGCTCTCAAAACTTTGTAATTCACACTAAATCCAATCAAGAATGGCTTTCTAGCTGCGCTCCTCAGGCATCGACATTGATTTAGAGAACTGGAGGCCTGAGAGCAATATTCTCCTCAAACGGTGAGCCGTCAAGGTTCAACTAACCTTTGACAGAGGTTGAGCATTTGATAAATAATTATGGCCTTAGACCATTGCCTTGGGAACACGAGGGTTTGGCAGACACGATAGGGGATGCCTACATGTCCTGACCTGGCTGGCCATAACTTTTGAGATCGTCGTTCATATCTTGTGCTGATACGCTACTCAAGTAATCTTGGTGGCTAAGTCCATTGAGACAACGAGGGTTCAACGAGGCGTTCTCGGCGGGTTATCTGGATGGGCGAGTTGCCGATTCGCTGACTCGACAATGTGAAGGAGTCTCCTATAAAGATAACAATCCTTGCTTCTCACGCAGTTCGGCCCATAGACTTAAGCCACTATTAAGGAGAAAGCGGAATATTGCAACGTTTTATTATGGAGAGCAGTTAAGATGATGAACACAAATAAAATTCTCTGAGCGGTAATCTATAAAGTTCGTTGTGTCCATAGAGTTAGGAGAACCGGCACGCGAGTCGTTTGCCTAGCTTTTGGAGTCTAGTCTGGATCAGGAAGGGAGCTGTAATTAAAACGCGTGTGAGCATCGTCTCCAGCCGATCTGCAGTACTTGGGGCAGATTAGAAAATGAGAGAGATGATACCTGGGGGTAAATGAATGATGGTGGAGACTCCCTATTAAATGTCAACACATCTTTTTTACAGAGAATGGAACAATTGAAGTTTTGAGTATGCCATATCGAATTCTCAGCATGGTAGGTATTGTAGACACCAGTGGACGACCGGCCCGCACCGTACTGGTTTGGGGGCACTCATGGATGATTGTACTTCTAGCTGGCCAATCAGAAAGTAAATATGTGATGGTGTATCGGAGTGCTTTGGGAGGTAGGAATTCCCCCGGCACTGCGTTGACCCTCGGGCCATGGACGAGAAAAGACTGTATTATGTTGTTTCACTCCCCTCGCTCGCTCCGCAAATAGGAGTCACTCTAGCGATGAAGTACATTATTGAACGTAAGTCGTAGCATCCATTAGCGTGTATCAACCTACCCAGGTACCTAGGCACTCTGAGAGCTAATACCTGGCTGGAATTTGCAAGGGAGTCCGAATAGGTTTCCAGCGACTGGGTCCCATTCGTCGTCCCATCGCCGTTCACTTTCCCGGCGTGCACCTCGACGAAGAGTGCAGAGTTTCTCCCCGTTTGCACCAAATAAATCAACGAGGTGAGCAACCAGGTCATCAGTGCTCCCAAACCCAAGGCCGTTGACTCCCTCAGTTACCAGTTCTGGCCACGCCTCGTATTGGTTCCAGCCAACCACGGGGAGCCCAGCTCCAAACATATCAACAACTTTCATAGGTAAATCAACACCACTGCTGCTGGTATGGAGGCATACGCCTAGGGAAGCACTCGCAAGGAGCCGAGCGTAATCTTCTAAACTTAACCACGTCGATTGAATTGTCACTTTTTCAAGCTTTCCTTGGTCCATTAATTTGGCAATTCGGGAAAGGTACATTTGCTGCTGGGGGCCTTTTCCAGTTATTATGACAGCCAGCCGCGGCAGACAAAGGTTTGTTGTGGAAGCCATGGCTGAGTAACGGCATAAGGCGTCGATTAGAATCGAAAAGTCTTCGTCTGGTGTCCAAGAAGTTGAGCTGACAAGAAGGCGGCACCTTCCCGCCTTCATATCTGCAACGAATTCAGATGTCTCCGAGAGAGATGATAGGAACTTGTACCTTTTCATGTCGCTTTGAAAAGGCTGGAAAATGGATGGAGGGCGGTCATGCAAAACGAGAATCGGTGTTTTAATCTTTAAATCATCACGGAGCTGCCGCGCCATGGCATTGCTTACACAAAAATGGGCGGAAGAGAACCGACCAAAGGTGGCTTCATGGGACTTATTTATCTTGACCATCGGATGACTATCACCCAGTTTCAACGCCAGGATTGAGTACCCAAAGTTATGCCAGTCGATAACAAGCCGGGTTTTGCGAAGTTTGCAAACAATTTGCGCGATCACCAGAGTTGGAGCAGTGGGTGGGTTCTGAAACGAGCGAAACAAAATCTCAGTGGTTAGATCAGAACGGTTTCATCTAAGAAAAACTGGTGCAAAACACATGGAAGAGGATAAAATGAACAAGGGAAAAGGGAGCGTGTTGATGGCAACTGACCTGAACCAACATCCATTGCGCCGGGTTGGAGTGATATGCCAAGGCAAGCCATAAGCACCATGTTTGGTGCAGCAGCTTCAAAGCAGCAAGGAACGGAAACAGATATTTGTTGTGGGTTTGTAGGAAGCTTGGGGGTGAGGCCAAGGGTATGATGGAAACTCTAGGGTGCTCGGCCAAATCCGGGTGGACATTGGAACCTTTATACTCACAACGCACAGTCAATATTTATTATCACAAAGGAGCGTTCATCGCGCTGTTAGTAGCAAAATATAAATAAATAAATAAATAAATACCTGCATATCCGATGACTGATACAATCCCGCCATGTTTTGCGAAACTCAATGCATGGTACTGCATCCGTGGGCTGCGACCAATATCTCCAAGCACGACGATCTGAACAGATGGAGGCTCGGGAATGTGACCTTCTAACTTCGATAAGGAGGGTGGAGACGTAGGCCTTTTTCTCTCATAGCGAGATGGCAAGACAAGTATCAACGCTGGTATAGAAATGGCCAGGAAGAGCGCTGCTGCCCCCACGATAAGCGTCAACATTTCTGCAAGGAATTGCCAGAACGAGCGGACTGCATTGAGCAACGAGCGTAGGTAGATTTCATTCTCCGGATATATATTCCGAAAGAAAATCTTCAGCTGGAGCCAGACAGATGAGCAATCAATCCCTCTCCGGGTAACTAATGGATATGTTGCGCCGATAAAACGCCAGGATCCACGCTTTCCTTTTCTGGGATTGTTCAAATTTGTCGGTAAATTATTATTCCGCTCCAACTACATCGACATATCGGCATGCCGAGCTGATTCCCCCGGCATGCCGAATTCTGGGTATTGGGATGGATGCGGTCAGAGCTAAAGTAGTTTACCGCGCTTCCCCCATTATTATCATTAATAACCGTAACTTAAACAAAAAAGAATTACTGGGTGGGCTAAATTAAATGGAAACCAACAAGTCAACACGCTAATCCAAAACGCCAAGCAAGATTTGTGAAGAAAATGCCCCAAGCAATGGCCAATGGGAGCTGTGGAGAGCCGCACGGGATTGGATGGATTATTAATCACTTCCCGAGGCCACAAGGTCAAACAACCGAGAGGTCATGTGACCTCGTGTCAACCTGGAGGCCCAACAACGGTCGATACGCAGACAAGGAACTGGAGGATAAGGAGAATAATAGACGGCCAAGTGCGAAGGACTGTCCGGAAGTTGGGATTTTCTCGAACGGTATCACATTGGATACAGGTGGTAGGATTCGCCTTGACAATTGACAATTGACAGACTTCCTAGCAATCCGCTATTGCGCTCTCGTCACACAACAGCCAGCACCACCGACCGTCTAACGTTTTGTTGGCAATATTGGTCTCGTTTATGATATGATGGAGACGATTGTATAATGTCCGTGCCCTCATATCCTCCCATGGCCAATCTTGACCGGGGTGGCCTCCAACCACCCCCGCCAGGCCATCGGCGCTCTCGCGGCGGCTATGTTCCACATGGCCAGAAGCCGCTCTCGATGACCCATCCAGGGTCCCTTGCCCCTTCGTCTAGCAACTTATCGGCCCATTCAAACTTGCAACACCATGCGAGCGACTCTGTCGTAGAGCCGACAACCCATTCGCTTGTCAGACATGCTCGTCATTACTCGGAAGGACCCTCGGGCTCATCAAATATTTCGAACGATGTATCTGCGCGGGCCGATAGCTGTGATATGGTCAATGGAAATGGCAGTCCATCGCCGGGGTTTTCGTTGGGTGCTTCGACCGCTACAATGCGCGGGGATAGGCGTTTCATGTCTGAGAGTTCAGAACAATCAGCCACTCTCTTGAGCAAGTCAGTTTTTAGTTGAATTGCGAAGGACATGGTGCATGAATACTGACCAGATATGCGCATCCAGGCTTTTTGCGAGTGAAATCTTTGCCGGTATACTAGTCTCGGTTCCATACCTGATATTTTCAGCGTTCATGGCTACATATTACTCAACCCACGACTCCGGAGGAGAGTTCCGCGACGAGTCTGTAGAATCTGGCCAGGCACCCCCTCTTTCTCCAAAGAGGAGAGAGTTTCTCAGCACTTGTGCATTGACCTCGATAACGATGCTGATAATGGGCCTCCATACTGAGCTGCGAATGAAAAACCAGTTGCGTCTCCTGAGTGACCCTACAGCCAAAGCGAAATCAGCTGGTGGGACTATACCGACCGTCCGGCATACTATCCTTATGACGATATCCATAGGCCTGCCATTTTATGCTTCTCTGCTTCTTGATCATGGCAGGGTCGTTATCGTCATGCTACTCTTGCTAGTCTCCAGATTGGCCCCAATTATTCAGCTTGATCATGACAGCTATGAGCAGAAACAATCCCGATTCCATTTAACACAACGCAAAGGGACAACTTGTTTCCTGCTTGGAATGATGGTTCTCGACACCGCGGGATTCACAACATCCATTGACTGGCGGCTGGTTCTCAGAGGATATCTTGCACTTTTGCTCTCAGTATTTATTATCCAGCCTCCTTTTGCAAAACCACAAAATCGTCCTTCAATAGTTCATTCCAAGGGGCCAACTTACGAGCCCGCGGTTTCTGATTCTGCCCCTCCAGTCCAAAGTAGCCTATTGCCGGAATCAAGAGCCGCCGCTGCAGGCTCCAATCTATATTTCCGAGTTGGCAGCATTTTAGCAGTTTCCTGCTTCCTCATTGGTTATGTAACTGGCGGTATCCATATCACCCTAGCGGCCTTAGTGATTACATTGATAACTGCGTTGCTCTCAGCTATATCCTTTCTATATATCGAGCGGTCAACATTCCAAAGTAAACATCAACTAGCCTTTATTGCAGGATCCGGTTCCACTATTATGGTTAACGCTGTTATATCCCACATGGAAGTTTTAGAAATTGCACTAGCATGCTCTTTCATTGTTGTTGGCTATATTTTAGTTCACCTAGATCTTAGGGCAGCACAACAAGATGTCCATGGCCATTCTCATGCTGTGCACGGACATGGACATCATGGGCATCACCATGCTGACCACCACAAAAGTGAGACCGGTCCGACTCGAGTAACCAGATGGCTTTTGAAGTCGTTTGACCATTGGCCTTTCATATATGGGATCCTTAAAGAAAAAGACTCGCGGAGAATATTCTATTTCATGTGGTACGTTCCTCCAGGAAACAGTATATATTCTACCCACTCTGCTAATGCTTCTTCACATGTTACAGCCTTAATTTTGGATTCATGCTTGTTCAACTATCTTATGGAATCTTAACCGGCTCGCTGGGCTTGCTTAGCGATAGCATTCACATGTTATTTGACTGTTTCGCACTCGCAGTAGGCCTTTCTGCCGCTGTGATGAGTAAATGGCCGCCAAGTGTAAGATTTCCATACGGATACGGGAAGGTAGATACGTTGGCTGGCTTTGCCAATGGCGTGTTTCTCATGTAAGTCCTTGCATAACTGTAGCGTGCAAAAAAATATGTTGCTAATAAAGCATTACAGGATTATTAGTATTGAGATTGTCTATGAGGCCGTCGAAAGGCTCATGTCTGGAAGCGAGGTCCAGAGGATAGGGGAGCTTCTTTTCGTCGGCGCTGCTGGGCTGGCAGTCAACATGGTGGGAATAATGGCGTTTGACCACGGCCACCACCATGGACACTCTCACTCCCACGGTGGCCATGACCACGGCCATTCACACTCAAACGAAAACATGCATGGGATTTTCCTCCACATCTTAGCCGATACCCTTGGGTCCGTTGCAGTGGTTCTGTCGACAATCCTCGTGCATTTTTACAAGTGGTCTGGATTCGACCCAATTGCCTCATGTCTAATAGCCATTCTCATTTTTGTCTCTGCCATACCACTGGTGGCTAGCACGTCGAAAACCTTACTGCTCGCCCTCCCCGCGGATGTTGAATACGGGCTACGCGATGCCTTAGCTGGTGTCAGCACCCTGCGTGGCGTGGTTGGATATTCCGTTCCGAAATTCTGGTTAGACGATACCGTTCACGATCATCAGCATAAACATGACCACCACGGCCACCATCACGGCCACCATCATGGCCACGACCATAGCCATCATTCCCATACCCATCCCCACGATGACAACCACTGTAATGGCGACAAGCATTCCCACGAACACGCCCACGGGCATGGCGGGTCCGGCCAACGAATACTGGGAGTGATGCATGTGATTGCGTCTCGCGGGGCGGATATGGAGGACGTCCGGCGTCGGACGATCAGCTACCTAAGCGAACAGGGCATAAATATCCTAGTTCAGGTAGAGCGCGAGGGCGAGAACCGGTGTTGGTGTGGCACTGGGAATATGCCGATGAATTGATATGCTTTCGTGTAACAACTACGGATGTATGTACGTGTGGGATGCTATATTTCGAGGCATATATGTTTTCCTTTTTCCTGTCCCTTTTTTTTTCCTTCTCACTGTTGATTTTATTTGCCTTGTTTCTTTCCTGCATTGTATTCTCTGGTTTTGATCTTTCCATTCATAAGTTTTTGAAGATTTTTATAGTCCTCTGAGGATACCCCCAAATTCTCCGCTGCCATCAACAGCATTATATACACTCATATTTATATTTTACTTTGTTCTAGCTATCTGTGATAGTGATAACAATGACGACAATAATAACTTGAATGATCTGCAAGTGGAGTAATTGAAGTAAGATTTAAGAACTGAAGAAACAACTTTGACATACTAGGCTTTGAAATCTAAGAAATATCAAAGAACAGGCAATTTATTTGTGTGTGCAAGATTTGTGTTTGCAGTTTGGGAATATTAAATTATCATTGAATGCTCACAAATATATTGAATACAGTAAAGCATTGATATGTTGTTCCTGCATCAGCAGAGAACATGACTAACTACAATCTCAAAAAAGCTGTAAGAAGATATAATACCATTGTCAATAGATTCCGAGTCACTTCACATGATCTGACATGATCTACACATTTGTAGCTTCACAATGGAAATATACTCATATGAATGAAGATATGTTATTCAAATTGTGTGATAACAGGAATTTTACACAACAAGCCTTCTTCCCTTACAAAATGGAATCATCTGCTCTCCATTGGATTGTGATACAATAATAGATTTTGTTCAATGGTATTGCATGGTAGAACGCTAAAACATTTTATAAAATGAGAATGACATAATATTTACAGTTCATCTAAGCTCCATACATACACATAAATATATAAAAACAGCGCATAGACAAGGTTGTAAAATTCCCCTATCTTTACTCGACGCCCTCCACTCTCTGGACGACAACGGCCGTGGCGGCTCCGCCACCGTTGCAGATGGCAGCGAGACCGTACTGTCCTGGATTCAACTGGTGAAGCAAACTGGTGAGAATGCGCGAGCCAGAGCTTCCAAGAGCATGGCCCAAGGAGATGGCGCCACCAAGGGGATTGACAGTGGCGTTCTCGAGGCCAAGAATCTACACGACACAGGCAATGCAATGGTTAGATGTGGTTTACAAGAGCAAATTAGGAGTTTCACATCCAAGAAGCGCAACAACAACATACCTTCTCGTTTGCTTTAATGACGGCAGCGAACGCTTCGTTGAATTCCCAGATGGAGATCTGGTCCTTGGTCAGGCCCGCTCGCTCCAGGGCGATGGGAACGGCCTTGGCGGGTGCCACGGGGAAGTCAATGGGCTCCATGGCGGCATCTGCGGACGAGACGATACGGGCAAGCACCCTGCTGGAAGCACCGTACTGCTGCGCAATCTGCTTATTGGTAATAACTAGCGCGGAGGCGCCGTCGTTGAAGGTCGAGGCATTGCCGGCCGTGACGCTTCCTGTGCCATCGCGGACAAAGGCAGGCTTGAGCGACTTCATCTTCTCCTCACGGAGATCCTCGAAGCCCTCATCCTTAGTCACAACGGTGTCGCCCTTCTTGCCCTTGACGGTAACGGGGGCGATCTCGTCGTCGAATTTCTTCTCCGCCCACGCCTTCTGCGCGCGCTTGTAGGATTGCACGGCGTACTCGTCCTGCTGTTCACGGGTGATTTCGTATTTTTTTGCTGTGTTCTCCGCGCACACGCCCATGTGGAGTTGGTTGTAGACGTCCCAGAGGCCGTCTTTGATCAAGCCATCCTCTAGTTTCATGTTGCCAAATGGTGCTTGTTGGGTAGATCGCGGGAGGTAATATGGCACTCTGGACATGTTTTCCATTCCACCGGCAACCTGTGCCTCCGCAAGACCGAGCTGGATGTTCTGTGCAGCAAGAACGACGGCCTTTAAGCCTGAGGCGCAGACTTTGTTGATGGTGATGGCCTCGACGGCGGGGGACAGGCCGGCGAAGATGGCAGCTTGTCTTGCGGGAGACTGGCCGATAGATGCTTGTAGGACGTTACCCATGTAAACATCTGTGATTTTTTCGACGGGAACTCCAGACTTCTCGATGGCGGATTTGATGGCTACGGCGCCTAGCTCGGGAGCGGGTACGGTAACGAAGGAGCCATTGAACTGGTATAGTTAGCTTTTGTTCTCCTTGTTTGTCTTCTCCTTGCTCGAGTCCTCAGAATCCCGTAGATATATGCAAGAACATACCTTGGCAGTTGGTGTACGGGCAGCACCCAAAATATAGGCCTCCTGTATTTGCTTTTGGCAGGAGCTGGAGGAAGAAAATTGTCTCTGGATCTGGCCCAGTCTCTGTGATGATCTCGTCATTGAGGCAAATCTGGAGGCTGCTCTGAGGGAGGACTGCATCGTGGATGAACCGGATATCTAGCTATGCGATGGTGGGTATATGTAGGGTGGACGCTTGATGGTTTAAGGGAAGAGAACTCAAGCGCTGCTAGACAACAACCAAACGAGAAGACTAAGGAGTGAAGGAGGTTGTCCAAGTGAAAACAGACGAAATATACAATAACAAAAATAGAGACGTATTTGCTGGTGGAGCTGGCGGAGGAGGAGTTTGCGGAGGCGTCGGAGAAAACCCGGGCTGGTGGTGGGGGAAATTCGCGGGACAAGTTGCGCTGGTGAGTTAGCTCCGCCAACACTGTGTAAGTGACACCAGCTTCCCCGAAGATAAACGAGATATTCGACGACAGCAAGAGCCCAATTAGGTGATTATTCTGGTGTCATCCATCTGAGATGATTTATATCTTGTTCTTTTCCTTGTCTTTCAGTCCTCCCAACCAGCGTTGCCGTGACTAAGCGCGTATGTCACGTGTATATCCCTTGGACCTCGGCTACAATTTATATTTCGTGGATCGGAATTACTATTGTACGAAATTCAACCTTCGCATAACTGGCTTATATAATCGCGAGATAAGCACTCTCTGCCAAGCCATGCCAAGTCATGCCAAGCTGTTGTCCCCGGCCCGCCGCCATCGCCTGCTCTTCTTCGACAAAGCTGTGGCTACATATTCTACGTTACGGGATTTCTTCCATCGTCCATCCTACATCTTGCATCGTCTATCTGGCATCACCCTTTTTCACTCACTACTTATCGCTATATATATCCTGCTTCATCACTCGAGCAACTTGAGCCTCCATCCACTCCTCTCTCTCTCTCTCTCTCACTCTCACTCTCTCTCACTCACTCTCTCTCTCTCTCTCTGTCCAGGTACTCATTCCACCTCGCTCACTTGGTCCCCATCCAATCCCCCCTCCTGCCGGCCAAGCTACCTCCTTCCTCTCCCTTCTGCCCCGGTGTACCGCTATCTCCGCCCTACTAGACGTCTTTACGGTCTTTTTTTACTCCATATATCCATCCTTTCCTTTCCTGTACATTCGCCATGTCCACAGCTGCTCGCCGTCGCCTGATGCGGGATTTCAAGGTACCGTCTTCGACATATTTATATAAATATATCTCCCATTCCAACATGCCAGCATGCTTATCCCTACCTCTCTGAATAGCGTATGCAAACAGACCCCCCAGCCGGTGTCTCCGCCTCCCCCGTAGCAGATAATGTCATGACCTGGAACGCCGTCATTATCGGTCCGGCCGACACACCCTTCGAAGACGGCACATTCCGCCTCGTCATGCATTTTGAAGAACAGTACCCAAACAAGCCACCCGGAGTAAAATTCGTCAGCCAAATGTTCCATCCCAACGTCTATGGCACCGGTGAACTGTGCTTGGATATACTACAGAACCGCTGGAGTCCAACGTATGACGTCGCTGCTATCTTAACTAGTATCCAAAGGTATTATTTTTCTCTCACATTAGCTATTTTTTTTTAAAGGCAATCTCTCTGCTTAAAAGGATAAATTAGTAAAACTAAACTAAACTTATATTTCCATCCAGTTTGCTCAACGACCCCAACACATCCTCGCCCGCTAACGTGGAGGCTTCTAATCTTTACAAAGACAACCGCAGGGAATATACTAAACGGGTACGGGAAACGGTAGAAAAGAGCTGGGAGGATTGATGGCTGAAACCTGACAAACTACCGGTTTCTGCCGGCGTACATGGATGGGTGGGCACAGTATATACAAACGGATCATCTCCTCTTTTGCTCTTCTACTACTATCAGAATGGTGTGGCAACTACTGCACTTGCCTCTTCCTATTGGCACTGCCGCTTACTACCGATTTCTATCCCACTCTCCATCCCTCTCTCATGCCATAAATGCAGATGGCCTGGAGGGTATTTTGATCTATACCTTACTACTGTGTCGTTTGTTGTGTCGTTTCCTTGTTTTAACTTGATCTTATTCTCACAGCATGGGGTTTTGGCGCTTGCTGTTTTTTCTTTTTCTTTCTTCATTTTTTTCTTCAGTTTATATTTACGTGTATCTGTTCTACTTTTGTTTTTTCTTTCCGGCATGGCTTAGCCCCTCACTAGCCCGTTCATATTCTCATTATTTCTTGTGCTACTTAACTGCTAAATAGTAGGAAATGGTTGGACCTTAAAATGATCTTCCAGTTCACACTGCCGATAACTCGCCGGTTATGTAGAAATATCGAGACGTAAAAAAAAAAAAAAACGGAAAGGAAAAAGGAAAAAAGCAAAAAAGGAAAAGGAAAATGCAGGGCTCATAAGGCTGCATGGGATTCCCATGGGTTGATCAAAAGTATACAGCCCGTGGTGCAGCCTGTACATGTATAACCGTGCCAAACGCGACTCACTACCACTAGAGAGAGTGAGTGCGCTTGGCACGGTTAATAAATATCTTCCCGATAAGAATGATGCATGAATTATGCTCTGCGTAGAGTTTATGGGAACCAAACGTTTTTGTTTACACGTTTTTCTCATGGAATATTTCCCGTTCAACAACAATATATTATTGCAAAGGTGGTATGCACAAGCTTCTAAGCATTTCTAATGGATTTCTGCAAGGCGAGGGAGGGGCAAGAGGGTAGAAGGTTAGTTAAATAATGTGCTGTCGACATTATCAGCCACCGCACAGGAGAAAATGTGTGGAGGAGTTTGTTTGGTGAGCGGCCTTCAACAAAGTAAATAGTTGAATACATGTCAACAGGGTATATGAGTACATATATATGAATACTGTGATATGTAGAGAGAACCACCACACGTTAGATTACATCCCCTGACGTGTTTCAGGTTGCTATATCTGGTAATCCGCGTCAGGGTAGGACATTCATGTGTGCCATACCATATTTACCCCGTAACTAATCTGTACAGAGCACATCGAGTCCGATGCCAAGCCGTGTGTCAACAAAGGCTAATCACCAAATCACATCACTCCAGTCTCACACCACATCTATCCATCTACACACCTCTCTATCATTGTCCTGGCCGTGGAGCTCCCCGACCATACCATTCTTACCTCGCCCTCCTCTCTCCCTGGTCTCTCGCGGCAGCGCTTTCAACGCGTCAATCAACCAAACCAACCCAACTCGCGGGCGGAAAGCCTCTGGCTCGTTAAGCCAATATACACGCTCTTCCCCCCGTCTCCTCCGCCATCTCCTCCTCCTCCTCCTCCACCACTTCTTGGACTCTACGGGGCTATCGCTCAATAGCCCTGCTTGGAGAGATACAACTACAGCCTGCCCTTCGTGGGCTTGGTCCCTTTTCTTTTTTGCTCTTGTCCTGTTCGCGTGAACATAAGGTGAACGGTTACCGGCGATTGTCTGTCGAGATAGAAGCCAGCAATCATGGCGTACGTCAAACTATATAGTTGCCTCCAAACTTCGCCCCATTTCCTACACTTGATCCCCTTTGTCATATATTTGGTTTAGCTATCCTATCAATGTCAATGGTATCCGTGGTGCGATTGCTGATTTTCACACCTGCAGTTCGAGCGGGTCGGGCAGTACCAACACCATCAAGGGTATGATAACAACTCCATTCTCATTATTGTTATTGTTATTTATTTTTCCCATCCATGCCCTTGGAGTATACAATACTTATGCTCATGCATCGATATAGTTGTTGCCAGATTCCGGCCCCAGAATAAAATCGAACTCGCCAGTGGGGGAGAGCCCATTGTCGAGTTCGAAAGTGAGGATACATGCAGGATAAATGTAAACATCGAGGGGTTCCTTTTGTTATTTTTTTTTTTTTTTTTATTTTTTTATTTTTTTTTTATTTTCTTTCTTTCTTTCTTTCTTATTTTATTTTTTTTCCCTTTTCATCTTTATATCCTCTCCCCCTCTCTGTTGCTGTATCTCATCAGATATCGACTAAACCTTGTTCTTTTGGAATAATAGTCTAAAGAGGCCGCGGGGGCCTTCACCTTCGACCGCATCTTCGGCATGGACTCCCAGCAACAAGACGTCTTCGACTTCTCCATCCGCCCCACTGTCGACGATATCCTCAATGGCTACAACGGAACCGTCTTCGCCTACGGGCAAACCGGTGCTGGAAAGTCCTATACAATGATGGGCTCGGATATCGACGATGATGTAGGAAAGGGTATTATCCCACGTATCGTCGAACAGATGTTCGCCAGCATCCTTGCAAGTCCCGGAAACATCGAGTATACAGTTCGCGTGAGCTATATGGAAATCTATATGGAGCGCATTCGGGATCTCCTGGTGCCACAAAACGACAACCTCCCCATCCACGAAGAAAAGTCCCGCGGTGTTTACGTCAAGGGCCTACTGGAAATTTACGTCTCCAGCGTGCAGGAGGTCTACGAAGTTATGCGCAGGGGCGATGCGGCGAGGGCTGTAGCTGCAACCAATATGAACCAGGAGTCTTCGCGGTCCCATTCGATTTTCGTCATCACTATCACGCAGAAGAATGTGGAAACGGGCTCTGCAAAGAGCGGCCAGCTATTCCTCGTCGACTTGGCGGGTAGCGAGAAGGTCGGTAAGACAGGCGCGAGCGGCCAGACACTCGAGGAAGCCAAGAAGATCAACAAGAGCTTGAGCGCGCTGGGTATGGTTATCAATTCGCTGACGGACGGCAAATCGACGCATATCCCCTACCGGGACTCAAAACTTACGCGGATCCTGCAGGAGAGTTTGGGTGGTAACTCGCGGACGACTCTAATCATCAATTGCTCCCCCAGCAGCTACAACGATGCAGAAACAATTAGCACGCTCCGCTTCGGAGTACGCGCCAAGGCAATTAAGAACAAGGCAAAGATTAACGCTGAGCTAAGTCCCACAGAGTTGAAGATGTTACTTAAAAAGGCCCAGACGCAGGTTGTCACCTTTGAGACTTATATTACCGCTCTCGAGTCGGAGGTTCAAATCTGGCGGGCTGGGGAGACGGTGCCGAGGGAACGGTGGACGCCTGCTAGAACTGCTGATGGGCTGAGTAGCATGAGGGCTGAAGCACGGGGACCTCCTCGTCCAGGGACGCCGTCTCGCCTACAGACGGATATCTCAAGATCGGAGACACCCAGCCGACCCGATTCGAGGATAGGCGAACGTTCCAGCACGCCTAGCATCCTGCTTGAGAAAGACGAGCGGGAAGAATTCCTGCGACGGGAGAATGAGCTGCAGGATCAACTCGCGGAGAAAGAGACGCTTATTGCCAACGTAGAGAAGGATCTCATAGAGAAGAAGGAGGAGTTAAAATTTCTCAAGGAGAATACGATCCGGACGGGTAAGGATAATGAGAAACTTAACACCGAGGTCAACGAGCTGCGGATGCAGTTGGAGAAGGTCTCATATGAGAGCAAGGAGGCGTCTATTATCATGGATACGCTTAAGGAGGCCAACTCTGAACTCACGGCCGAACTCGATGAGCTGAAGCAGCAACTTCTCGATGTCAGAATGAGCGCCAAGGAAACCAGCGCCGCTTTGGATGAGAAGGATAAGAAGAAAGCCGAGCGCATGGCTAAGATGATGGCTGGGTTCGATCTGGGGATGAACGTGTTCTCGGACAATGAACGGAAGATCCAGAAGCTGGTTGAGCGGGTGGAGGCGTTACAGGCATCCAGCAGCTCTGGGGAACCCATTGCAGCTGATGCTCTTACTGAGTTCAGGACCAGCCTGATCGAGGCTCAAGGATTTGTTCGCCAGGCGGAGTTGACTGTGAATGACCGAAGCACCTACCAGGAGTTGCCGGACAACAAACGGGTGGAGCTTGAGGACCGGATCGCAGAGCTTCAAAAACGGTATGAGGAGGTGCTCGAAAACGGCCTGAGCAAGGACGACGTAGAAGAAATCAAGACTCGCCTGGGCCAGGCATATGAGGACCGACAGGAGCATGAATCGAAGATGGTCGAGGAGCTTCGAAGCGAATTAACACGACGGGGCGAGGAGCTAGAACGATTGCGACAATCTCTTACTGAAGCGCAGTCCCGTGGTGGTCCTATCAATGGCAGCGGCGGGCCCACCGTTAACAGCAAGACGCTACAGCAGCAAATCGCAGACTTCGACATCATGAAGAAATCTCTAATGCGCGACCTGCAGAACCGGTGCGAGCGGGTAGTGGAGCTTGAGATCTCACTCGACGAGACCCGCGAGCAGTACAAGAACGTGTTGCAGTCGTCGAACAACCGGGCGCAGCAGAAGAAGATGGCGTTCCTAGAGCGGAATCTGGAGCAGCTGACGCACGTCCAGCGACAACTTGTGGAGCAGAATGGCAGCCTGAAGCGCGAGGTGGCGATTGCGGAGCGGAAGCTGATTGCACGCAATGAGCGCATTGAGAGCCTTGAAACTCTCTTGCAGGATAGTCAGGAGAAACTTACGGCGGCGAACCATCGGTATGAATTGAATCTCTTAATAATCCGTATATAAAACAAAACGTGCATAGCTAACTTTCTATGTTTCCTATAAACAGCTTCGAAGCGCAACTCACAGCCCTCAAGGAACGTCTGGAAGCAGCCAAAGCAGGCTCAACACGCGGCCTCCCATCCTCAGAGGGCGGGGCATTCAGCTTTGGCGGGTCTCGGATAGCCAAACCTCTCCGTGGCGGCGGAGGAGCTGTCGACTCGAACGGCGCGCTCGTGAATCCGACGCTGTCTGGCCTGCAGTCGCAGGATGCCTCCGGGTCCGGGTCGGGAGGCGCCAAGCGCACCAGCTGGTTCTTCGATCGGCGATGATGATGATGAACCAGGATTCGCTGTGGCCAGTTTGGCCGCCCCTGACTAGGATGGCGTTGTTTGATGTAGGTCGCGATGAGGCTGCGGTGAACCAGTCGGTGTTTTTTATGTTGTATGTGATGTTGCCGCTGATGATGTCGTCGGCATCTCCGTCGGCGCGGGGGAGGAGATGAATCTAGTCCATGACGGGCAGGGGAAAAGGCGGAAAGGCAACAACAGCTTGATGTGTTGTCAGCTTTTGCCTTGATGAGCGTCACAGCGGTTGTGGAGCGTAAGTTTTGGCTCCGGCTTCACGATGATTGTTTCATTGTAGATAGATTCAATTTTATTCCCTTTCGTTTGTCCTTTCTCCCCCCCTTTTCCCCTACTCTCACACCGTTGTCGTTCGGATTTTGGCTGCGCTCTCTCTTTTTTGGGCTTATTTTTGGACTACCATCACATCACGGGCTAGAGCTTCTTTACCTCTCTACCGTTATATGTTATCTTCCAGAACCATGATGATTTTTCTCCTTTTTAAATAATGTGGACGAAGGATATTTTTTTTATGTTTTTCGTGTTAGTGTTCCTATTATCTAGCTCCAGCGTCTGGAACAAAATCCAGGATAGACAACTTATATAGTCAGATATCTCTCTGCATTGATGTCATTGTTGTTTCCAGGTTAGGCCGTGTTGACGTCACATGACAAGGGGTCCCAAGACCCAACCCAACCCCTCGTATGGGTTGGATAAAGGAGACCTTGATAGACACCAACATCGGGATAGCCATCGTGCACTTGGGGCTGGCCTGGCTCATCCGCTCACTCCAGATAGCATATTAGATTCACTACAATCGCCTGACTGCGCATAGATCATCAAATTACCACTCTGTATCTATACAATGGGTGCAGGCCAGTCCAAGGAGGCCGCTGCGGAGGCTGTTGACCACGAGAAGCAGGAGATTGCAAAAGGCATGTCCAAGTTGGAGGTGTCGGAGAGGATGCAGGAAGGCCTGGAGTCGGGCTATGTTTATGTTGATGAGGAACGTGAGTACAGTACATCCCAGGCTTGTAACATTCTCAATGTCAAACAGGCGGCTGATTGTGTCATACTATCCTATCCGTATAGCCCCGGCCTACTCCTCGTCGGGAAGGGAGATCGATTTGTCCATATCAGAGACGAGGCGTTGGAAGAAGGAATTGCTGGCAGATCCCAAGGTAAGCGACAAGTAACATGCTACGCGCATTCATACTATATTTAACTAGATGTTATAATGTTAATATCGCCATAGAACCGCCTCGCCTTATATGCTCTGTCCGCCAACTCCCCCACCACCATCATAGCCAATCACGCAGCAAAAGTTGCAGATGCTCAGGTCTTCAACGTCAAGATCCCGCTCGAGGGCTCGCCGATCACCAACCAGTACTCTTCGGGCCGCTGCTGGCTGTTCGCGTCGACCAACGTGTTCCGCGTGGCTCTGATGAAGCTGTACAATCTGAAGAGCTTCGAGTTGAGTCAAACATATCTATTCTTTTGGGATAAGATTGAAAAAGCCAATTGGTTCCTGGAGCATGTCATTGACACGGCCGCTGAGCCGCTGGATGGTAGGTTGGTGCAGAGCCTAATGTCAAGTCCCGTGTCGGATGGCGGCCAGTGGGATATGGTCACGAATTTGGTTGGGAAGTATGGCTTGGTATGTACGTTTCATGTTTCACTGGAGCCTACTACGTTTATGAAACAACGGAAATTAATTTGATAAATACGTAGGTTCCCAAAGAGTTGTGCCCTGATTCCTATAATGCGAAAAACAGCTCCTTCCTGGGCAAGCTCGTCACCACAAAGCTGCGTGAGGATGCGCTTGTCCTGCGTAAAATGGCAACGAGCGAGGATCCTTCTACCAGGGCGTCCATCGGCGACGCGAAGAAAAAGTTTCTACAAGAAATCCATTCAATTCTGACCATTTTACTTGGACCGGCACCGTACCCTCAACAGAGATTTCACTGGGTGTATTACGATACGAATGGCAAATTTCACAAACTATCCACGACGCCCTTGGACTTTGCATCGAGTCTTTCAAGTAGTGAAGGGCTTAGGGCATGTGAGGGGACGGATGTGAATGAGCTTTTTAGCTTGGTCAATGATCCAAGGAACCCCTACAAACGGTTATTGACTGTGGATCGGCTGGGTAATGTTGTCGGTGGCCGACCGGTAACTTATGTCAATGTTAATATGGAGGTAAAGTGTTCTCTGTCACTCCACAAAGTAACGAAGCGTTTATAGAAGTGCTTACAAAACATATTCCCGCAGACAATGAAAGCTGCCGCGATCGCCATGCTCAAAGCGGGCATCCCTGTCTTCTTCGGCAGCGACGTGGGGAAATACTCCAGCTCCTCATCAGGAATCATGGATACTGCCTTGTATGATTACTCTCTGGGCTTCAACGTCAATCTAGGCATGAGCAAGGCCGAGAGATTGCAAACGGGCGAGTCATCCATGACGCATGCCATGGTTCTGACGGCCGTGCACATTGGGGACGACGGCAAGCCCGTGCGCTGGCGTGTGGAGAACTCATGGGGCGATGACAAGGGCGACAAGGGCTGGTTCGTTATGACGGATAAATGGATGGATGAGTTTGTGTATCAGGTTGTTGTTGACCTGCAGTTTGTGAGCCGGGAGGTGAGGGATGTGTTGAAGCAGACGCCGATAAAGCTGCCGCTATGGGACCCGATGGGGGCCCTGGCTTGAGTGATATGATATCTACGATTACTACTTCTGGTGGTGTTTTCAAGGTCGTCTGTTGAAATTTCGGGGTTTCTTTATATGTTTCAGCGAATTATACCTTTCTACTCGATTAATTGTTAGAGACTGGTGTTTGAGAGCCCCTGGATGGTGTGGCGTCTCTGTTAGAGCTATATATTGTCTTCATACCTGCCAGAATTTCCGGGTCATGGGCTCTTTTTCGTCTTATTATTATTTTTTGTTTTTCTATTATTAAAATACAGGTGTTGAAACCACACCAAGATAACAAGAAACATAGGAAATACAAAGAGTGACAATTTGAGACTTGCAAATACAGCATCCTAGCCCAGGATTGAGAGAAAATTTATGTAGCTATTTAGTAACTACACCTCTGTATTTTGAGATGCTTGAGTTCTGATTTTTCAATCTTGACCTGTTGATGTTTCCCCCTGCGAGGTTTGAACCCGCACGCCTTGGCAGCCCTAACTACAGCAGTTATATGTCTCACTCACATTTTATATATGAAAACCTTGCTAGTAAATTATAATATAACAACATTGTCTTCTACATTTTACTTAGTCCCGATCATGTCTTAGCTTTAACTTATGATCACTTTGGTCCCGGTGGGACTCAGGCCAAGAAACGTAACTTATGGGACCAGACCAGTCTTGCAACACCCCCAAGGTGGCGGCCGCTGCAGAAGCTTGCCCCGCTTACATCAGCTGGTCCGGCCTGCCCCGCGATCACATGCCATGCCTGTCGTGTCGTGTATTTTCTCGACTCCACCAGAGCTCGATGACAAGACTTCCAGACAACTCGCAGCTCGCAAGAACTAACACACGTCTAACGTCAATTCTCGTCTCGCAGCTTTCGAGCAGGTTGTCCGATCCATTACTCTCCTTTGCAGCTATAGATTAGCTAGTCATTCCCTTCGCATCTACCTCCCTTCCCTTTTAGCCTACCTCCTCCTCGTCTCCCACCCACCCCTACCCATAGCGAGGTCGCGAGCTTCCTAACACCAAGCGGAGTCATAAATCATAATGAGATCCTAATTTCGAAAAGTACAATGAGCTGGTTGAGCTCAAGCAACGCCGTACTCCATCCACTGTGCCTGTCTCATATTCACAGCCAGCTGCATTTCGGATCTATAACAGCGGTGCTACTACCTTGGAAGGAGACGCATTACCTATAAAAGCCGACTGCTGGAGAGGTATTCTTTGCAGCATCCATGGGGAAGCCTCCAGCAGTTATCATCATTGCGAGGTTCGTACGATTGTATTTTACTTCCTACCCTGCTGCCCAACGCTTGGTGGGGGTGAGAGATCTATTTGCTAATGGAGCATTAGGCATGGCGCCCGGTTGGATGCGGTGGACAAACAGTGGCATCTAACATCACCTACCCCGTACGATCCTCCTCTTACATATGGCGGTTGGAATCAATCCCGCGCACTCGGTATTCGGATAGGTAACCTGCTTCGAGCTAGAGAAGAGCCTGTCACCCCTCAATCATCCAACCCATATGGAAATAATAGCGTGGAGGATAAGGCGGCGGTAGTGGGGGGTAACAATGGCGAGGGTAATCAATCGGGCACACCAAGACAGGCCAGAAAGCAGAGAATAATTATCCATACTTCTCCCTTTCTCCGCTGCGTGCAAACCGCTATCGGAGTGAGTGCCGGCATGAGGCTAAGCAAAAATTCCCCTCTGAACCGCAGTCAATCTTCACCATATAAACATCACCGGTTGCATTCGGGTTCCCCCGTCACGCGAGGCAGCGACTCAAACCAGCTTTCAGCCATCCCAGAACCAAGCATTAGCCTTTCCCTGTCCAGGCTAGCCATCGAACCGACTGAAACCCCCGTTCCAAAATACAAACTGCGGCTTGACGCATTTCTCGGAGAATGGCTCTCTCCGGACTACTTTGAGCAGATTTCGCCTCCTCCAAGTTCTGTGATGATGATTGCGGGTGCAAAAGCGGAACTTCTGCGTCGTGGAGAACCAATCGAAGCTGGTATTGAGGCTGGTGGGAAATCAATGTTTGGCCACTTTCCCGGGGGCTGGACTAACCAGTTTACCACCGGCGCCTCCGAACGTCATGACGATGAAACTGGTGATGGGAATGGGAAGGATGGAGAAGCCATCAAGCAGACAGCTCCCAAGGCTTATGCGCTTGCGCACAGGAATCGTTCTGGCAGCTTTGATACGGGTGCAAATGGCGGTATTAAGCCGACGGGGGTTGGCATTTCGAAAATTCAAACCGACCTCCCAGCAGGCTATTCGGGATACGTTCCTCCCGTTCCCACCTATTCTATTTCACCGTCGGACCCTATTCCCGCCGGGTACGTATCCCATGCCCGTGATGCTTGTGTTGACGTCGATTACCAGTGGGACAGCATGCGCGAACCCCAAAATTGGGGCAATGGGGGCGAATACGGTGAAGAATGGAGCGCTATGCACGATAGATTTCGCAACGGGCTCCAACGTATGATAGACTGGTACAGATCTGACGGTCCAGGAATTTCTAGTACTTCCGACGCGACTAAACAGGAGGGGGCAGGGGAAGAGCAGGAAGATGCTACGGAGACTATTTTAATTCTGATATCTCATGGAGCTGGCTGCAATGCGCTCATTGGTGCACTAACAGGCCAGCCAGTCTTGCTTGATGTTGGCATGACTTCACTAACCATGGCAGTCAGGAAACCTGAAGCCGCAGAGCCGTCTGACCAAGGTACCGCAGCGGTACCCACTTCGTATAGAAAACAACATTCCGGGTTGAAGGAGCTGGCAGACGAGTATGAGATGAAATTCCTTTCCTCAACAGAGCATCTCCGCGCAGGCACCAGCTCCTCGCGCTCATCGTCACCCCTGGACTCTTCTCCGAGGGTACTACCATCCCCGATTTCCTCCTACCGGCATCGGTTTGGATCTACTTCCGGCTCTATCAGCTCGCAGGAAAATTTTGCCATCGGGGATTCTATTATTCGAAAGCCAAGTAACTCAAGAGGGTCAGGCCCGCCATACTCTCGCGCAGCTTCTGCACGAAAGCCATCATCTCCAGGACTTTGGGGCTCTGTGTCACCAACAACATCCGCCGACGCTGCTGAATCAGCGGACGATATCATTCCCAATTTCGAGGATCCAAAACCAAGCGCCGGAGATAATGCCTCGGACGAGACGACTGGCCAACGACCGTCAAGATCGCTCTCCCAGCATGGTCTATGGGGTAGCGTTTCGCTCCCAACGCGCGAGCCGCTGAGCAAACGCCGATGGACAATGACTGAACGGAATCCCTGAGAATAGATTTATTATTTATTCATCTTCTTTATTAAATTATATTGCTTTTTCTTTGGGCACCTACTCACTCCACTTCTCGCTTTTATGTTTGCGCCTGGGGATATATTTCGACACCTGCTCGAGCTCAACCCTCAGTATTTGCTTGGTTGTTTACGGCCGCTACTCTATATAGATATATATGGATAATCGGGAAGTACTAAACTGGGGTTTTCCGGGACCTTTTCTTATTTTCCCTTTTCTTATTTTCCCTTTCCTTGTTTGCCTTAATTACTTACTTGCCTTTTCCTCCCTCCTCCCTCTTGTTCTTTTCCCATTTTCCCTAGGTTTGACATTTTCGAGCAGGTGTGATATTCCCAAGTTGATCTCTACTCTGTTTTCCTTTAGCGATGCGTTTATTTGGCTGATGGGAGTTTTATGGGAACTCATGGGGATTACATGATGCTGATTCTTTATTCTTTTTCGTTTCACTTTTTTTCTTTTTTCTTTTCTTTTTCTTTTGTAATCCCTTGGATGATGAATGTGACGCGTTCATGCCACTATGAAATATAACCTATACACATAGCAGTTATGTTAATTTAAAAACCACAATAAATAAGGACTTTTTGGTGGGATGCTGCGGAGGGGCTGTAGCACAGGCCTCTTCAAGTTTAAGGGTAAATATCAACTTTGGTCTGGTTGTATGTCGTTGGGAATGAATTATTTTGCGAATAAATCAATGAATGTGAGGTACATGTACAACTAATCGGAGCCAACAGTTGTAGCTGAAGCGATAGTTAACTAGTTAGTTGGTGTTCGACAAAACAAAGACACGCAAGTAGAATAGAGTGGCGCAGGCAAATCCTTACTCCGGGTAAACATATATTGACCCTCTTTATCTACGCCGCAATAGACCAATTTCTGCAAGCCGTCCTACTAGATAGACTAATAAGCCCTCCTCCCTCCACACCACGCAGAAGCTTCGCCGCGATAGTCTGATTGGACTGACCTAAACCGATAATTAACGTATCATGTCGCCCACCGAAGCGGCGGGGCTCTCGACAACCTACGACTGCGGCCGAACAGGAACGCCAGACCTCCGCCTGCTCCATTTCAACGACGTCTACCATGTCGAGTGAGTACTCGCATTCCTCTTAATTGTCATTATGATTTTGCACATAACCAAACCACAGTAACTAACTCCAATACTACTACTAGAGCCGGCTCTGCAGAGCCCATTGGCGGCACCCCGCGATTCCAGACCCTGGTCAACTACTACCGCAGCCACCCCAGATTCGCCGGCCAGCCGCCGCTGCTCACTTTCTTCTCGGGCGATGCTTTCAACCCCAGCCTCGAGAGCTCCGTTACAAAGGGCCGGCACATGGTGCCGTTCCTCAACCAGGCTGGAACTGATGTTGCGTGTGTAGGGGTAAGTGAGCAGCGCTCTATTTAGCAAAACTTCCCCTCCCTTTCTCCCTCCTTCCCTTGGACTTTAACCATAACTTGGATATATTGTGTGGACTAAAGGAATTTACCAATTGACAGAACCACGATCTAGACTTTGGCGTTGAGCAGTTCGAACATCTGAGGAACCAGTGCAAGTTTCCATGGCTGCTGGCGAACATGCTTGACCCCGCATTGGGCGAGGGGGTGCCACTGGCCAACTGTCCCAAGACGCACATGTTGGAGTCCAACGGTATAAAAGTTGGAGTTATTGGACTTGGAGAGAGAGAGTGGTAAGGGGGAAAAAGAAAAATAATCATTGTTCATTATTTAGGTTCGTTCTTGATACAATTTAACTGACACGTAGTCATTTGACAACTTTTATCTTTAGGCTTGATACAGTCAACGCACTCCCTCCTATCATCTACAAGTCGGCGTCGGCAACGGCAAACGAACTAGTCCCCGGCCTGCGCGCACAAGGCGCCGACCTCATCGTCGCCGTGACCCATCAGCGGGAACCGAACGATAATAAATTGGCTAAAAAGACGCCGACGGGTCTCATTGATATAATTCTAGGCGGGCATGACCATTTCTACGGACACAGCATTGTCAAATCGACCCATGTACTCCGCTCGGGCACGGACTTTAAACAACTAAGCTACATCGAAGCATGGCGGAAGACGGACGGTAGCGGCGGCTGGGACTTCTCTATCACACGCCGCGATGTGGTTCGAGCAATACCGGAGGACCCTGCCACAGTCGAACTGGTGGCCAAATTGACTTCAGCACTGAAAGCCAAGCTGCAGAAACCAGTCGGTTATACGGCGAACCCACTGGATGCGCGGTTCACGACGGTGCGGAGGAAGGAGTCCAACCTTGGCAATTTCGTGTGTGACCTTATGCGCTTCCATCACCATGCGGAATGTGCGATGATGGCATCGGGTACTATTCGCGGGGATCAGATATATCCTCCCGGCCCCCTGAGGGTGAAGGATATTCTCAACTGTTTCCCCTTCGAGGACCCAGTGGTGGTGTTGCGTGTGAAGGGGCGGGCGCTGCGAGCCGCGTTGGAAAATGGCGTTTCCGAACTACCGGCCCTCGAAGGGCGGTTTCCCCAGGTGTCAAACATCCAATATGGATATGCACTTTCCGCACCACCTGGATCCCGCATTGCCTTTGTTAAAGTAGGTGGAGAAGATCTTGAAGATGACAGGCTGTACACACTCGCGACTCGCGGTTATATGGCGCGGGGCAAGGATGGGTATACAGCACTTCTTACAGAGTCTGAAGGTGGGGAAGCGGAGGAGATAATCTCTGAGGAAAACGGGGTTTTGATCAGCACAATTCTTCGACAGTATTTTCTCAGCCTGAAAGTACTTGGCACATGGAATCGGTTAGGCCCGAGTCTGCATCGTCACTGGGACTCAGTGAACGAACGCTGGCACGGGCCTGGCTGGATGGAAGCCACCTCTCCGCTCGCCTCCCCAGAAGAGCAGCCCAAGAAACCAATCGTAGACGGTAATGAAACCCCAGAAAAATTTTCCAGTAGCTTTCAATACGAGAGCGCCAATCCACGACATAAAGATGAACCAGGCAAAGCAGCGGATCAGCTCTCACGCGGAGACCAACCAGATGGCTATGACAGTGGCAGCAACGGCAGCACTACTAGCGAGAGTGAGAGCACTATGGATTCTGAATCTGACTCGGAGCCGGAGATCCTCAGCCGACCTCGCAACTATGTAACTACAGCCGCTCGATCTGTCGAAGATGCAGACCACCGCGAGGTAGTGGCTCGACACTTTGTGCGCAAATGGCGAGAGAAGGCCGGGCTTGGTCCTGACAAGGTGCAGCCCGTTGATCACGCCACGAATGGATTTTCGCCAGCGTGGACACGGGCCATTGCGCCGGTGCTGGAAGGGAGAATTGTCCAGATCGATAGGAAGAAAGCCTGAGCGAAGTTAAGTTTTAACCTTGGCACTGAGAGGCCATGCATGGGATGCTGGGTGAAGTAACGAGATCATGATATTCAATTTGGAAAGGGGCCGGCGGCGAACCTGGACATTGGACAGAACGGACTTTATCAAGATTTTCCAAGGGACATGGACCTGTAGCAGAAAAAGAAAGGAAAAAAAAAAGAATAAACATAACGGTGTAAAAAAAGAAAGAAGAAAATAATTAGACACTGGGTCGGCCAGAGTGCTCCAAAGGGCAAGCTAAAACGGCAGGATACGAGTTGTGATAGGCGGTTATTGAGGATCGGAGTTCCATCATGGTTTTTTTTTGTTTTCGCTTTGTGATTTCCCAGCGTACATCTTGTTTCTTAGATCTCGGGTTGGACTTCATACATCGTAGATAGATTCATGGTGCTAAGTTTACCAAGTTCAACCAGCTGCCGGTTACCAGAATCCCTGGATATTCCTGCCGCGCCACTTGACGGATACTCTGCACGTTCGCCATGGTTGAAGAAGAATATGAAGAATAATAGGAACAATAGCAATCATAAATAGCATCTTCAGACTTTTTCCCTCGTTTCCGAGCAGATGGAGATCCCCAACTTCCAAGAACATACCCAGCTAACTAACCAACTAAGGTTTGCGCCGTCCTGCGCCGTCCTGCGCGCCAGCTGCAGCCCCAGCAGCTGCTCCTCATTGGCATCAGCACAACCTTTCGTGTGTGAGCCAGATGTGTAAATAAAGTTGTGTTGTGCCATGCCGCCTCCTTTGAAAAGTTGGTAAAAAAGGAGGTAACTAATCTGTACGCCGCTACATGTTATCTTGGCCTGCAGATACACAGTGCATACATAGTAGTGCACACATACGGAGTACTGTATATGTAGTTAGCGACTGGACTGGTTGGCCCTAAGCTCACCAACTGACTCGACACCAGCCGAGCTGGCAATGGACGCTGCAAACCCTTTCTTCTGCTGGAGCATGCTAGCAATCTGCCAGGGCGATTGTTGCTCCGAACTTGATCCTAGGCTTCTCCTAGCTAGTCCGCCTATGAAATAGTAGCCCATCGTTTCGGGGCAAACGCCGCCGCTATGACATAACTCTCTCTGGTGGGTGTGGGCTTGTTGGGCGGTCTGAAAAAAAAAAAAAAAAAAAAAAAAAAACTAACTTTAATATTCCCCGTCATCGATCTAGGAAAAATAATAATAATAAAGAAGTCCCCGCGCTGCCAAACCAATTCCCAGGTGTCGGGATTCCCTCAGGTTAGCTATAAATTAGTTAGACTTGCAACACCTCGAACTCTGTCCCGCCGCCCGCCACTCATCAGCAAAAACCTATCCCACCGACTGACTCTCTTGCACCCCATCTTCCTGATAAGCAATAGGGCATTAAAACAAAAGAGGCCTCTTTCTTTCTTTGCTTTTGGCTCACTTATGCCATTTTAATTCTAATATTTTCTCCTCGGAGTTTCCGATCTCGCGTGAAATTCGGATCGCACACGGGAACATGGAGGTGGACAGCGAGAGGGTCTCTGACCGCAGCAGGGTCGAGGTTGATGAAGTACGACCTCTCTCTTAACACTCCCCCCAGATTGGTGGGGTTCCTCGTGTCATTAATTTGCACTTGAATGGAATATACGCGCTCTGAACTACGCTTCCAGGAATAGCACTGATATCAGATTGAGCCAGTCTTCTGCAGAAAACAGAGCCACACTGAGTGAGGAACTGTACGCCATCCCTTTTGTTTGTTTCTCCTCTCCGAACTTCCCATCTGTCTCCTTTTGGTATACCCAAAAGAAAGGGAAAAAATAAACCATAATTATATTTTTACGCCGGGGACTTTTTTTTGCTCATCATTGCATGAATCAAGGCTGGACTTTACCGAAAGTCTCCATTCCTCCATCGTCAGTTACGAATGGAAAAATGGCCGACGGTATCGGGAGGGAAGTGCGTAAACCGTTTCCTTCATGTCCTTGACCCCCGCAGCTACTATCCAGGTTTGCCGACGTCTGGAGCTTCGGGGCGCATTCGAATATCTTATATATATATGCATCTATGTATGCATGCAAAGGGTAATATATCTGACAGGCGGTATATACAGACTACAAATTCCCCAACGACGAAAGGGAACAGGATCGGCTCAACCTCATCCATTATGCCATTTACTATCTGTGCGACGAGAGATTTTTCTTGGCACCGATCAACCCGGATGGAAAGAGGATATTAGATATAGGCACGGGAACGGGCAAGTGGCCGATTGAAATGGGTACGGTTGAATGTTCATTGATTACAACTTTGCGGTTGTTATTTATTAAGTTCCACTGTTTACTAACTCCTGCGTGATAATGACTGAAGGGGATTTATATCCATCAGCAGAACTGGTGAGTACTTCCACAAGGCTATCATTTCGGAATTTTGCTGGGAAAAGGACGACCTGTTGAATAAAATGAATTGTTGCATAGACTGGAGTCGATTTGAGCCCGATACAGCCACGATGGTGAGGCACTCCTATTTTTCTTCCATTGTATTTTCTTCTCTATTCATCCAGAGCTAATCCGTGTGTAGGGCGCCGCCGAATGTCAAATTTATAGTCGAGGATCTTGAGCAGGATTGGGTAGAAACGGAATTATACGACTTCATACACTGCCGGTACATGATGGGATCGATCAAAGATTGGCCACGACTGGTGAAGAAGTTTTATGAGTTGAGTTAACCCAATCCCTAACATAAGAGATGTTCTTTTTCCCTAATGAGCGCAATAGACATCTAAAACCCGGCGGCTGGGTCGAATTCAAAGACTCCACAGCCACCGTATTTTCCGAAGACGGCACTGTCACACCCGATTACAAAGTAGTCGAAATGCTTCGGAATCTACGGTTGGCGTCCGAAAAGATAGGCATAAACATGGACCATGCGCCGTTGCTCAAGGGCTGGATGGAACAGGCCGGATTTACCAACATCGAGCAGCGCGTAATGAGGTTACCTATAGGCACGTGGCCGAAGAATAGACGCTTGGTGAGTGCAAAATCTACAACCCTGCCACCGTTCATCTATCTCTCTATATATCTCTCTCTTGTCTCGCGTCTCAATCTGACCCTCCTATTTTCTAACTGTAAATGCTACTGTAGAAACTTATCGGGGCAATGATGGCGTCGCATTATCTCGAGGTGGAGGCCTTCACGCTCATTCCATTTATAGAGATATTGGGCTGGAGTCCGGCGGAGGTTGAGGAACTGAACGCGCAGGTCCGCGCTGCTGTGCAGACGAAGGGAGTCCATCCACTGCATAACTAGTGAGTTCCAAGTTCTTTTTCTCTCTGAATAAACAGCTACCAGTTTTCCTCAGCGTGGTCCAGCGTGTTTTTTGGCTGACATTCACGACAATAGTTACGTGGTTTGGGGTCAAAAACCGGCAATGTAAACGGGATAAACAGAAAAATAAATAAACAAAAGCAAAAAAGAAAAAGAAAAAAAGAAAAAAGAAAAAAGAAAACCTCGTGCGCAAAGTTTGCAAGCATGCACTTTTACACACACAGAGCTGTCTGACAGCAAGAAGGCCAGCAGTTGCTGAATGAATTTCCTATGTCCTCCGGGGCCTTCCATCTTGTAACGATCGGCGTATATGTGTTGCTGTTTTCACAATAATGGGCACGGTTCGATCACCTTTTTCATTTCACTTCCAGCATATGAGAAGGCGCATTTCGCATTTCACAGCCAGCTTTTTTGGTTTTGGTTTTGGTTTATTTTTTCTTCTTGTTTCCCACGTTTATTTTATCCCCTGGTTCTCTTTGGCGACGTTCCGAAAGGGTCTTGGATCTGGGCATAATCATAGAGTTCGACACAACCATCCAATGAAAACAAATTGCGCGCGCAAGCTTCTTCGAAAATACGGAATACAGAAATTGAAAAGGAAGGAAGGTAGGAAGGAGGTGATGGAGGTGGAAGGTTGGTTGATTGTACACTAATCTAGCCGCGCAGCATTCTATAGGTGTGTGGGTCACGTGGCCTCATATAGGGCATCCGGCCAACAGGAGGGAAGAAAAAAAAGAAATCAATAAAAAGGAAAAATGGTCATTGACTGATCATGGGATTAAACAGATCCCGACACTCTGTTTCCCTGACGCAAGAACACTAGCCACCGAGTTAACGTTATTTCTCGCCTCGCAGCCTCGCAGCCTCGCAGGGACAGGCGTTCGGTGCCATCGTCTACGCTGCGTATGACAATAACTAATATTATTAATGATACCAGTGGTTAGGGGTAACTTAAGCGACCTGACTGCTGGCACCACCGAAACCCCCAAGGGCGTGGGTAACTACCTACTGCAGAATTCCAGGGCTAAGGGGAACCGCCGTTGAAAGTTCCAGTATTTAACTCCATAGTATTCAATTATATATATATATAATTTCTAATGACAATGAAGTGAGAAAGAAGGATATACACTTCGTTGCGGCAGAGAAGATATTATTCGGGCCATCAGACCCCATTATTGCAGCACATATTATTATTTCCTCACTCCTCTCTCCTCATTCTCTCTAGTCCAGCCTGCCTGTGTCCCAGTATGGTATGAAAGTTACCAAATCAACCGAGGCCGGATCGATCTACTAGGTGTTTTAGCCTAGTTTTCACTGTGCAGCCATGACACTAACGGAAGCAGAGCAGGCCCTCCTCCGGCCTGATCCTGGTGCAACAGGTCACAAGTGCTAGCAGATAGAAGACCCGACCAGATCGTCTACGTACCACAGTACGGAGTACGGAGTACTCGGGACATGATCATGACATGGCCAAAACCGGCCGGGCTGGTCACTCATACGCTGTATGCGTCGTCCACTATCTTGTTTAGACGGCCCACTTGGCACTGGTGAGCGGGATGTAACTAGTGTACATGTACTCCGTACTGTACATACATGTTCCGTAACCATAGATGGGGTCATTCATTTTTCATCGCAGTTCGAGTCGGTGTGTTGATGCTAGAGTTAAAGTACCGGCAGGGCCTAGGCAGAACGCCCTGGTACGCCCTGGTTACATGGTAAACTGCTGGCGGTCGTTACTGCTGGATGTATCTATCCATGAAACATCCACGATTTGACAGAACCTGGCCGACTTGGCCGATGCAGCTGGCGGTCCGGTCCCCCGTCGACCGACACTACTGGGCGGGATATTCTAATATTGAAGACGTTCTGGTGTTGAACCGGCTTCTTGCTTCCAAACTGCTGGGTGGTGTCTTCCAGCCTCGATCCTGTCTACCCTGCAGTTCTCACTAACGAAGCTAAACACGCTCTTAAATCTAGCTGTGGTTGGTTCGGGGGTGGTCTAGGAAAGGAGGAGGGGGTTGAAACTTCCAGACCGCCGGGAGCAAAATGCACAGGCGGATGTTACGGTGCCAGTATCCCGGGAATAGCAGCACGTCTCATATCGGCTGCATATCTATAGTCGCCTTTGGACGCTTGGTCATAACAACCTAATAACAGCTACAGAGCTAGCGCACTGAGAACTGTTATGACTAGGGATTCGGCGATTGGATCGCCAGTGGCTGTTAATTAACTAGTGGTTATTTCAACTCCGCAGTTCACGTTTCTTATCATCCAGAGTACATAATCCCACAGGATCTCCTCATCACAGCGTCGATCTTGAGCAAGCGGCAGTCTTCAGACGGGCGGATATCCTGAGCCTGGATCCCGGCGCAACGGCAAGGCCCATCCCTCATGTATTTATCTCCCTTGGACCCTTACCAATGCTAATGTCCCCCATCACTCCAATTCGCCAGGGGTTTAGTGCTACAGGGCAGGATGCGGAAGTATTTCGCAACCTGACGGATGGAGCACACTGAGATGTCTATGTTAACGACCGTGATATTCAACCGTGATATGCACGATAAGTTTACACTGTAAGGATTTATTTCCCAGGTCCCATCGCCATGGAGGACCGCTGGAAGATGGCGCGTGTTATGGTACTCCCATTCGCGACCATGAAGGGCTGAAAATTTCCCGAGGCCGGCCGAAATGAATACCTGGGGGTTATTTGCAGTGTGCCATCAAAGGTTTCTATAGCTCTGTACTTACGGCCGGTTTCCAGGGAGGCCTTTCCACACACGGGGTATTGAGGTAATGAAGGGCTATTAATTCAGATCTATCAGGGAACGCCGAGGTATTATTGGCACAGTCTTTCAATTCAGCTCCAGGCATTCTGCGATTATGTGGTGCAAAATACATCATGTCAGCTTATCCTCGTCAACTCTGTGCCGTGTGGATTGAGGGCTTCAGAGACTAAGGCCTTCCTACTATTTTCCAAAAAGCGAATATCCCTCCATCCACCATCAAAAATGAATATTTGTAGTAAAAGCAGAGCAGGAAGTGCTAATAACGACCAACAATGATTTTAACGGGAGGGTTAGTACGGTAGACTGGAGTATCAACTTAGCCCAAAACCTAGTGAGTGACGGATCGCAATTTTCAGGGTGAAGCAGCTCTCAGATCCTTTTCTTCCTGGTAGTTTGGATTCCTGTACGTTGAATGATGGAGACCTGTCTGTGGAAGACTGGTACATTTGCATATGATAAAGTCCCGGGTTGGTGATCATGGCCATGGTTTTGCTTCCATTGATGGGAATGCGCGTTTCGCTGTCCAAGTCTGGGGTGTTGTGATACTAGGTATGTTTCATTGATGGCAATCTTTTTCTTTCTTTCTATCTTTCTTTTTCTTCTTTCTCTTTTCAATTCTCTCATCTTTACTTTCCAAAGATTGATCTGGTCTATCATAAGTCTCTGTGTCCTGATGAGATAATCAGATTCAGAGCAAGTATCTCAAGATCATCTATCAGTTTCTATATTTCTCTCAATACTGTTTAGACTGAATACTGTTGTGATTTAAGTTACTGACACTGATAGCTATAGCCGGATACAGTAATCCATTTCTTTTCCACATGAAGGTTCCATCCACGACTGTACAGTGTATCATGAATCAGTTGACTTCACCTGGGATGAGGAGAATATGACTCGACTTTAGAGTAATACCAATAATAGGGTTATATTTTGAATGGTGTAGTAACAACCCGGAGCTCAAGCGGCATATAAGCCAGCTCTTGCAAACGGTCAATGATCATGGATGTGCATGTCGCTGCTTTGGAATTGCGTAATAAGGAAATCCATATATGAAACAGGCAATGTATCCTGTCGAAGTTGAAGTTTTGAGGGAGACAGCATGTTAAGCTTGACTTCAAGTAGAAGTAAAAATCTATCGTTAGACATTAAATAGAGCGAAGTGTGCATCAGCACTAGAGCTCTGACTCACGTCATTTTTGCCACAACAGAGTCACCTGGGCCAGTTAATAATAAATAAAAATACAAAGCGAGCCATGAACTTGCTATTAAACACGAGCTTGAACCACGGACAGGCACGATTCGTTGAATGTTGTTGCTGGTGATTATCACGTGGATAAGATCTCCAGTCACGTGGTGGCGCTATCCTAACCTTGGAAAAAAAAATTGCCAAGAAAAAAACAAAATCCCGAGCGCGGTGGTAACTAACTACGAAAGAATAACCAACTGCTATACAGGTCTCGAAGGCGCTGGCAGCCCACTGGAGATCGCTGGAAACGGAATATTGACCTGCTATTAAATTGCCATGGCTATCGACATTGAGACACCATCTGCTCCCGCGCAGTCCCTCTCAAGCTCATTGGAAACCCTCACAACCAGCCTTTCAAGCGCACTTTCCTCTCTCCCAACCTCCGAGCCACACGGTGATGTCCCGGTAAATAATGCGTCTATATTGCCCCCGCCCGATGGCATCTCACTTCTTGACACAAAGAACGAAATATTCCTTTCCTATCTGCAAAATCTAGTTTTTGTGGTGGTTCTACAACTGAGGAATCTGTCCAAGAGTAGATCGTCAGACAAAACGAATGGCACAGGACAAGGGAGTGGCGAGGATGCATCCCTGCATAAAAATGCTGTGAAAAAATTGACAGAGCTACGGCTATTCTTAGAGCGTGGTGTGCGACCATTGGAAGGCCGCCTAAAATACCAGGTTGATAAGGTGCTAAAGGCAGCAGAAGACGCAGAGAGAAATCAACAAGACGCCGCATCGAAGCCAAAGAAATCCCGGAAGGGAACAACGGAACTGGGGGAAGGAAGTGATGGTGGAAGCCGAAGCGAAAGCGAAACTGGATCAGGAAGTGACTCTGACGGTTCTGAGGACAGCGAGGACGAAGACGAAGATGTTAATGAGTTGGGATACCGACCTAACTTGGCCGCTTTTTCGCGTGGAACTCAAGATCAGGAAAAGTCCAAAGCACCGAGTAGGAAAGACACTGGCGATGGTATCTATCGGCCGCCAAAGATAAAACCCACAGCGCTCCTCACTACGACACCGGATAGCCGCGAGGAGAAACGTGGCCGCCGCACCGCCAAATCCGCCGTCATTGACGAATTCGTCTCTGCTGAGATGTCCAGCGCACCCACTGCAGAGCCTAGCATTGGCACAACGATCCGGGCTGGAGGAAGAACAATGCGGTCCGAGCGGGAGAGAGCACAGGAACTTGAGCGACGAACGTATGAAGAAGGCAACTTCGTGCGGTTGCCGAAGGAGAGTAAGAAGGAACGGGCGAAGCGTGGAGGGAACCGTCCTGGGGGCTATGGCGGCGAAGATTGGCGAAGCCTGGGTGAGGGGGCCGATAGGATCGAACGACTCACGCGGCGTGGTAGAGAGGGTGGCAGAAGCACTGTCCTGGAGAAGAGCCGGAAAAGACGGGCTACGGAGGATGGGCCGCGGGGCGATGGAATCAATATAGGCGAGAATTTCGAGAAGCGCCGCAAAAAGATAGCGACATGGAAGCGGTAAAGCTTACATCTTGTCTATCTATTATTTGAATATCTCTATTTTTCTCGCAAGTGGAGCTGGTCTGTCTACGATAATAATTGAGTATCCACTTGCATGCTCTGGGTCCTAAATAGGCGTTTTCCCGACGCTGCTTAAATCACAACATAACCCATCTGTGCTGAAACCGCAGATTGGTCATCCCCAACTCTTCACGCGGCGCTCATGAATGGCTGATTCACACCATGGTGTATGGATAATGAGAGATGGCAGTGACTTTGTGAGGCGGTTGCTGTCTAAGCAATCAAGATTAAAGACGAGCCATAGGTGGAACCAGGGCGAGGATATTTCAATGGTTAGTTGTGTTCTCCGCTACGAGTCATATGTAGGAGCGTAATTAATAGATCTCTCGTCATGTGTTTCCGCGGTTTGCTGGCTTCCCTATTTCCCACCAGTCTTCTCGCTACTTCACTGACATCCGGTTCTCCTGACGTGAAATCTATATGGCTCGTTAATTCTGGGCCTCTGTCGCAAATTCTTGTAGACTCGCTTTCAGCGCGGGTGTATCTCTCGTGGGGTTTGTCACAAATTAAGGTTAACTATTAAGGTTATCTGGTGGGTCCGTAGGGCTGGCCAGGATTTCCTAATACAGAAAGTGTGGGTCAGGAGCAATGACGTCATCTACCAAATTACACGTACCCGTAAGGTCAGAAACGCGGATGTTACTATATCAATCTACCCAGTATCTGTTGCCATTCTCCGTTCATATAATGTATATAGTTTCCCACAATGGAAGACCCAGGTAAGGCATTTCGTTTCTCCCAACTCGCCAAACAGCTCCCGTTCCTAAACAAGCCTTCTCGATTCTTCAACAGTGGCTGAGATCCCACGTCATCCACCTCCTCACTCAATCCCTTCCCTCAGTTCAAAAGCAAAAGATCGAGAGATTCTTCAGCGCATCAGGTTCCTTCACACATCCCTTGTGTCGCACCGGATCATTTAACGGAAGCAGATGGCTGATTGTCCAAATATACCGATTTTACAAGATCAAGTTCCCGCACATTGGCCTTTAAATCCACTCCGTTGGTAAAAATGAATAACAATAATAGCCTGTATCAAGAATATAGCTGTAAACCACAAACAACTCCCTACTGATTTTATAATGTTTCTCCCAAATCTTCCAGCATTCGACAAACCTAATCTCACTCTTTACGTTACGATATCCCAAATATTCCGCCTCTTCATCATCCCTTTCTACAAAGCGAGTGCAAGACTCACCGTCGTCCTCACGCTCACTCCTTCAACAACACACGCCCCTGAAGCGGATCACCCCCTATCATCGTGGTTAAGTGCTTCCGAACATAGCCCTGACCGGAGTTCCTCACACTCCCACCATCCGAGAAGTACGACACTCTACTACATCTCAGCGCAGGAAGACCTCTGCCAAATATCAGAACTAGTAAAATTTGTGTGACCATTTGGAATAGGTGTTGTTTGGTATGGCGCTCCTTCTCCACGGCGTTCAATAAACTGTTTACTGTAGTAGTCTGAACAGATGAAAAGAGACAGTATAATATATGACACAGTCACAGAGTGAGAGCTCCTGAATCTATTTATTAAACATAGTACTGCAAAAAAATATCTCTCTATTTATTATAGAAAAACCAACTTTTCTGTGCAAAAAACACTGTAATGCGACCTCACATGATATCACATGCACTTCTTTGAATTTATGAATGAGATTAACAGCTAGCTCTGCAGCCTGTATAGCTCTGATAATAATCTTCATTCTTTTCTTTACAGATGTTCTCTACTGTATTTACATTTTTTATACTCTTATCTACATTCATTACAATCTATATGTTTATTAATATACTAATTTTATACACTGCTGCTTAATATGTAAGAATTCTCATTCTCTTAGTATATTTGAACAGTTTTAATTGAATGCATTATTCTGTACATAGTTTACATACTATCAAGCTCAGTGTGACACATATTAGACATATTCAGTTCAAATCTCTCATTTATTATTAAGAGATATAACTACTTCTGTAAGAGAGCTATACTGAATAAATCAGTATAATATATAGATCTTATATAATAAAAGTGAAAAATGTTAAAGAAGGAAAAAAGAGAAAGTACAGAAATCAGCAATTGAAGTGAATATTTATACATGTATAAAATGAAGCTTCAGAGTGAAAAAATAGAAATTCTGTAAATTCTTTAGCTGAGAATCAGTGACTGAGAATCAGAGCTTTCAACAGAAATTTATAAAGTGTAATAAAATAATCTATATAATTGATCAGATGCAGCCTGTTATATTAATTCTCTTTTTTTAGAAGTGAGATTATATGTAGTTCTTATCAGTCAAGAGCTGCTGTTTTAAATAATACAGAGCTCAGAGTTCAGATTAGATAATTATAACTAATTTATTTCACAAGATATTATCAGCTACAGCTGTGAAGTCTCTTATTAAGAATATCTTTAATCTTTTATTCAAGTTTATTATCTTCTTCTATAATCTCTAACAATTGTCAGTTAAAAGTTAGTTAAGAAGAGAATGAATCAGTGACAGTATAACAGAACAAGCTTGTATAAAAGATATTATAAATCTTTAATAATATGTTAAAATAGTAGTTATAACTGTCTAGAACTTCTATCACTTTATGTAAGAATAAGTGCTCGCAGGCGATTATTCAGGTGTTTGCAGCTTGGCGTGATATGTACTGTTAACTACTAGAAGTATTCACAGTAGAAAGATAAAATGTAGAGATCAAATGTATAATAGTATTTAAGCTGAGTTATAAATAGTATTCATGAACTTCAGTCTATATAGTTGTGTGTAGTCAAGAGCTGCTAGCTCTATTGATTACATGAGAGATAGAAATAGAGATAAAGAATTCATAAGAAGTAGGATTTCTTACATATCTCTCTCTCTCTAAGACTTTGTTCACAAAGCCTTTCACTGAGTGACTTCATAGTCAGCTCAGCACTGCAGTGATACTCACTAAAAACTCTTCATATCTATAAAAAATCTCAGTGAGGAAAAATTCCTTATCACTGTAAAGAGAAAAGAGTCTGTCACTCAGTTTCTTATTCTGTAAGATTCTTTATAATCTACAGATTCTTCTCTGACTATTACACAGATTCATCTCATATCTTTTATATAGAAGAGTTTCAGTTAACTCTTAATTATTTTTACAAGATTCTTATGTAATCATCACATAGATTCATCTTACAGATGAATTACTCTTTATAAGATCACTCTTATTAAAGAGAAATATTTATAAGTTGATCTTTCACTCATTCTTATAAATCATTGTTCTTTGACACTGTAGAATTGTGAGGAATTTTTCATTCTTTTATTAACTCTGTAGAATTATAGAATCAAGATATTCACAGTCTGCAATCACTCTTTATAATTATATAGAAAGATTCAAATCTGTAATTTATAATCACTCTTATTTACTAAAGTGATATGACTGTTTCATAGAATTACTCACAGTGTAAGTAAATCTCTTTAGAGTAGTATAAATATTTCAGATCTATTTATAGAATCTCATCTTCTTTTCTCTTTTTCTATAACAGCTCTTATTCTTATAAACTGTGAGTATTCTCATTCATCTATAAAGTATTTTTATTCAGATAACAGAGAGAGAGTATTTCTGATAATATCTATATATTAATTCAAGAACTTCTCAAGAATAAAAATTTTTCAATTTCAATATCTTTATAATAATGTCTGACTGCTGTTGAGCTTCTTATAAGTATTTTCATAACTTCTCTAATTACTTTTTATCAGCTGATGAAGCAGAGACACTGCTGCTTATAACTGTATCTTCATTTTCTTCAGCTCTGTCACTGCATCTGATCTTCAGATCAGCAATTAATCTTCTATCTCTCTCAGATCAGTTTCTGACTTTAAGTAACACAGTTTCTCTCTTTACTGTAAGTCTTCTTATAAGTAATTTCTTACAGATTCTAGCTGACAGTTCTTGTGAAGCTCTCTGTGTTATCAGTGTCTTCTGTGACTCTGTGAGCCTATGACTATCTCTTCTCTGCTCATACAATCACTGATCAGATATATGCAAATATATCTAGATTCTCTATCAATGATTCTCATATTACAGTGCATTTTCACAATTCCATTATTAATGAGAGATGAATTTTCAGATACCTGTAAAATCTGAGTAATCAAGACAATACAAATGTCATGAATTTGTAACAGAAGTTGATCTGAGCAGATGAGTTCTCTCTCTATATCTTAATTATTTCTAGACTGAATACTTCAGTATAACTAGAAGAGTAAACACAGCTTCATGAGAAATATCTAGTTATATACACAGATGATCAGTTCTCAAGACTCTGTTACAACTGTATATACTCTGATATCTGACTTCTCTGAAGTCTGTATATTTCTGACAGTCTTCATATCAAATGTAATAATTGTCTGTACTGCAGATATGATACTCTCTGTTTCTTTGAAAGAAAAAATTAATAGTTGTAAAGAGATTAAGTATCATAGATATTAAGAGTGTGAATTTGAGTTTTCTTTATTTTTTCTTTATTAATCTTCAAATTGTGTTCACAGCTCTGTTTATTTTCTTATTTTTTAGTTTAATAAGAATATGATTTCTTCTTCTCTTACATACACTGCAGACTGTTCATCTCAGTAGAAACTCATTATCTTATAGACTAGAATTTATAAATGACAGTGTTAATATCTTTATTATAATCAGATTCTTAGTAAAGACTGTATTATTCTGACTTATCAGAATTTACAGTATAAAAGTTATGTCTCAGCTTCTGCAGATATCTTATCTATCTGAATAATTCTCAAGTGAACTTATTTATCTTGTCAGAATACTCTTATCACTGAATCTTGAATCAGAGCTTATAATCTCACTTCTCTGAGTCAATAATTTCTTTAATCTGATATTCTCTTTCACTCTCTAGTACTTTATAAATAGAGTGATGAGTCATAGAATTCTCTTCTGAAAATTCCTTATATTTACAGAGTAAAGAGATATGAAAAATATTATATATCTATAATTTAGATAACAGTTCTAATCTATAGAACTGTAAGCTAACTTTCTTTATAATCTTATAAGACTCTATTTATAAGAGATTCAGCTTCTTACTAGATCTTCATATAATAATATTTTCTAAACTCAGTCAGACTCTATCATCTTTCTTAAAACTCTTTATAATATACTTAAAGTTATAGTATCTCTTCTAATACTCTTAAATCTTTCTCAAGAATTTACAGACTTTCTCTCAGATCTTCTGAATTCTCTCAGTCTATTCACAGACATCATCACACTCTATAGTATACTCTTGCAGATTTATCAAGATTATCTGTAGATGAGTCTCAGTGAGTATCTCAAAGAGAGTTTTATCTATACTGATATACTTTGAGTTGTTATATATAAACTCTGTGAGTGATAATCAATGCATTCAATTATTCTGATTATAATTGATAAAGTACTACAGATACTGTTTCAATATACTTATCAGATGTTCTATCTGATTATCTATCTGTTAATGAAAAGTTATGCTTAGATCTTATAAGATCTTCAGTATAATTATCAGATCAGATCAGAACTCTTCTGTGAAGATTGATTCTCTATCTGAAACAATATTTATAGATAATCTATATAATTAGATTACATTGTAGATGAAGATATGAGTTAAATTCTTTAACTTCAAGTTCTTGTGAGTGAGTATAAAGTGTGTTATCTTGATAAAGTGATTCATTATTATCAGCACACTGTCAAAGCAGGTATTATATATGTTCTTACTTTCAGAGAGACTTATAAAAGTATTCATTTCTAGCTATTCTCAAGATTTCTGCAGAATGAGTAGAGAAGTAAGTTTTTCATATAATCTGAATCACACTACTCATGAATTCTGATAAATAGTATAAGAATTCACTATCTTCTTTATAAGTTCTTATATCTTCAGTCAGAAGTATTTTCTTATAAGCAACTTATAAGTTCTAGTATCTATAAAATGACTTATTAGAGAAGAGTTATGATATCTTTTAATAAGTTCTATATATAGAAACTTATTCATAGATATATAAATTCAGCTCTCTCTTTATAAGAGATTATTTAAGTCTTTTCAATTCTTTATTTCTGCAGAATTGATTTCTGCTATGAGCAGTTTCTGAATATACTGAGTATATTTATTCTTCAGTTACAGTTCAGACAATCTGAATAGAAGATCTTATAAAGACTTATACTCTGTTTTCTCTTATATCAGATCTTCTGTAATACTTCTCAAAGTCTGCAAACTCTTCAGATTATAGATACTCTCTTCAAGAATTCTTATAGAGATTCTCAGAGTGTTGACTCTTAGTGTTATAGAAAGTAGTTGTACAGACTTCTTCTCTCTCTTTTCTCTCTTCTCTTATAAGGAATTAAGAGACTCTTCAGTCAATCTCTTTGCAACACTCAGTCTGAGTATTTT